ATTTATCTCCTTCCACTCTGACGTGCTTTTGAACTGCTAGGTTGGCAGGAGCAGGGACCGAGCAACGGGAGCTCACCCCCTTGCGGGGATTCGAACCGCCGTCCTTCTGATCGGCAAGTCCTAGGCTCTGTGGTTTAACCCACAGCGCCACCCGCATCCCTGATGGTTTGTTTAAAGAACGTTTAAAGAAAGCATCCATCTCTCCTGGCTACGCTAACTGAGATTCCTGCATTGCAGGGGGTTGGACTAGATGACTCTGGGGATCCCGTCCAACTCTATGATTCTATGAGGGGTTTGATCAGTAATGCTGTTTTCCTGAGTTTTCCCCCTGCGAAGCTGGTTTATTGTGGTTTCCGGTTAAGCAGGTTGTGATAGCTCTGCCATCTCTATAAAAGCTGCTAAGTTCTGTATGTGAGCAGAAGACCCTGTGGATGAGCTCAGAAGGAAGTCTGTCCGATGGGGTCTTCTCCAATGCAATTGAAGAGACTTTTACCCTGTTATGTAGTGAGTTGAATAGGATCCAAATTGCAGCAGTCTGATTGGTCCTACAACAATAGGATTCAGAATGCAGCAGTCTGATTGGTCCACAGGAGCCACCCAATCCAACTCCAGGTGGAAGTGAATCCGCAACCTGATTGGCCTACAGGAGAATCCCAGAACTAGCCAATCACATGGGGACTTTGAGGTCTAGAGCTATTCCAGTCTCCCTTTCTTCAGCCGCATCTGCTCATCTGTACTGGCCGCAGGGATGTCTCAGAAGAGGCTGCAGCTGGACCAAGCCAGTGTTCTCATGGGGGCCTCTTCAGGGAAGCCCCCCAGCCAGGACTTGAGTGCAGCAGCCACTGGCATTCAGGGTCATACTGCCGGAGGCAATGGAGGCAGAAAGTGGTCATCTTGGCTAGTGGCTATTGAGCCATCATGCTCTGATAATGTCCAGATCCGATGACTTTCAAGCGTTATATGTGAGGCTGCCTCCTAAGACGCTTTGGAAATGGTCAGTAGTTCAAACACGGAAGCTGTCAATGGGGCCGGCCAGTTTCACCCCATGCCACCCATCTTAAAATCTCTCGTGGGGCACCATTGACCAACCAAGTGGCAAAGGGCTTGGCAGCCCCCCAGACGACTCCGAAGGGCTGCCTGCCTTAACTGTTTGTTTATTTATAAAGTATTTAGAAAAGTATCTTTGCCAACACATCAAGGCAGTGTACACTCTAAAACATCATTTAAAAATTAATAAATCAGTAAACAAAGCCTTCAAATCAGCATCCCAGTGGCAGGTGAATCAAAAGTTCATCAGCTGCCAAGGCTGTTCAGATAAATACTCCTGCTTTCAAAGTCTGCTTCAGAAGTCCTTCTTCTGAGGGCAGGGCACAAGGAGCTTCTCGTCCCGCCCCCGAGAGATCTGCAAGGCCCCAACTTGATTCTCCTTTGGTTCCCACTCAGGAAGCCTCTGAGTGCCTGCTTTGCTGCTGCTGGCTCTCTTCCCTTGCAATGTCTGCTGTTCTCTTTAGTTGCTGTTTCTTGCTCTCTGGTTTTATAGTTCCTGGTCCTTTTATTATTGTAATGTGTCTTGAATTTTTTTATTTTATTTTTTTGCTTTGTGAGCTACTCTGGGGACTTTGAAGTAAACAGTATTTTAAATAATCAAACCATCTGCTTAGTTATATTTTAAGCATTTATAGGCCGTGTTCCTGGACAAAAGTCCCCTTGGGGCAACATGCGAAGCAAAAAGCTCTGGACCTGGGCATCAGGGCATCACTTGCGCCAGGTTCAAAGGAGTCTGCAATGCTCAGGCTTGGGTTCTGGCACACCTGCAGCCGGGGAGGGTCCTACAGGTGTGGAGGCAGCCTGTGGGGACACCTCAGCTCTGTAGGTGTCTCAGTTGGGGGGGGGGCTCTCAGGGGACAGTTCTGCCATCCTCTCCTTGGTGCAGAAGCTGGGCTGGGGAGAGGGAACTGGGAGAGTCTCCTGCCTTCCTCTGGGTTGTTGTTTTGGTGGTTTCAATGACCTCTCTGCCCATCCTGCCACTCTTCCAAGTGGAGTTCTCCCCCCATTGGCTCCCCCCCCCACCCGCCTCCCAGGGAAGGAAGCAAAGGGGAAAGGGCAGCAGGCAGCAGGAGCCAGCCTGCCACACAGCACAGATGCAAGGTGGTTCTGCAGGTGCTTCCTCCCCAGTGGTGACACTGGACAGGCTGCCCGGATGCCCCCCTCCCTCCCTCTGCCGGGATGATTCCTGGAAGGGCAGTGACACAGAGCCAGCAGCAGCACAGAGCAGGTGCCCTCTGGAATATCCGCCTGCACCATCAACACCCACAGCATCCCCCACTCAGAGAGAGGAAAAGGGGCAAGCCCCAAAACAGAGTCAGGCCACAGAGAGCCCACCAAATCCTGCCTCCTGTTTTTGGAGTGGCCTTTCCTGGGAGCCCATCAACTTCAAATAGCATTTGGTTTTTTAGCTGTTGCAGCATCACACTGTTGACGTGTGTTATGTTTGTGGTCTACTAAGACCCCGAGATTAAGGTTACCAGACGTCCCCAGATTTACAAATCAGTCCCCGTGCAAAATCCATTGAAGTTGAAAAGTGTCCCCAGATTCGTTGGGAGGGGGAAATCTGGTAACTTTACCCTAGATCCTTTTTTCACTTGTACTGGGGAAACTCAGCCAGATGGGTGGGGTATAAATAATAACAACTTCTTCTTCTTCTTCTTCTTCTTCTTCTTCTTCTTCTTCTTCTTCTTCTTCTTCTTCCTATTACTGCTGGCAAGCCAGATGTCCCCCATCTTATATTTGTGCCCTGTCTTAAGTGCAGAACATTGCTTTTGTACTTCCTGAAATTCATTCTGCTAGCTTGGGCCCAGTTCTCCAATCTGTTAAGGTCATTTTGAATTCTGATTCTGTCTTCTGTGGCATCAGCTCCCCCTCCCAGTTTGGTGTCATCTGCAGATTTGATGAGCACCCCCTCAATTCCTTAAACCAAGTCATTTATAAGAATGTAGAACAACAACGGGTCCAGGACAGGACCCTGAAGCACCCCACTTGTCACTTTTTCCAGGATTAGGAGGAACCATGAATGAGCACTCTTTGCCTGTTTTTCCTCTTGCTTTTGACATAGCCAAAGAAATATTTTATTATTATTTTTAATCAGTGCTTTTTTCAGGAGGTACTCTAAGGTACGTAGTACTGGCACATCTTTATTTTTTGGTTAAAAAGTGTGACACTTACTGTAACGACTTCATGATGAGTATTGGCACCTATTTTTCTAGGGGGGGAAACACTGTTTTTAACCTCTCTTGCAAGCCTGAGCTCATTCTGAGCTTTCGCCAGCCTGACCTTCCCCTTGCAACTGTGGGCTACTCCTGCACACTCCTCCTTTGTGATTTCCCCATTCTTCCATTTCTTATACATGCCCTTCTTAACTCTCAGCTCATGTTTAAGCTCCTTCTGCAGCCGCACCGGTTTCCTTGCTTCCCAGGCTAGAAACCCGGAGCCTCGTCTGCTAGGAGCTGCCTTTGGACCTCAGCGGGGAGATCTGGCCCCCTGCCGCCTTCAGCTGTTCGCTCCTTTGCACACGGAGTGCTGAAGAATTCAGAAAGAGACACCTGTTTACATACAGAGCTTCTTGGAAACGCGTTTTTCCCCAAACGCGGCTTTTCTGTCCGTTTAAATTTGCTTTTTGTAATTCTCTTGCTTTTTCCATGTTCCAGGTGCCTTGCCAACACATCCCTTAATAACAGAGCTTTCCCATGTAAACTTCAAGTTGCAGAAGGGAGAAGGGCGCCTGTGGCTCCTTATCTGCCGCATCTTCGATGCGTAACCCGATTCCCGCGGCACCTGGGAGGGGGGCCACCTTGGAGCGGAGCCTGAACTCCGGGGCCGCAAGCCCAGCCTGGTTATTCTGAGCTTCTGCTCCTCGCTTTCCCTCCTCCTCCTCCTCTGCTCCGTGCAACATCCTGCTTGGCAAAAGAGCCCTGGACAACTTTGAAGCTTCCCACACTTTCGTGACATGCTGGCAGCTCCCAGCTGCGCCTTGTGCAAGCCAGCCGTCGCTGTTCCAGGCTGCGAGCTGCGGTTTCGGGTCCAGCGGCTGCCCCCAGTTCCCTGCCGCTGATCCGGGGCCAGCTCGGTGCGGTGGTTTGTGGGTCGGACCAGGACTGGGGAGACCAGGGTTTGAATTTCCGCTTGGGCTTGAATGAAGCTCACCGGGTGACTGTGGGCCAGTCGCTGCGTCTCTGCCTCACCTACCCGTGGGAGTTAAGTGAGGATGGGGGAGAACGACGCAGGACACCGCGTGGGATATAAATGAAATAAATAAAAAAGAAAATAAATGGAAGGAGATTTAACACCTGGCTGAGGACAGCGCAGCTATTTAATTCGCCCAAAGCATATGCGCCCTTACCTGTAAGCCCACCACAACCTTGAGAGGCAGGTCAGGCTGAGAGCAGTGGAAAAGGGGGATTCCATGCTATGGAGCATCAAGGGATTGAAACTAAAACTGCTAATATTATAATATCATTATATAAATCTATGGTGTGATCACACTTGGAGGAGGGTGCGCAGTTCTGGTTGCCTTTCGAGGCTCATCGCTGCTGGGAATGGGGGATGAATGTGAGAGAGGGAAGGCTGGTCTGCTGGGAGCCTGAGGGCCCCGATCCTGGCTCTTTCCACCTGACAGGCTTCATAAGAACTGCTGCTGCCCAGCAAGGATGGGGGTATTCTAGGGGAAGTTTTGTTCGGAGTTTTTGCTTTTATTGATATTAATTTTTTGTACAGTGGTACCTCGGGTTACAGACGCTTCAGGTTACAGACGCTTCAGGTTACAGACTCCGCTAACCCAGAAATATTACCTCAGGTTAAGAACATTGCTTCAGGATGAGAACAGAAATCATGCAGCGGTGGCGCAGCAACAGCAGGAGGCCCCATTAGCTAAAGTGGTGCTTCAGGTTAAGAACAGTTTCAGGTTAAGGATGTACCTCCAGAACCAATTAATTACTTAACCCGAGGTACCACTGTATCTTTATTTTTATGTGAAAATTGTTCAGTTTGGTTATGTAGATTTGATGTGTTTTATTTACTTTTATGACTGCTGTGTTTGTAAATCTTTTCCTATTGTAAGCCGCCTTGAGCATTGTTTTAACTGTGGAAAGGCGGAATACAAATAAAATGATGATGATGATGATGATGATGATGATGAAGTCTCTCCATCCCTCAATCCCTGTCCTCCACTGCTGGATGCAGTAAATGCCTCTGGATTCCAGTAGCTGAGAATCCCAAGTGGGGAGAGGAGGCACTGCTGCTGCTGTTTGCATCTGTTTGCATCTGGCTGGTCTCTGAGAACAGGATGCTGGAGTTAACTGGCCTGGTCCAGCAATCTCTTCTTCCTCTTGCAGCCCCTTCCTGTCTCTTGTCCTCCAGGGTCCCTGCAGCTGGCTGAACCCACTCCTGGAAAGGTGCAAATATTTTCTCAACAGCTACTAACCCAGAAGCAAAAATAATTGTAGGGGGTGCTGAAGGGGGTGGGGAGGCCATAGCAGCAGCAAAGGCCGGCAGTGCACTGTGGGGACTGGAGTCTGGTCCAGCTGTTCTTCCCCCTTTTCCTTCCCCCCCAGCAGGACAGCCCCCCTCACTCCTTTCCCAGACTCCCCTTCTCCCCCCTTCTTCCCAATCCATCTTTCCTGATCTCTCCCAGCTGCTGCTGGAGGAAGGAGAAGGTGACAGGAGCCGCCTGGACTGGATGAGCGGAGCTGAGTCAGCAGAAGCACAGGTCCTGCAGGGCCCCTGGGAAAGGAAGAGGAGGGGGCTTCCCCGCTGCTTGTGCTCTGCAGGGTCCCAGAGAGAGAATCACAGAACCACAGAGTTGGGACCCCCAGGGGTCATCTAGTCCAACCCTCTGCAATGCAGCAATCTCAGCTAAAGCATCCATGACAGATGGCCATCCAACCTCTGCTTAAAAACCTCCAAGGAAGGAGAGATCACCACTTCCCATGGGAGTCCGTTCCACTGTCGAACGGCTCTTGCCGTCAGAATGCTCTTCCTGATCTTTAGTCAGAATCTCCCTTCTTGTAACTTGAAGCCATGGGTTCGAGTCCTACCCTCCAGAGCAGGAGAAAAGAAGCTTCTTCCCTCTTCCACATGACAGCCCTTGAGATATTTTAAGATGGCTCTCATATCTCCGCTCAGTCACCCCTTTCCCAGGCTGAACATCCCCAGCTCCTTCAACCATTCTTAATAAGGTTTGGTTTCCAGACCCTTGATCATCTTGGTCTCCCTCCTCTGCACGCCTTCCAGCTTGTCCATATCCTCCTTAAACTGGGATGCCCAGAACCAGACACGGGGCTGCAGGTGGGCAGAACAGAGTGGGACTGTGACTTCCCTTGATCTGCACACCAGATTTGGTCACATCTTGGTCACATGTCCAGCCTGGTCTGGCCAGGCAAGGCGCTCCTCCATCCAGGCCTCTCCTGGTTCTTCTTATCCAACAGGAGCTAGCATAAGTTTACCAGATTTTTTTCAAAGAATCCGGGGACACTTTTTTTTTTAAATAAAGAGAAGTCAGTTGACCGGGTGGCCGGGCGCACTCGTTCCTGGTTTGATTTGGGTCATGGTATGCGTGTGTCAGCAGTTCCCCCTTGGCAGTGGCAGCGGCGGCCTCAGCAGCCCGGAGTCAGCCTGGTAGCGCAGCTGGCTCTGGCTTGCTTCAGGAGCTGCTCGCTGCCGTGGCGCCTGCCATTTTGCCTCATCGGAAGTCCCCGTATGATGTGTCTTGTGCCGTTGAACCAATCACGCAACGTTCATTCCCTACTAATAAACCTACAACTCTTAAAATATAAATCCGGCGACATTAAATCAAATCCGGGGACATTCCGGGGATGGATTTTGTCTGGGGACAGATTTGTAAATCCGGGGACTGTCCCTGAGAAAGGAGGACATCTGGTCACCATAAGCTAGGAGGGTGTGTGTGTGTTGGGTCTCTCTCTCTAGAAAGTGAGACCCATGCCTTTCCTTTCAGGGGGCATCTTGGGCTCTCCTGTCCCAGGGATCATTCTATCTTTGCTCTATCTGCTTCACCAAGTTGGCTGAGAGAAGGTTCGTGCTTAGGATTGCTCATAAAGGCAGAACGTCCAAGAACCAACCATTTCCCCAGAAGGGCCAAAAACACCAGAGTGACCACCGAACAAACCGACCGGATGCAGCTCAGACACGAAGGTGCATCATCCAGGCTTTTGAATTCCCACTGGGTTTGCTTGGGCCAGAAGTTCTGAAAACTTCCAGTGAAAGAAGAGCCGATTCCACGAAAACCCTTTTCTCTGGAATTGTCATCATTTGTTCTCTCTCTCTCACAGACACACACACACAACCTCCCAGGAGAGAATCCAGATGGCATTGCCAAATCACAGAACTGTAGAGTTGGAAGGGACCCCAAGGCTCATCTAGTCTATCCCTTGTCGTGCTAGAACTGCAGCAAATTCTTGCCCTTAATCTTCCAATATTCAGTTTCCTTAGTTGTCCATGAGTTCTAGAGTAACAAGGAAAAAAACACCACATCTCTCCACTTTCTCCCTGTCATGTGTGACGTCTATCCTGTCGCCTCTTCCTGAGAGCAAGACAAAATTCAGGACGCCAAGTTGGTGAGCATTCCTGCCTCCAGTGGGAGAGAGTTCCATAGTCTAACTACACACTGCATAAAGAAGAGCTTTCTTTTGTGTGTTCTCTCCTCCCTTGTCGCTGGGCTCTGCCCTGGCCTGCCCACTTTCTCCATCTCCCCACTCGGCTCTGCTTTCCTTCCTTTCCCCTGGATCAGGGCCTCCCCCAGCACACCAGGCCTGCCGTTTCTCTCCCAGGCCTTTGCTGCCCCGGCCATCGCCAGATAAAAGGCCTGCAAGCATTCCATGACATCAAACGCAGCCAATCCGGGACGCAGCCCCCACAAGTCCCACCCCCATGTGCTCTTGCTCTGTAGGCCGCTCTCTTCCCAAAGGCTGCTTTGTCCCCACTTTCGGCTGTAGCAAAGCGCACCAGGAGGGTTTCCGCTCCGGAGTCCCAGGACTGGAAGAGAGGAGCCTGGTGCCTTGAGCAGCCGCCTTCCTGCTGTCACATCAGATTTGACTGGGAGGTCAAGGAGAAGTTCCTGCTCTGTGGAGGTTTCCTGCCTGATGCAGCTGTCGTGGTCAAAACTGGGGCTGCCCTGCATTCATTTTTATCGATTTTCCAACGAAAAACAACCAATTAAATATCCAATCATAATACTTCAATAAAAAAATTAAAAAACTAAAATAAAAAAGATCAAATGATAGTCCAAATTGTATTTGTTAATTTCTTGGGGCTCCCCACGGTCTGGATCTCTAGAGCATATCTCCTGCCCTGCATTGATTTATTCAGAGAGTTTATAAGCTGCTTTTGTTGTTTTAAGTGGTTTAAATCTCTAAGTGGTTTCCAGCACATCTGAAACCTTCATAGATAAAGATCAGCAAGGACAGGCCTTTGCTGGCAGTGAGGGGGTGGGGGGGAGTCTCTGGGTCAGGCAGCCCCAGCAGATAACGCCAGTTCTGGCCCGTCTGCAATGAGTGCCAGTCGGGGTCTGGTCCAACTCAGAGCAAGGGCTTGGTGGTGTAAAGCAGCGAGAGGGACCTGGATCCGGCCCGAGGGCCAGATCCAGAACTCTCCCATCCCTCTGGGCAAGTGAGACTTGAATCAGTCAGATCTCGAATTCCAGATACAGCTGCAATGGAGCTTCTTCAATTATTGCATTCACATCCCACCTCCTTCCTCCAAGGGGCTCAAGGTGACCTGCACCCTTCTCCCCCTCCTCATTTATGCTCCACAACAACCTTGTGAGGTAGGTTAGGCTGAGAGGCTGGCTCCCAAGTCACCCAGGGGGGATTTGAACCCTGGTCTCTCCCAGGTCCTGGTCACTCAAAGCGACTGGGCAAGCGCTCATCCCGTCCTCCCCATTGCTAGAAAGCCTTTAATTGCATTTTAACCTGTATTTTAAATTGGCTTTTTTTCCCCTTTCCCTCCATTATGCTTTTACTGTGATTTTATTGGTGTTAGCCACCCTGAGCCTGGCTCTGGCTGGGGAGGGCAGGGTATATCGTATTTTTTGCTCTATAAGACTCACTTTTTCCCTCCTAAAAAGTAAGGGGAAATGTGTGTGCGTCTTATGGAGCAAATGCAGAATGCGCAGCTATCCCAGAAGCCAGAACAGCAAGAGGGATTGCTGCTTTCACTGCGCAGCGATCCCTCTTGCTGTTCTGGCTTCTGGGATTCAGAATATTTTTTTCTTGTTTTCCTCCTCCAAAAACTAGGTGCGTCTTATGGTCTGGTGCGTCTTATAGAGCAAAAAATACGGTAAATAAATATTATGATGATGATGATGATGATGATGATGATGTTCAGGACCCCAGGATCACAAGGTCTGCATCTCCCCAGACTGCCCTCCCCAAGAAGCCTTCCTTGGAGGCAAGTGCAGAGGCTGCCAATGGGAGGAGAGGCCTTGCCAGTGGTGGCCCCTTGGCTGTGGGCTGCTCTCCCCCTGGGAGGCTCACCTGGTGCTTTCAGGCAAAGACATTCTTATTCTCTCTTTGATGAGGTTCGAGGTTCTTCTGCTTGGGGCGGAGAAGGATCTTTTCCTAGCTTTCAGTATTCCATATGATGCGACTGTTTTGACTCTTCTGTTGCCTTTTCTTCAAGCCAACCCAACTTGTTTTTGTAAAAAGTGATGGATGGAAGAATGAAATAACCCAAGGCTGCTTGAGACAGGATGGAGCCAGGCGCCCATTTAGGGGTCCAGACTCAATCAAGGGCCAAACCAGTTAAGCTTCTTGTTATGTAAATAACAGCTGCTAAGGAGCCTGAGCAGGATCAGAGCTGGAGGAGTTTTGAGAGGAGGAGAAGGGAGCCAAGTCTGTCCCTGAGCGGAGCCTCTTCCTCCCTGGGGGGGGGGAGCCCTGTGAAAAGACCCTTTTTAGCACGTTGCTGACATCTGCAGGGCAAACGTGTAAAGGAAGCAGAGCCGAAGAGAAGGCTGTGGAGAATAAGACTTACAAAGTTGTCATTAGAGTCACTGATAACAGAACCATAGAACTGTTGACTTGGAAGGGACCCCGAGGGTCATCTAGTCCAACCCCCTGCAATGCAGGAATCTTTTGCCCAATGTGGGAATTCGAACCCACAACCCTGAGATGAAGACTGTTGCAGGAATTTATGTATAGTTTGGGGAGGGGTTGCCCCTCCAGCAGATCTCATGCACTACCAAAATCAGCACAATCACTTTTGTGACTTTTGTGATTTGTCCCCACAAAACACTTCATCACATTTTCAGTTTCTTCCTATCTATTCAAAGGGCCTCTGCTGCACGATAACAAATGTAAGAATTCACTGATAAATGCATCTATGTAATGGCTCACTGGGGAAACTTCAGAAATTCATCTAGACCTGTGAGCTCAGCTACTCAGCAGCCCCTCTGCCTGTGGGATAATTCCTGGCATCCTGATACCTGAGTGCCAGACAGGTAGCCATTCCAGAAAGAACAAACCCAGATGAAGACAAAAGGGTGTAATGAACTTGGCTGGGAAACAGGGAAATGTAAAGATCTTTATTGTTATACTTGATGGGTGTTTGGTGGAGGGCAAGGGGAACCATGGGGCAGGGTCCAGGATGCTCAGATTCCTGCCACCAGACCTCCCCTTTCATGATGTAACCATGCTATATTAGTGATGTAGTTTGGGGGGGGGGGTGAAACATGGGGATTAGCAGCTAATAAAAGTTTGGGTTCTCTTTTGTTTGGGGCTTCCATCTTGTTTCACCTGGTGGCAGGTGGGAGTCCTGTTGCCACAGTCTTCAATCAAGACCAAGCCTCCTGGCTGCTCTTTTGCTCTGGTATTCCTGGCTGGGGTCCTTGTTTTTGGTCCAAGGGAGCCCTCAGATTTCTCCGTTAACAAGACTAAGCACATTAAAACTCCCAACTCCATGGACATGATGGGTCTTCAGCTGGGTGCCCAGAGAGGCTGAGCTGCCTGTAGGGTTGGCGGCCGCTGGCTGGACCTAGCAAGGGGGGACTGGCGTCTCCAGAGTGACCAGGCGGGTCATGGGGGGGGGGGGCTTTGGGCTGCTTCCCCACTGAGTCTGCTGCCTCAGAGGAGAGAGAGCGGCTCTCCCTCAGGACCAGTTGCCCTTCTCTGCCCAGCCCACAGCCAAAGGTTGCAGCCCTGGCAGCTGTTTAGTCTGGAGAAAAGGCGCATGAGAGGCGACAGGATGGAGGGAGACCCCATGGGACCCCGAGGGGCTCCTCTCCTCACCCCCCTGCTGGGGACCCCCACACGCCTCTTGGGCAAAAAATGCATTTGCTGGTCTTGGAATAACAGACATGGAGAGTTGGAAGGGATCCCAAAGGCCATCTAGTCCACCCCTCGCAATGCAGGGAGGGGCCGAGGGGGGATTGGGGGTCAGCCCCGCCAGAAGGACCAGCAAGAGCAGCGGGGGGGGGTGCTCTGATGTGGGGCTCGGAAGCTCCTGCCTGCCAACCCTCAAGGAAGGCGGGGGGGGGGCATCCCAGGGTCCAGAAGGGAGCGAAGGAGCCCATGCGAGGGAGGAGCGGCAGCCCTGCGGGCAGAAGGCCGGTGCCCGGAGCCATGCCTTGCAAGAGGCCCTGGGCTCCCCCTTGAGCGCTCTTCTTCGGCCAGGGCAGCGCCTTGCACGCCTGACACGCGTCCTGAGCGTAACGTGTGAATGTGCGGAGCGGCTCTCCCGTGCAGGAAGGCGATGGGCTGCGAGAGGGAGGGCGACTCCGGGCCGGGAAGGGCGCGCGGCGAGGAGCCCAGTTCCCTTCCTTCGCCTCCTCCTCCTCCCATGTCCGCCAGGGGGCGCCCCAGAGCCGCGCCTCCTTCGCCCGGCGGAGAGACGAAGAGCGCTGCTACGCTCTGCCCGCAGGGGGCGCCGCCTCTCGGCGAAAGAGAGAGGCGGAGCAGAGAGTAGCCGAGGCCCAGAGCGGAGGGCAGAGCGAGAACATGGGATTATTTTTTTGCCTACAACTCCCATCATCCTTTGCTACCAGGACCAGCGGTGAGGAATAGTGGGAATTGTAGTCCCAAGTCATCTGGAGGGCCGAGTTTGGCCCTGCCTGGGCTAGAGCGTCCCCGTCCGCATCGAGCAGGCGAGGGGCAGAGCGTCGCCGGACATCCGGCCCGTTCCCCACAAGGCGTGGCGGCTGGAGCTGGGCAGACGTGTCTCCGCGCTCGCCGGACCGAGAGATCGAGGGAGGGATCGGGATCCGCCAGGTGAGGAGACTCGGCCTCCGCCGCCCCCCCGCCGGCCCCCTCCCCCCGCCTCGCCTGACCCTCTCCCCCCTCCCTCCCCCCCCCCAGGATGGTGACGGACGTGCAGCTGGCCATCTTCGCCAACATGCTGGGCGTCTCGCTCTTCCTGCTGGTCGTCCTCTATCACTACGTGGCCGTCAACAACCCCAAGAAGCAGGAGTGACGCCCCGGAGGAGCAGCAGGAGGAGGACAGGTACCAATGGGGGGGGGGGGACAGATTCCTAGCCAGAGGGTGGTCAAAGTCTACAGCTGCCCGGGCATAACTACCTGACATTTAGAGGGCATCTTAAGGCAGCCCTGTTCAGGGAAGCTTTTAATCTGTGATATTTTACTGTATTTTTTGTTTCTATGGAAGCCGCCCAGAGTGGCTGGGGAAACCCAGCCAGATGGGCGGGGTACAAATAATAAATTATTATTATTATTATTATTATTATTATTCTCTGCCTCCACCGTTGCAGGCAGTAATGCTTGTGAGAACCAGCTGTTGGAGACCATGGCGGGGGGGGGGGGGGAGTGTTCTTGGGCTTGAATCCTGCTTGCTGGTTTCTCACAGGCATCCGCTTGGCCACTGCAAGAAGCTGAATGGTTTCTTTAAAGGTGAAGGTTCATTATTGTTTCACAAGTTGCGTATGTCTTTAAGGGCCAGGGCAAGTAAGGAGACCCAGCTTTACAGCTGTGAAACATAGCAGGTGCTGCCGAGTTGTGTTAATTAAGCTGTGTCAGCAATTGAGTCCAGTATATAAGGAGCAGCACCCTGGGGGATCGGTTGGTGGTTGGGTCACGTTTGTTGTTGTTATCTTTAGTGTAAAAGGAGTTTTTGTTTTTGTTATTAAAACCTTGTTTAAGTACTTTTTGAGTCTCTTTTTAATGCATGGTCTCCCCAGCAAGCGCTCTGCAGCGCTACTAAACCGCAAATAGCCAACACTTAGTTCTAGCTAAGTTGGGAATGCAAAGGAGTCAGGCTTGCTCGTTGAATCTCTGCAGAAGAAAGAGGCCAAGATGTCTCCTCTGCAGAGGTGAGCTTGAGAAGCCCCCCCCCCTCCCCAGCCTCACCTCTCCCTGTTTCTCTTCCCACCCTCAGGAGCCGCCGCTGCCACCAAGCAGGGAGCCATGGCTGGAGCAACGCCCCCCACCCGAAGCCCTTCTGGGTCCGCGCGGCCCCTGCAGATGCCGCCAATGACGCCCGCCGATGGTTGATTATTTTCCATTTTGTCAAACGAAATTTATTAATAGAAACGTGTTCACAAGACAAATCTCCTGTCAAAAAATAGCTTCCGAGCCAGTAACCAACTATGTACACAGCTGCTGCAGAAAGGGCCTGGTGGGGGGGTGGGGAGGCTGGTCTTTCCTGGGGGCTCCTTCCCAGGCCAGCTGGTCCACAGGGCACAGGAGGTGGATGCCAACTAGGCCCTGGGCGGCGCCTTGTGTAGCTGGCCACCGCTGGGAGAGCGCGGCCCCTCGTAGGCGGGGAGGCGGCTCAGAGCCAGGACCATGGGCTGGCGAGTCCCAAAGAGCAGCTTGGGCTTGAAGGGGCAGGGGCGGGGCGGAGGGCTGGGGGGAGGCCGGGGCGAGCGCTCGCCGGACGCCGCCAGCGGGGAGGGTGTCTCAGGCGGTCTCTGGCGCACCACGGGGGGAGGCGTCGGTGTCGTCGGCGTGTCGCTGGCGCGCTGTTGCGGGGCGGCTGCGGAGGCGCTGGAACGGGTGGGCCGCAGCTGCTCCGGCCCCCCTGGCGGATCAGGCCTCTGTGCAGAAAGACAGGATCTTGTGGTAGGTGAGCTGGGGGGGATCTGCTTGCCCCGGGATGTGCTGCAACAGAGAGATCTGGCTCAGGGGGGGAGGCGAGCGGCGTCACCGTCGGGGCGAGGCTGCCCCCCGAGCTGCTTCAAGGGGGAGGGTGGCCGCTGCCTACGCCGCGGTGGTTGCGCTTTGGCTTCTTCTTCTTCCTCTTCGGCCTACAGGGCGGGGGCTCTAGGGGAGGGCAGCGGCTGCAGGGGAGCCATACCTCGTCCAGCAAGACGTTGGGGGGGTTGCACAGAAAAAGCGGCTCTTCCCTCTGGCCCGTGGCCGTCAGCTCCGGAACGTCCAGCGGAAACTCTGCAAGGAGAGCAGACCATCAGCAGCAGGAGCAACTCCACTAGGGGAAAAGGCGGAAACACGGGAGGGAGGCTTCGCAGGAGGTTAGTCTAACAGGAATTAGCTGTTATAGGCGGGGGGGGGGGGGGGAGGCCCAGCCTGCCTGCTAGGGATGCTGTCAGGGTGGCACTCCTGAATCAGTAGGGGCTGCTTAGACTAGATGATGCTGGATACCACTTTGTTTATAATATATATATATATACACCCACACCCACACACACCCACACACCCACACACACACACTTCTGTATCACAGAAATATACTGCAGCGATTTACAACGATATAAAACAAAACCATGCAGTAATAACATAGAAAGTTTAGAACAAGTTAAAAGTGTTATCAGCTCTGGGAACCTGCAACCCCCATTCTAAGGAGGGACATGTTAGAGCAGGCATAGGCAAACTCAGCCCTCCAGATGTTTTGGGACTACAACTCCCATCACCCCTAGTTTACAGGACCAGGGGTCAGGGATGATGGGAATTGTAGTCCCAAAACATCTGGAGCAGGGGTCAGCAAACTTTTTCAGCAGGGGGCTGGTCCACTGTCCCGACCTTGTGGGGGGCCGGACTATAGTTTGAAAAAAATATATATGAATGAATTCCTATGCCCCCCCAAATAACCCAGACATGCACTTTATATAAAATGACACATTCTACTCATGTAAAAACACGCTGATTCCCAGACTGTCTGCGGGCCGGATTTAGAAGGTGATCTGGCCCCCGGGCCTTAGTTTGCCTACCCATGATCTGGAGGGCCGAGTTTGCCTATGCCTGTGTTAGAGGCTTACAGAATAATGGATAATGTGGAGAAAGTGCCCCCCCGACTCCCTAATACTAGAACCTTCGAATGTCATGAATCTACTGCAGGAGAGCAGGTTGAGGAGAAACAATAGGAAGGACTTCCCCACAGGATGTAATTAAAACTGCTAAATTCACTTCTACAAAATGTGACGTTCACCTATATTGCAGATGGCTTTAAAAGGAGACTACGACACAAATTATTTCACTTATGGGTTCCTTCTCTACAAGGCACCCCAAAGTGGTTTACTATGCAGTAAAAGCAAACAGAACAAGTGTGTGTGTGTGCATACACACACACACACACACACACACACACACACACACCTAAAACACTTGCATATATATAAAAAACCTTACACACAGAAAAATAGTTTAAAGCAATGCATATATAAATCCATTCAGTTCTGAAACAGATACCAGCTGGAGTAAAAGCCTCTACTTGAAAGGCTTGTGTTAAAAAAGGAAGAAAATGTGCCTGATATATGACAGGGAGTTCCAAGGAGCGGATGCTGCTACACTGAAGGCCCAATTCTGCCACTACGGATTGGACCACCTGGTGCAATAGTATCTCTGCAGGTGTCCCCTCCTGTAGAAGACAGTGACTGGTTGGGCGTGTAGGAATTCATGGAGGATAAGCCGTCAGTGGTTAATAAGTAGGCAACCAACCTCACGTACTAGGTGCTTTGAGGGAGAATGACATTGTGCTCTGTAACTCGGAGGCTTCCCACAGGCATCTGGTTGCCACTGTGAGAACGGGATGCTGGACCAGAGGGCCTGAGGCTGCTGTCTGACCCAGGAAATGAGGGAGCTGAAGCCTGCCAAGGTGCCATCTCTGGAAGTCCAGCAGGCCTGGGCACAGGGCATCTCCTCCCCCCGGGCACTTAGCAGAGGAGCCTACCTGGCAGGGAACTCTGAGCTGGCAGCTGCGAGGGGGCATATTTCCACACCTTGAGGGAGGAGTCATCACTGCAGCCATTGAGCCTGAGCAGATGCTGGGACTGTCCAGCCGGTCTCCTGCGGATGGGGATCCGGCTCGGCCGAGGCATCAGAATTTCCAGCCTGTGGGGAGAGCGCAAGGCTAGGAGGGGGCTCAGCAGCCAAGCCACTCGGGCGAGAGAACTGGGAGAGGTTGAGCAGCAGCCTGAATGTCTGCCTGGCTTCCTGGGGAGGGATAAACTTCCAGAGGGCCGAGGCAGGCTCTGTTTTCCTGCTCTCATGCCTGCTCCACCTCAGGCACAGCAGGGGGGCCAGTGCACTCTCCACCCCCCACCCCACCCCCGGTGCTTTCACTGTCTGCTGTCTTGCAGCCTTACCTGGGTGTCTCTGAGAGCTGCTCGCTGTTCAGCCGCCTTGAAATATTCTGCCAAAGAAAGAGAAGTCAGAGGCTGCCTGGCTTGCTTGAGCTGCCATGAGCAGTGGAGCAGCCACAGGCAACGGGGAGCCTTCGTTTGGGGAGGAGGGGGAGTAAATCAAGGCCCACGCCTCCTGTTGCTTTCTGGTTGCAAAAGAGGACTGCTGCTGCCCATGACTTCTGGCTCAGGGCTGCAGTCCAGCTGCAAGCTAGGAGCTGAGTCCAGCCCACCCCCCCACCTGTCTAACCTCTGCCCCTTTACCTGCAGCAAGGCTAGGCCACAAGGTGGAGGCGGTTTCAGCTCCTCACTGGGGTGCTCTGCCTCCTGCAGTCCATTGCAGCCAGGCCCTGCGTGACCAAGGAGAGAGGGGGGGGAGATGAACATCCTTGGAGGCAGCAAGAGGTGTTCCTGGTTACAAGGACTGGCTGGGAGAGGGTTGTGCTGCCCCACAGCGCAAGGGGAGAGGCCACTAGCCAGGCCAGGCCAGTTTCTGCTGTCCTCTGCCTGCCCAGGCAGCAGCAACACAAGCTCCAAGGTTTGTCAGGGAGGATGGGCTGATCCCCTGAGAACACTGGTCCTTGCATATACAGTGGTACCTCTGGATACGAACGGGATCCGTTCCAGAGCCCCATTCGCATCCTGAAGCAAACAAAACCTGCGTGGGTTGCAATTCACCACTTCTGCGCATGACATCACTTTGACCGTCTGCGCATGCGCGAGCGGCGAAACCCAAAAACGCTCAACCTGAAGCAACTTCAGCCCGAGGTATGACTGTACCACAAGTCTCTAGAACTGGTTGCACCCTCAAGCAAAGCCCCGGAAATTATGTTATAGGTCAGCAAATCTTCCAAGTAATTGGCCAAGCCCAAAGCAAAAGTGCTCAGGGCTGAATGCCAAGCTCCAGAGAGGCAGCGATGCTTCTGAGTACCACTTGCTGGAACAGCCACAGGAGGGAAAAGGGCTCTTGGGCTCAGACCCCGCTGAGGGGTTGGCCACTGTGAGAACAGGATGCTGGCCTAGATGGGCCACTGGCCTGATCCAGCAGGCTGGTCTTGGGAGAGCCTCCACATCCCTTTCTCCACCTGGAACATTTCCAGGCCTCAGTGACGAAAGCGGGTCAAACAGCCGGCTTGCCGACCTGCTGCCACCCCCACCCCCCAAATGCAGGGGCAGGAGCTGCTGCTGGCTTTTTCTGAGCGGCTCCCACCCCCAATGCCAAAACTGCTCCTTTGCCCCAGCCTGAGAAAAGGCTCTCCCACCAAGGCCCTCGCCCTGGGTCAGTTTGCAAGGGAATGCATCATCTGCAGGCCTCTTTGAAGGCTGCTCTCCTGTCTGCCTTTCCTTCTCTTCCCCAGGGTGAACAAGCCAAGGAGGGAAGCGGCATCAAGGGTTAAGCTCTGCTCCTGCCGGCCGCCCATGCAGGACACAGCTGAGTCAGGGGCTGTGCTGGGAAAGAGAGCAAGAACTGGGAGGCAGTCCCCGGTCGAGTAAGAATTCGCTTCTACACCTTTGAAACTATTAAGATCAGAAATATACACCTTGGGTCTCTAATTCCTTTATCACCACCTCCCAACTGACTGGGGACTTTCGGTAGGAGAAAGGGAGGCAAGAAGTTCCCTGCTTCTGCTGCTGCCCTCTCTCGCCTGACTCGGGCATGGGTGGCACCTGAGAACCGGCAGGAAGAGGCCAGTGCTTGACTGGCATGCCGGGCTCTGCCCCGGGCTTGCTCCAGCAGCCAAGGGGCTCACACTTGTGTTGCCAAGGCGGCCTTTAGTCAAGCTAGGTTGAATGAAGGACTACGCACCTGTCATGTTGAGGGTGGCTGGGAGGGGGCAGGAGCCGAGGCCGGTCGGCAGCTGGAGGTGAGAGGCCGTCCTGGTGGAAGAAGAGAGAGGTGGGGGCGCCTGGATGTTGCTCACTGCTGCTCGCAGCAAGGACTGGTGCTGGTGACGGCGCTTCTCCTGGACGCGCGACTCTGAGCAGGGAGAAAGGACAAGGCAAAGCCGAGTTCTGCGAGGGGGCAGCGGGGGTGGCCCCATCATGCACCTCCCTCCCCTTCGCAGGGCTTGAACACATTTTGCCCAGAAGAAGCCGGGGGTGGGGTGGGGGAAATCCATTCTCTTGTCTCCAACAAAGGCCAGTTCTTGAGATCACAGCTGTTCTGTTCACTTGGGGAGGGGGGCAGATCTGTGCCACCTATCTGCTGCCCCAAGGGAGCCCAAAGCGCCTGCATAGTGGCAGCCAATTCTGGAGGGCTGTCGGGCACCACACACCACTGAGAACAGGGGCAGCAGTGGGGAGAGGCAGCGGCTTGGCTGGGGCGATGTGGCCTTTTGAGGGCCTCCAACCTCAGCCCAGGGAGAAGCCCGTTTTGTGGGGGAGGCAGGGAACAGCAGCAGGTTGCTGCACCTGCAGAGCTACAAGGTGGTGAGCCCCTCCCCTCTGATACACTCCTTGGGGTGGGTGGGGGCACAAATCCCACAATCCTTCAGTGCATGCAGTGACTGCATTATATATCTCTCTCTCTATTCAGGCTATCTCTATCCTTCCTTCAGGAGGAGGAAAGAGAGAGGGGCATCTCTGCAGCAGTGCTAGGGCTGCTGAAGCCACACTCCGCTGCCTGCCTGTGCTTTGCCCAGGTCCTTCCTCCTTCCTCAGCACAGCATTACCTTCTTCTTGAGGTGGCACTTGCCTGATGGTGCTCTATCAGCCCAGCTGACCCCCGGCTGAACTCCTCGACTGTGGGAGGGAGGGAGGCAGCTAATCCATGGGGAAAGCTGGGTCACCTTGGAGGCAGCAGAGCTGGTGATGGAGGACGGTTGGGCCTTGGCAGGGAGAGGCTCTCATCTTTGCCTGGGCACAAAGCAGCTCACTGGGCAGCCTCAATCAAATTACTCTTGGCATAATCTGACTCGCAGGGCTACAAAGGATCCCAAAGGCCAGGGGTGGCCCAGGATGTTTTTGTGGGCAAAATGCTCAACACCGCTGCCCCACTGCCCCTGCCATTGCCCCCACACTGCTGCTGGCAGCTGCACCCTCACCTGCCGTGGCATCTGCAGTGCCACAATGCAGAAGTAGCTGGGATGGCAAGGGGGCGTTGGTGCAGGTGGCACTGCAGGTGGGGCTGGCAGTGGTGCAGTAGCAGGGAGCCCAAGGGCAAACGGCTTTGCCTCGCCTCATGGAAGCTCCCTGAGCTTCTTGCAGGAAGCGTGGGAGAGGAACGTGGCCCACTGCCACACGGGGGCTGGCCTGAGAGAAACGCCCCCCTCCCTAGCAGGCGCCCTGCTGCTGGAGAGCTCCCTCCTTCCCTGCAGGACCAGCTCACCTGCCGCTTCCTCAGGAGTAGCGCCACCACCACCAGCAGCAGCACAGGCCTCTGCCCAGCGCTCTACATAAGACCCCCACGGGTCCCCTGAAGCCTGGGGTTCCCCTCGGTTCAGAGAGCAGGGCGGGGGGCTCGGGTTGACTGGGGGCCAGCTCTCACAGGATGACTGGGATCTATTGTGGAACACTTTTATTTCACGAGAAAGAGGGAGGGAGAGAGACAGAAAGAGAAAAGGCGAGATTCTTGCAAGGCTGTCACTTCTGCCAGCGCAGCCACTCCCAGATCCTCCGGATTGCGCCCAGCACGGATCCTCCACAGAGCTTACCTCGCACGACCGCCAGCACCCTCGAGGCACCTTTCGGGGGGCCCTGGCCCATGCCCAGGGGGCCATCGGGGTGGGAGCAGCTGAAGGTGAAGCTGGGCGAGGTCTTGACCTGCGGGGACGCCACCTGCTGGTTGCTGCTGCTCCCGTTGCTGAAGCTGCGGCCCCGGCAGAGGGAGTTATCGGAGCTGGAGGCGGAGACCCCGCTGGGAGGGAAGGCCAAAGGGAGGCGTCACCGCCGGGGCAGAAACCCAGCGCGCCCGCCCTGCGAGGTGGCCCAGGAAGAGGCAGCCTCTGACGCACCAGGTTTCATTTCTCAAGGTGTATGAATAGGGGCACGGGTGGGGATTCCCCCCGCCCCCAGGCCTCTATCATTTATTCTGTCTTGCAACACGACACCATCCCTCCTCAAGATCTACCCTTTAGCCTCTCAGTCCCTCTATCCTGCTGGAAAGAACTACATGGGCAATGGGCCCAAACGTGCATTCTCTCCCTTCCCCCTCCAATATTTAAATACGCGCAGTTGCATATTGCCAGCCGTCCCTGCGGTTGGGGGCATTTATCCCACGCTGGTTCCAAAAGAGTAAAATGGGCCCTCTTTGATCCCTGCTGAATCCAACCACGGGGAACCAAGGCTAGGGAAAAGGAGGCTTCTTTCTGCAAAATCTGACTGGGATCCAATGCTGTGCTTCAGACCAAGCCTGCCCCCTCCATGCTAAGATATACCCGTCCCATTTGAAAACTGCTGTTTCAAGCCTCGCAACCTGTCCTTGGGCCTGAAGGTGACTGAGTGGGCCACCCAAAAGTTGAGATTTAGCAGTACAGTAATTCCTGCACTGCAGGGGGTTGGACTAGATGGCCCCTGGGATCCCTTACAACCCTACAATCTTATGATTCTTCGATAATCCTCTGGGGAGAGGGGCTTCTGCCTGCTCTACTGCCTGCTTGGCAAAAGGTCAGCTCTGGTTCTCCTCCTCCTCCACCTGAGCCTTTGATGGGACCAGGAGGAAGAGGCTTTGGCGGCAGCAGGCGCAGAAGAGCAGGAGGGCCCCAGGGGCTTGTGGGTCCTGCATCCGGACTAGAGCAGGAAGGCCTGTCGGAAGGGACCCTGGGAGCCCTGGCGCCACCCCACCGGCCTCTGCCCAGCCCCAGCCTCCGTACTTGGTCCCCTTGGGAGGAGTCTTGGCCCCCTTCCTCCGGGAGCAACCGGCCACGCCCCTCATGCTGCGCACATGCTTCATCATCCAGGCACGGAGGTTGCTAAGGCAGCTGTGTTCGGAAAGGACGATCCGGGGCCAGGGGTTGCATTCGGCCATGTCCAGCGCTGCGATGGCCAAGGCCCTTCCCACCTGGGCACAGGGAGAGAGACACCAGGAAGCCCTGAGCACTGTGAGGCCCCAGGCAAATTCACCGGCTCTCGAAGGCAACACAGCTAAGAGAGGAAGACTTGCTGCTGCTTTTTCTTTTGCCTGACCAAAACCACTCAAGGAGGCCCCATCCGCCCGGGGGCAAGTCCCTGGAATTATGCACCCACTGACACCCACACAAAGCTCATCTAATAAAGGGGGGCGGGGGAGGCTGATACCTGCTCAAAGAGCTCCACTGTGTATTTGGAGGGGAATGCTGGCAGAGGAGGGGGGGTTGCCCGCCCGTTATCGTGACAAGCGGCTGGAACTGCGTTGACAGACCGTCCCGTGTTGTAATTGCACTCCAGCGTGTAGCTAGAAGGAACAGAGGGGTTATAGGTTGCCTCCTGCAAACGTCTCTACGCGTGTTGCAAAAACACACAGTTTAAAAGACAGCAATTCAATTCTTGTGCATGTTATCAATAAAACGTGTTCCTGTGGACACCCAGCTCCACTGACATGCTCACCACAGGCTCCCCCCCCCCCTTTATTTTTAAACTGATCCCACACCAAGAAGTAGCCGGGTAGGATAAAAGACATTTCCACCTGGCAGTGTTTAGGATCCACCATCAGGCTTTAACGGTGGAGGGGAAGAGGGCTAACTTTTGACCAAGGAGGAGGAGTTCCTGCTGCCCCCAGGCCAGAAAGACAGATCGGACTATAACCACCCTAACCAACACACTCTACCAAATGCGGACTCCGATCCACAATGAACTGGGCCTCATCCATCCTGCCCTCAGCCAGCACTGCCACTATGGATACAAACTACTTTGGCCACCCAACTCTCCCCAGCTGCCTATTCTGCCAGGATCCTCTAATGAGAGACTCTCAAAGGAGGAGAGGACTGATGCTCCTGACCGTATTTATTCCATGGTCCAAATCAGCTCTGAGCTGATCTAGAATGGGTCTCTCTTTACGGAGGCAGAATCTTTCATATTCTGAAGCTGTCTGAAGGCAGGTATGGAGCAGAAGGCATAAGTGGCTGGTCTGTCGGTGAGGCTGTGTCCTCTGCTCACCTGTGAATGATGCCCAAGGCCTTGTAGATGGCCACGCGCCCGCTGCCCTCCTTCGACTGCCCGTCCCGCTTGTCCTTGGCGTACATGTTCTTCTCGGAGAAGTTGCAGCCCGTGAAATCAAAGTGAGCAGAGTTCATGGCAATGAGCTTGGGGAAGAGCATGTTTTCAACCTGCAAGATCAACCAGAGAGGTTGGGGCTGCCGTTTCTCACCTACACTCAGGCACAGCGAGCTGAGCTCACCCAATGAAACTGACACCAGCAGAGTCCCCAGTGCTACTCAGCAGCCACCCCCAGGAGACAGCTGCCCCTCTCCAGCCCAGCTCAACCTCCTGCCACAAGGCCAACACGACAGCTGGCTGGACATGCGCAGAAGGGAGCATGCGCAACGCAGCTGATGGAGTTGGGATCCCAGGCAGAAAATGATAGAGGCCAGGAGAGGAAAAAGCTGAGGCTCAGCAGACCAAATGGAGACACCCAAGAAGGGGAGGAAGTCTGCAATGGCCCTCCCAGATTGCGCCTAGAAATCAGAGAAAAAGGCACAGCAGCAGTAGCTGTTGCTCATTCAGAGGCACTAGAGCCTTGGCTGGACTTGGAAGGGGGATCTTCAAACCCCTCAAGCCTGGGACTGTGGGTCCTGCCCCCATTCCGTTCTTGCCCACTGTGGACTCACGGACCTCTGGCTGCTCTCCTCTTCCTCCTCACCTGGTGAGCCTCTTCGAAGATGTTGTTCCCGTACATGAAGCAGCCTCTCTTGGAGGCGTGCCCGTGCAGGTCGACGTAGTAGGCCAGGCCACTCTGCTGCGGTGGGATGGCTTCCGGGGCGGGAGGAGAGCGGACCTCGGCTTTCTCCTCACAGAGCGTGGGAGGCAGGTCTTCCGAGAGGATCCAGACATCCTGGTCCTTGCTCCCTGGCGCCTCTGAGGGCTCGTGGTCCTGAGGCGAGGGGACGCCAGCATCCCTGGGACAGTTGCGAAGGTTGTTGGCCTTCTCCAGCTCAGAGAGGGGGGCCTCCTCGCTGGGAGGGCAGTTGCGGGTGGAGCGCTGGTTGGCAGCCTTGGTGCCAAGGGGAGGGACGCAGGCGCGCCAGTCAGGGGAGCCCGGCTGAACGCGGTTGTGGACGTGGTGATAGAGCATGACGGCCTTGGCCCCGTAGACGGCCGGGTGCAGATCAACGTCAGGGTTCAGATACTGGCGGTTGAGGTTCACGCCGCGAGAATCTGTCCTGTGGGGAAGAGAAGGAGCCAGAGGGGTCAGCCACGCTGGGCAAAGACGCCTTCCTCCTGGGTACTGTCGCTTGGGTGTCTCAGGCAGGAAGAGACAAGCACCAGCCACCACCAGCTCCCTTGAAATGGGTTGGAGGGTGGGAGAGGAACCCCCCACCCAAGGAATGTCTCTCTCCAGGCCAACTGAACTGGCCAGTTGCCTTCGACCAGCCTTTACCTAGCATGAGTCTGCAGCGACAGAGGCTTCGTAGAGGGATCTGTCCCACCAGCCTGGGACTTGAGCTGGGGCTGGCCACCCCTCTGTGTTTATGCTGGCTTTACTCACCGGTAATGGCCCCGCACCACTCCGTCCGGGTTCAGCATGGGGATGAGCTTGAAGACAAACATGCGGCGCAGCATCTGGGCCCGAGGGTCCTCTTCACGCAGGATGAACTCCAGGAAGCCATTGAAGACGAAGCTGGAGGGTGTTTCTCCCGGGTGCACCCTGCTGCTTAGGAAGAACACCTGCTGGGGCAGTGGGGGCACACACAGAGAGAGAGAGAGAGAGGATGATCTGCTCCTTTCCCAAACTGGACATCTTTCGGGGTCTCTGCAAGGACTCTTGCTCCTCTCAAAGCTACCACAACAGGCCTCCTGCCCACCCATCTGCTTGTGTGGTCATTTATTTCCACCCCACTTTGGAACTAGTTATCCCCAGGCATCAGTTAGAAGGCGCTCACTCCTGCCTGCAGCCTCACCCAAAGGAAAGGGGGAAGAGAAGCAGAAGGAAAGAGAAAGCGGGAGGCTGACAGATCCGAACTTGGGAGAGGCAGCTTTAAAAGGGGTTTTCTGTGCTCTGTTTAAGAAGAGCAGAGCTGGGGATGGCACAGATCAGGAGGAAGGCAAGAGGATGGCAGGAGAAGGAAGCACATGTGGATGGTCAGGAAGACAGAGAGAGAACAGGGAAGGGACAAAGACCTAGGAGCCAGAAGCAGAAACTGAAATGGGATACACTGAGGCATGATGAGCCAATACAGAGCAGGAAGGAGGCAGAAATCAGAAAGGGTGGGTAGGTGAAACTGGGGTAGCGGTTGCAGAGAAAAGCACAGGCATAGAGGAAGATGCTCAAGAGACAAACCAGGAAGGATGGGGCTTAGATGCCTGCCTGAGGCAATGTGGGCCAAAAGGGCTTCTACTTGTGTCCAGAGTTGTCCAGAAACAAGGGCAGGCCACGCTGCCCAAGCCCCATGCTCCCCACGTGGGCACCAGCAATGGCGGGGCATCCTGCCCAACGGGGGCGGCAGCAGCCAACTCACTCTCTTGCCCACGAAGCTGTGGGGCCGGGGGGTGTGCTTGTCCGGGAAGAGCTTCTCCAGGCGGGCCTCCCTCTCCTCCCGCAGGCCGTGGAAGGAGCTGATGGTGAGCAGGTCCACGCGCAGCTTGTCCAGGGAGTAGCACAGCAGCTCCCGGTGGTAGTAGATGGAGTCCAGGGAGCTGCAGGGAGAGAGCGGAGCAGACAGCTTTTCTCCCAGCCAGCAATGCCCCGCAAGGCCAGAAGGAAGATTTGCTTCTAAAGTCTCTTTCTTTTTTCAAAGTTTCTTTCCCACAGACTCCCCTTTGCCTGCCCAGCATGCAACAAAGACTCTTCTTTCCCCACCCATGATCTTTGTTGCCTGATCCTCCCTTGTGCTCCTTCCCTCACTCCTGTGGCGAGGGAGGTGGCCAGAGGGGCTTTCTGTCCTCCTCTCCTCCCTCCCCTGCAAAGCCAGGCTCTTGTCCAGGAGGGACCTCAAGGCAGCCTGACTTTGCGCCTGGGGCTCCCCTCCCTCATCAGTGGGGCCACCTGGACCTTGCGAGGGAACCAAAGCAAGCACTTACGGGGTCCCTCGAAGCGGGGCCTCCTTCCTCCCCTTTGCACGTCCTCCTTTAGGGCATTTCCTCGCTCTGTGGGCGGTGGGTCGCGGCTTCCCCTCAGCCTTCCGAGAGTCCGCACCTGCCTTCCGACTGACTGTGCTATAATATTGGACATGAGTTTAGATGGGAAGGGAGGGTCTTCCCGCCTTCTCCTGACCCCCCAATCCCACCCCTTTCACTGGTTCTGACTCCACAACCCTGCCTCCCTCAACAACAGCAGACCAAAGGAGCCTCTTCCCCCGACCCTGACCAAGGCAGCCTCAGGTGAGAAGGTGGGAACAGTGGGGTGGGGATCCTCTTCCCATTCAGACCAGCCTTGCCCTTGGGTCCCTGCCCATGCCAGGTATCTTGGAGAGCAACACAGGAAGTGCAAATACCCAAGGCTGTCAGAGGGGCAGAGTCCCTGCCCTCACCAGGCAGTGTCTAGACAGGGCCCTGCAACTGTCACTCTGGCTTCTGTCCTTGTCGCTACGCTAGCAGTGGCCACTGCAGATATACAAGGGCAGGCAGCTGGCAGGCCCCCAGCAGAACAGCCTGAAATCAGGCTGAGCAGACCCTCCTTCATGCAACGCTCAGTTCGCCTAAGGAATACTCCTTTGGACTTGACCAGGTCATGGAGTGAGCTCAGATAACTAAGGAAGAAATCTGCACTGCTGGGAAGCAGACCAGCCATGTCCCTCACACCACCCAGCAATGGCAGTTCCATTCATGCCCTGCATCCAGGCTGCCAAGGAGGCTCTGGTTAGCCATTTCTGGACTGGAGAGGCCCTTTCCCAGGAGGGCTATTCTTCTGCCCGCAAGTGCTGCCAAGGCAGGAGGTGGCAACAGAGGCCAAAGGAAAGCAGCTGGTCAAGAAGAGCCCTGCCCAGCCTCAGCCCAGGAGGGCTCCTGCAGGCTCCACTTTTGTGGAAAGCATTCAGAGCCCCCTTCTCTCATTAAAGAAAGCATCCTGAACAACATAGAACTACTAAACACATACAACAAAACACATCTTCAAACAACAGCCAGCTGGGGGAAAGGCAACACAGCAGAAACCAGCAGAAGTAAGGCGGCGTTTGTGCAAAAGCCCCTCTGTCCCCTGAACGCTTTCAGGAGCAAGGGGGGGGGCAGGGAGCTAGGAGGGAAAGGGCCAAAGGGAGTTCCTGGGGACGGTTACCAAGGAACTGCAAACAAGCACAGGTGGGAAAGGAGCCAAGTGTTCCAGGCAGTGCCAGAGTCTGCACCAAAAGGGAGACAGAAAGTCCCCACTAGGATCTCTGACATGAGACAGAACCCTGGGAGAGACCCACAGTCCAACCAAGGACCTATCTCAGGGCACCCCAATAACCTCCCTGACAACACCCCAACTCTTCCCCACCTAAGGAGTTTGGCCAACTTCGCAGGAGCCGGTGTGCAGTGACCAAGCGGGAGGGGGTTGGGGGGGCAGAGAGGAGGATGGCAGCCGTGTGTCAGAGGCCAGGCTCACCTGCTAGCCGAGAGGTGCCTGCACTCTGCAAAGTGGGCATCCAGCTGTGCCAACATTTCCTGGCACTCTGTGTATGAGAAGGGGTAGCAGAAGGCAAAGAAGGTGGTGGCACCTCGGCAGTCCAGGAAGCGGTGCACAAAAGAGAGGACAAACTGGGTCTCCACCATCTGTACGGGGAAAAGGAAAAGGCAAAACGGGCACTGAGTGGCCACTGCCTAGGCATAATCCTTGTGGCTGGAGCACGACAGACATCAATCAACACACGCAGCCTGCTGTTGTTCAGGGCCGGGCTGAAGAGTCTTTGCTCTCTGCCATGACCTGAATCGGATACCTGGCAATGGACACCATGTTCACAGCCCACCTGCCGGGTCTCCTGACCTTCAGCACTCTGCCCTACAGTACACAAGCCTGTTGTGGGGAGAGGGTCATTTCGCTGCTCAGAGCCCATTCAAAGGGCCCGGGCAAGAGGAGGCAGAGAGGAGAATGATCCTGGCTAACATCCAGGACTCTTGTTAGGAGGATGGTGTAGGCCAGGGGCTGCCCTCAGTGCCAGCCTCAGGGTCATGCCGTTGCTCCCTGGCACGACAGTAGGGAGCCAAAGGGAAGCCTGGCATACATAATCTGGAGTCTAGCTCATCTTTCTGGGCAGCTCGCGTGCTTTTTCTCACACAAATAAACACAAGCACATCTATGTGACTGAGCAGAACAGCCTGAAATCAAACCAAGCAGGCAGTCGACTCTTGGCAAGGGGGAAGCAGGCAAGGAAACGACTTTCTGGTCCCTTGGAAGGACGATGGAAGGAGACTTCAGGCAGGGGAGCCAAAATGTCAGAACTCCACTGACTGGAGCCTGGAAACCTCCTTGTTCCCCTCCTTCTCCAGCCATTTGCAGCCCAAAGCTGGTCTCGTCTCACAGAGATTCACGTCCTCCCCACAAGGGAAAGCCAAGCCCTTCCCCGTGACGCGCTGCTTTCAGAGGCCGTGCCCACACCAGTCCAACATCCTTCCCCAAGGGTCTTGCCCAAGAGATACCTCAAAGGCGGGCCGCTCGCGGATGCGCTCCCAACGAGGCCTGATGGGCACCGTCTTGACCAAGGGGGCCATCCCCTGCGAGTACAGCTTGGTCTGCTTGTTCATGTTCACAATGTGGATCTTGATCAGCTTGCCTGGGGCTCCGCCCCTCACGCTAAAGTAAAACCAGGATCTGGGGAGTGAAGGCAATCGGGAGAATCAGGGAAGGGTCTGGCAGGGGTCCTGCCCCCCCCCATCAGCCCAAGGCCCTCTCCACCTCTGACCCGAGAGGCCAGGTGGAGAAGGAATCCAGATGTCCCATTTGCTATGCAACCTCCCAACACTCCACCCTGGGTGCCCTTTGCAAAGCCTGGCCCAGGGGACAAGCTGCCATGCCTCTCACAGGAAGGAGGCAGCCACAAGACCTTTGCAGCACCAGGCAAGCAGAGAGCCAGGGTCAGGCATGCCTTGGCAAGGGGCAGCAGAAGGAGCAGCAATTTTAAAGAAACCCACAGCTTTGCCATGGGGGCAGCGGCTGCTTAATGCCACAGGCAATGTTATCTTCCATTTGGAGGAGGACTTTGGAAGCAACAGCCCAAGAAGTTTCAGCACTTCCAATTTCAAAGGGGAGGCGAGACGAGTGCTGGTGTAAAGACCTGGGCGAGAAAGGCCTTACCTGGCAGCCCCATGCCGGGTGCCCAGCAAGACCTCACAGAGGGCTGGTACCTCCTTTACCTGTTTGCATTCTCGTATTCTGTGTCTCCGCAATCTGGCTTGGTCCACACATTGAACTCGTAGTCAGCAATAGGGAGGGAGGTGCCAAACACCATGGAGGTAGCAGAGGTGCTGCTGCTGCCGCTGCCGCCATTTCCGGCACCGTCCCCATCGCCCTCCAGGTGCTCCACCTTCTCCACATGAGCCAAGTTCCCCGAGTCAAACTTGGAGCTGAACAAGAGGCCACCGCAGCGCACCTCCATCGTAACCTCGCCGGCAGCAGAGGGGGCTCATTCTCCTCTTTGCAACAGGTGGTTCTGAGGATTTCCTACAGGGCAGAAGGGAAGAGCTGTATTTGGTACGCACAATTCCTCACCGCTTTGCTGCAGAATGAATCCAGTTTCCTTGCTAGTGGAAGAAGGCTGCTAGGAGAGGAAGCCCACAGTCTAAGGGAAAAACTCACGAGTCTATTTCTGGCCTTGCCAATCACAAAACCCATCTTCTCTTCTCTTTCCTCCTTCTCCCACCAACCTGAGATGTTTTTCTGGCACACTCCAAGTACTGCAAAAGACAATTCCCTTGAAGGCCTTCCAAACCACAACAAGGGAGGTGTTGCAACCCCCCCAAAAAACTGGGGAGAAACCACTACACACTCCAGAATACAAACGCATAAACACATACCCTCGGTCATTTACCTGCTGTGGGGAGCAGGCTTACCAAAGTAACGTCTTTGTCCAGCAGCACCTAGATACAGGACATCACCCAGGGAAACAAGCCCGCCTCTTTGATGTTGGGGACTATTTGAGCAGCTGGGCAGCCCCCATCACCCCCTTTTCCCTCTCCCTCCCCACTGGTCTCTAGGACTGGGCCAGAATGAAAATGGCATGCCAATAGTGAGACTTCTTGCAAGAGGCCCATTGTGCCATCATCACCACAACTATCATCATCACCAGCATCACCGTCAGGGCCACCTGTTCCTCTTACTCTCTGGCCCCCTCCAGCGTTGACAGAGAGCTCCAGGCTCGGCTTAGGAAGGAAACCAGATCCCCAAGGGGGCACCCTGCCTGCCAACAGGAAGGCTGCCCAGCCACAAGGCTCAGCTGGTGTTTCCAAGGAGGAGGAATGGCACAGGTCTGGCTGCTTGGCTGGCAGAACCCCGGGGACAACATGTCATGGGGAAGCAGGGTTTGCCAGGCACCTAGTGTTGGGGGTAGAGGCAGCAATAGGAACCTTGTGCAGCCACCAGCATCCATGGAGAAGGGCTGCTCCTGTCCTGCAAGAGGCCATTCCACTCAGCCACAGAGATGAGAAACTGGCACAGCCAGCACTATGTGGCAGGAGCAGGAAACAGAGCATGAGGTGTTCTCTATCTGCCCCCCAGGATCCAAGCTGGGAACTGTGCTTTTTACCCACAGTTATGAGTGAGCAGTGAGGTTGTACAGTTTGTGGCTGGCACACAACTTTTCAAGGTGGTGAAAACCAAAGCAGGCTGCAGAGCTCCAGAAGGATCTTTAGACACCAGCTGGACCGCAGAACAGCAAATCCAACTCAATGAAACTGAGGGGGTTGGACTAGATGATCATCAGGGTCCCTTGCAACTCTACAATCTAGGATTCTATCATGCACCTCAGGGCAAAACCCCTTAACTGTTGTTAGTCTTGTTAGCCGCCCTGAGCCCGGCTTCGGCTGGGGAGGGCGGGATATGAATAAAATTTATTATTATTATTATTATTAACTGCTTATATACTGAAAGTGCGAGAATTTGCAGCAGCTAATCAGGGAACAGGCTTAAGTTGTCCTGGGACAACAAAATGAAAACATCAGCCTGGTTTGCTGCAACCGTGAAAGAAAAGGTCATCAGGAATAGGAAGGAGGCTGGAAACAAACCTGCCAGTATCACAACAAGGCCAGTATAGCAAATCCACGGGGCCAAAAGGACACAGCGAAGACGATGCACAGTTCGGGTCGCTGTGCCTTTTAAGCAGAACGTGGCGGGGCTGGAAAAGTTTCAGAAAAGGGCAACGGAAATGGATCGGCGGGATCGAGGAAAGGCTGCGCCGCTTGGAGCTTTTCTTGCTGTCCCCCCCCCGGGGGGGGGGGGAGAGGAAGAGGAGAGCCGGCAAAAGGGGCGTGGAACTAGGCGGGGGGGGGGGAGGATGGGGATCCCTCTCTCCTTGGCATCATAACTGGGCACAGCTGTCAACTTTCAGATTTGAAAATAAGCGATCAGCAGCCTCACCTGTCCCAGGGACAGGCTACGGGATACAGTGGTACCTCGGGTTAAGTACTTAATTCGTTCCGGAGGTCCGTTCTTAACCTGAAACTGTTCTTAACCTGAAGCACCACTTTAGCTAATGGGGCCTCCTGCTGCTACCGCGCTGCTAGAGCACGATTTCTGTTCTCATCCTGAAGCCAAGTTCTTAACCCGAGGTAGTATTTCTGGGTTAGCGGAGTCTGTAACCCGAGGTACCACTGTATCTAACAATCCGAGAGAGCAGCAGCGGGAAACGGCGCTGGAAGGAGGGAATTTCCCGCCCCAAAGGGGAAGGTTGACAGCTGTGCAACTGGGGGGCGGGCCAGGAGGCTGAGGGGGGGCGGCAGGAAGCTTCCTCGGGGAGCCTCCCTGCCCGGGGCAGTCTACCTGCCTGCCCGCCCTTTCCTGGCAGCCCCCGAGGGGCGAGGGGGGGGCCTGGCGCCTTCGCGGGGGGGGGGCACGGGGGTCGGGCGAGCCGGGGGCCTCATCCCGAGGCGGGGTCCGCTGCCGCCCCTCTGCCCGCCCCCTCTTCCCACGCCGGGGGGGGTGCGCGAAGGGGCGGGGTTCCCGTCACGACCCGGCCCGCCCCGCGGCTTCCCTGCGACCGACCTGCCTCCGCCTCCTCCGCCGCCGCCAGGGGCCCCGGGCCAGGCCAGCCCTTCCCTCGCTCGCTGCCAGGCAACAAGAAGGCCGCCGCGCATTGGCCGCGCCTCGCGCCCCCCACCACCCCGGCGCGCCATTGGCCCGCCCGCCCTCTCCAGAGCAACGCCACGCGCCATTGGCTGGCCGCGCCCCGCCTTCCGGGGAGCTGTTTGGTCGCCGGGGGAACCGCGCGGGGGGAGCGGGGCACGTGACTGCGCCGGGAGGGCGGGGCTAAGGTGCCTGCCGAGGTTATAAAGGGCCGGCGCAGCGCGGGGCGTCTCAGTCCAGCCCGGGAGGAGCCGAAGGAAGGGTGGGGCGGGAAAGGAGTCGCGTGCGCGGCCTCTGGGAAAGTTGCTTCAGGCTGCCGGGGGAAGAACATGGCACGCCGATGGAATGTCTTCCATTAGCAGGTTGTCAGTGGAGAGATTGACAGGGAAACGGATCAGACCTGAGGTATAAATCTTGGCTTTTACATTTGCTCTGGAGAGGAGGAGCTGCTCATGGGATCAAACCCTGATGCTCTGTAAAGGTCATTTTCTACACCGGGAGACTGAGAAGCTTGTCAGCTCCTGGGAGCTTGGGGGGGGGCAGTGCTTTAAGCGAGGGGGAATTAACTGCTTGCCCTGGAAGAGGTCTGTTGCAGGTTGGGTCTGCAAAAGCCTTTCTCCAGCTATTTTAGAGACGGTTATAATTTATCACTGAGAGGTTTCTGTGTCTGCTGGTTGAATTTTACATCTGGGGTGTGGCAACAAAATGCATGTTCTAATTGTTTCAACCATTAAAGTTTTAAGCAATCAAGGAAGTTCTGAATGCCAAGAATCTTTATTTTTTCATTCCCAACTAAAGTGTTGCCTTTGTTGAACTGAACATAAGTTTTCTACGTCACATTTCCTCTGTAGAAAAGGAATGTGGTTTGATAAAAGATAAAGCTGTGAAGATCTCAAGGTGCAGACTGAATTGTTAATAAGACCAGGAATATTCAGTATGGCAAATACATCATCGGACATTCCATTGACTGTTGGCATTCTTCAGCAATTGTTTGATGAGCAAATCAGAGCGTTTAGACCAGAGATTTGAACAAAAGTGGACCAGAGAAGGATGAAATGGAAAGGTGTTAAACAGGACAAAGAAACTTAGGACAATATGGGTGAAGGAATGCCGGGAGGAGGATGAAATGCTAAAGAGGTGGAGGCAACAGATGGTGAAACGGAGAAGCCCTTCACCCAGGCGTTTAGAGGAATGAAACAGTCAAATGAAGGAGCTGTGATGTTGGGAGTGGAAGGAAGCCATGGATGGAGAGATAAGACCACCTGAGCTGGCAGAGATAAGAGAGAAAGGGCTCTGTACATTGTGGAGTGAATTTGGAGAAAAAGGCTATCAAACATCTGCTTCCCTTCTCTTGCTTCTGCATCATCAGCTTCCTTTGGACGCCTCCCGAGATGACGAGGGAGGCAGCTTGTTTTCAGGGAAGCAGCTGATGGTTTTCTTCCCGCTTCTCTGTAGACCCAATTCCACAGGGACACGAAACAGGAGTGTGTGGGAGAACCCCCACCAGTCATTAGACTAGATCTCCCACTGCCCCAACCACTGGCCATGATGCTCAGTCATTTTTCCTCCCAATACTAGGCTTTGCCCTAAAAAGCAACTTATTAATATGTTTAATAATAAAGAATTGGGGCCAAGCCCAGCAAAAAATATCTCACAGCAAAGAGAAGCATGTAACCAAAGATATTTCCTTTATTGCACATGACAAAAGCCACACACCATTGTCATGACAGGGTCCCATCACCTCTGGAAGTCTGGCTGCAGGAGAGAAATGTAATTGGGGCAAAGCAGCCAGATCCAAAGTCCCCACATGGGCCTGGCAACTGACGCAGCACCTGGTGAGAAGGAGCTGCTGCTTCTGACCCACTATTTCCCACTTATGCCTGGCTGGGAGAGAGGAGGGCAACTCAAGGGATTCAGGGCATGCTGGGAACAGGGTCACAACACAGACTTCAAGGCCACACACAGGCCCTGGGAAGAGACCAAGGAGTGGACATTACAGAAGGCAAAAGACGGACCCCAACTAAGCTAGTTTTCCTTCAAGCCTGGAGGTGGCAGAGTTCTTCTTTATGGAACTTGCAAGAGAAGTGACAGCCCCTCGTCACAGCTCACAGAATACACTTGAGGGATCAACCAGCCCTCTCTCCCCTCCGCCCTGTTCCTACTCTCTGGGCCCTGCAGTCATGAGCACTCCCTGCTGCATAACATGAGCTCTCCCCTCCTGGGTCCACGATAAGGCAAAGGCAGCTCTTTGGGGAAAGGCGAAGACTCACAGTCACCTGAGAGAAGGGGGCAGCTTAACGGCTCGGGGAAATGCCCACAGAGCCTCTGCTCAGGCCACAGGGCGATGGGTGGGAGTCTGGCAAGGCAGGGTCCCAGGCAGGCACCAGCCCTTGAGACTGGCTTGAGCTGCCTGGGGCAGGTGGAGGAGCCGCAGAGAAAAGGCTGAGGGCAGCAGTAGCAGCAGGCGCTCCATGCACAGAGGGATGGGGAAGGGGGTCACTGCCCCAGCAACCTATTTATTTGGGGTAACAGCACTGAACGTAGGATACAGAAAGTGCTTGCCCACCGACGGACGGAGGGGCACTTCCTGGGTGTGCATTGCTGCCTCCCGCCCGGTGCAGTCCATCAAATGGACAGCAGACAACTGGCTTTTTCAGCAAGGCTGGAGTGGAGACAAAGAACAACCGCACAGTGGGTGGGGAGCTGGGAGGCTTCCGGCCTCCTGGGCGTCAGCGGCAAGTCAGAGGTGGAGGCTGCCCCTCGCTTTGTGGCCTGCCCGCGGAACAGTGAGTTGGCACATCCTGCTGCCAGCAGCAATGGGAGAGCAGTGACCCAAACCTCACGCCCAGCTCCTGAGCCCTGGGCCTCGACTAGTGCCCAGAGACGATGGCCAGAGCCCAGTCTCTGATGGCCACGGTGGTGTCTTGCAGGTACGTCCAAGAGGAATGGCTGAGGCTGGTCACATGTTTCCGCAAGCACTCCCAGGACCCTTCGCCACTGGAGGAGAGAGCAGAGGGTGAGCATGCATGCTTCGAGGCCTCCTGGACGTGCCTTGTTTTGTCTCCGAGCAGTTTGGATGCCCCCCCCCCCGGAACCTGAAGTGGGTTCCCCCTCCCCATTCGGTGTTCTTCTATTCCTACTTCTCTTCCGCAGTCAAGCAGCCCCTGCTGTCTGCTTTGTGTGGCACCAAGGATGCTGTGCGCAGACCATACTCACTCGCAGAAAGCCACCCAGAGTTTCCAGGCCCCCTCCAGCGACCCAGCAACGTAGTCCACAGCAGGCAGGAAGTAGTTCCGCATGAGGAAGAGCAGCAGCTCCTTGAGGTATTCTGCCCCGTGCAGCACAGAATCTGGAACCCGGGTCTGGAGCTGGCAGGGAAGACGAGGCGGCTCAGCCAGGCTCAAGTGCCAACCCTGCCCTTGCTAGGCAGAGAATCTGTGGCTGGCCAGACCCCAGAAACTGGAACACTCCTAGCTAGAGGGCGGGCAGGGCCCAGATCCCTGTTCCTCTATTACGGACAGGCCACAGTTCCTTTTGATTCATATGCCAAAGAGAATGGGGTGGCCACCAGCAGATGGGGAACCATAAGCACAGGTCCAGATCTCCCTAAGGCACTTACAGGGAAATAGGACCCAGGGATGAGGTGGGGAAGAGAAAGGCAGGCAAGGGGAAAGACTCTGAAAATACTGGGAGCAACATTTGGCTCCTCTGCAAAGGGACAAGTCCCAGCAGCTCAGGTCAAGGGCCTTCAGCTGCCGCTGCCACTGCCACCTCCTCCTCACAGCTTCTGCCTGTTCTTGCTACTCATTGGAGTGGCGGATACTGCTGCAGCTGTATTTCCTCAGCGGCACTACCCACATGAGCAGAACCGGGGCCTGTGGACCCAGGTGAATGGGCCGATGCAGAGGGTGCTTGCCAGTGAATTGGCTTTCCCACCCTCCAGCTTAGCAGATAAATGGTTGATGGCCTAGAGGGGTTAAAACCAGAAAAAAACAAATACATCGCTTGACAGTTCACAGCGTGGCTGTGCCTCTGTAAGTGGGGAAACCATCTGTCTTGGTGCATTCTCTGCACAGAACTCTGCCTTGCCTGGTCTGCTGCTGACCCCCTTAAGAAGAGGCCTTCCCTGCCTCCAGCGAGCCCCACCCTTACCCATTCGATGAACCTGGGGAGGTTGTCACTGAGCCAGGTGAGCTGAGCAGAGCACTTCCCAGAGATGTAGGCGGCCGTTTCGTTTGTCTTCGCCCAGACCAGCTCCAGGTTGGGTCCCAGCACGGTGGCCACGCGAGAGTAGTAGAGAGGCATGTTTGCTTCCAGCCAGCTGCAAGGAACAAGGGGCGGGAGCAGGGTGAGCCGCAGGCAACAGGCTCCCTCCCAAGGGCTGCCCAGAGGGAGAGCGCTCGTCTGCGCTGGTCCCCCTTGAAGGGAGGGAGCCTCCCTGCCGACAGAGAGCCGGCGCAAACCACTGACCTGTACCCTTCCCCAGAGAAGTGGGAAACTCTGCTCCAGGCTTGCTGGGATGCGGAGAGGATGCCGGAAGAGCGGAGCACCTGAGCCGAGGCAGAAGCTGGAAAACACAACATGCTCCCCTGAGTGGGGGTGTCTTTGGGGCAGCCCCCTCCCACGTGCCTCCTGTGGGGGTCAGGTGGATTGCTATGAGGAGTTATGAAAAATGGAGCACGCCATTGTGTCAGCAATGAAAGCATTGCTTTGACTGGGCTTGATTCATTGACAATAATTTCTGATTAAATCCCATAAGCCTCTGCATCTCTGCCCATCTTCTCTACTGTTCATTTTCTCTGCCTGACAGGCACATATAAGCATTCTAAACACAGACTGGTTGCTTCACCAGGCATCCCGAGCCATAAAGATAGGAGGTAGCTTTGATGTAACTTTGATGTAGTTTGTTGATCTTTAGGTAGATCTTAAGGGCCAGGAAGAGAGTTCACAAGGAGATGGTAAGTACTACCTGTCCTTCCTTTCCTGTTTACTGCTGTTTATTACTTCCGGGGTTTGCTAAAAACATTTCTCCTTGATTCCTATTTTATTTACTCTGAACTATGTATGAATGCTCAAGTAGGAAATAGTTTCTTTGTAGTTACAAGGCTTTCTCTGATCTGACTTTGTCCCATGTGGGGATGTTTTTTAAATGCTCAGAGGATATCTGATTGGTTCTTACAAGCGCTGCGCTAAAAGTTCTTTTGTTAATAAAGGGACCTGGGCCAGGGTGTGACAGAGGATTATTCGCCCTGCCTCCCAGAGTCTTGCTGGCCAAGCCTCGTGTGTATTTTATTAATCAGGGTCCAATCCTTCCTTGCCTTTGGAACGCAACACCTCCCTTTCCTCCAGGGGCAGGGCCTCACCTTCAAAGGAGCCATGAGTCCTGATGTCATGCATTAGGAACCCCGCAGTGAATACCAAGGCGACCAGCAGCAGCCGAGCCCAAGGAAGGCCACTGGCTTTCATTTTCAGCAGCAGGTTCTGAAGGGGAAACACAAAGAGAGGAAACAGGTAGGAGAATCTCTGGGATGCAGATGGCTAGCCCACCTGGTCACCCACCCACAAGGATGGAGATCATTCTGGATCCTTTGCTGTCGCTTGAGGCTCAGGTGGCCTCAGTGGTCCAGAGTGCCTTCCATCGGTGGCCCAGCTGTGCCCCCATCTGGACAGGGACAGCCTAACTTCTGTTGTCTATGCCCTGGCAACCTCTACGTTAGATTACTGCAATGTGTTATACGTAGGGCTGCCTCTGAAGACAGTTCAGAAACTTCAGCTAGTGCAGAATTGGACGGCTTGGTTGCTCACCAGAGCAAGACGGTTTGAGCATATTACATCGATCCTGGTCCGACTGCACTGGCTGCTAATTCAAAGTGCTCGTTTTGACATATAAAGTCTTAAATGGCTCAGGACAGCAATACCTCAAGGACCGCCTCTCTGCATATGAACCAAGCTGGATCCTGAGATCATCCTGTGGGGCCCTTCTTTGTGTAATTTCTTCAAGGAAAGTCCAGAGGGCAGCAACACAAGAAAGGGCCTTTTCTGCAGTGGCTTCCCATTTGTGGAATGTTCTCCCCAGGGACGTTCAGCTGGTGCCTTCATTATACACCAGGCAAAAACATTCCTTTTTAACCAGGCCTTTGGCTGACTAACACCAGACACCCTTTGAAATGTATTGTGGGAGGGGAGATTTGGGGTTTGTTTTTGTTCCTGTTTTTATTGTGTATTTTGTGTTTTTATACTATGTTGTTCCCTGTGGAACACCCTCCCTTCAGATGTGAAGGAAATAAGCAGCTATCTTATCTTTAAAAGACATCTGAAGGCCTGTTCAGGGAAGTTTTTAATATTTAACGCTGTACTGTTTTTAACACTTGATTGGGAGCCGCCCAGAGTGGCTGGGGAAACTCAGCCAGATGGGCAGCGTATAAATAATAAATTCTTATTATTACTATAACTGCTCTAAGATCTACAGATGAAGGGAGGTATACAAATTGAATAAATAATAGCAATACCTTGCAGGCAGCTCTGCAAGCTGCAACATCCTGTTCGCTGTTTGGTCCTTTCATGGTCAGTTCCTTGTTTGTGACTTTGAACGAATGAACTGTTTCCTGTAAAGATTTCCGCATCTGGAAGAGAAACGGTCCACAAACACCATCACAAAGCCACAGGTGAACCTTGGACCACACCGGGATGGTTGCAACCCTACAGAAGCAGCAGGAATGGGGGTGGGGGCTGAAGGGCCAGACAGCCAGGTGCTTTGCTGCCCTCCCCAGTCCCCTGTCAGGGGCCTTGCCTCTGTGCACCCCACCCTTGAGCCCAGGGTGGATAAAAATCAATGGTTTTTAAAGCAATTTTTTTATTTAAATCAGATTTTTAAAATAAAATGCTTTTGGAGGAAAAATTTGAGTCCAAAGGCTATTCAAAGGATTTGTTTTAAGTTTTTCATGTGTGCTAAAACTCAGTCTAAGTTTTTTTTTAATTGTTTAACCATATCAGTTAACAAACATGGATACAGATGCTATAATGTTCTTGTTTTAGTTAACTAAATTGTTTAAATTGTTATTAAGGAAATGATTGTTTTTCTCCTTCCAATAAAGTACAGCAGAAAAGTTGTCCAAATATAAACAGTTAACTTATTAAACCTCACAATAATTTCATAATTATCTGTCTAACAGTATAACCAAATCAGTTAATTTTTGATAGAATTGTAAAAACTACTCTGAAAATTTATTATTCCAAAAATGAAACCTCCATCTGGTTGTAAATATTAAGATTATACCAGCGAGAAGGAGTCTTTCAGTAAAAAAAGAGAGATTTAAATCAAGTCTTACTGATTAGTGATTTAAACTGATTTGATTTAAATCCAATCCCCCCTGCCTGAGCCCCACTCAAGCCAGATGGGCACCTCCAAGGCCCTGCTCTGAACTAGATGCAAACTATGGAGAATGTGGGCGGCGGCAGCAGCAGCAGCAGCAGCATCCCTTTCAGAGTTCAAACTCACCCTGTCCATGCAGCTCATGGGGGATAGCAAACCTCAGAAGCAGACAGAACTAGCAGGAAGCACAAGCCGTGTTGAGCTGGAACGACGGAGCCTTAGCAATGGAGCAGCCTTTTGGGATGGACTGCTGCCTAGCACTGGCCTGCTTTGGCCTGGACTAGACAGACAGGCCATTAATTCATCCGTGTTGTCTGTCCCTAGCGCACAAACTACTGCTTCAAGCAAGAGGCAGTCCAAAGAGCAGGAGCCACAAACCTTTTTGGAAGTGCTGTCCCAGGTCTGCACAAAGTGATTCAGGAGCAGGCTGGGAAAAGAAAGCAAAGGCATCAGCTCAAGGATCTCTGCAGAGCCTGGCTTGTTTGTTGAGTTTGGATTTGATATCCCGCTTTCTCACTACCCTAGGGAGTCTCAAAGCGGCTAACATTCTCCTTTCCCTTCCTGCCCCACAACAAACACTCTGTGAGGTGAGTGGGGCTGAGAGACTTCAGAGAAGTGTGACTGGCCCAAGGTCACCCAGCAGCTGCAGGTGGAGGAGCGGGGAAGCGAACCCCGTTCACCAGATTACGAGACTACCACTCTTAACCACTACACCACACTGGCTCATTGTTGCATGCACCTTCCCAAAGAGAGAGACCCCACTGCTCTCCCTGCGAAGCAGGGGAGGCTCCTCCGCTCCCAGGCGGACTTTGCGTCATTTTAGCAACCACGAGGGCTCGAAGCACAGCCTTTCCAAGAAGTTCAAGCGGATGTTCAACCACCACGACTGTAAGCAGGATTGGTATCCTGCAGGTTTCCAAACTGTCAAGCAGGGCATGCAGTGGGGAAGCATCCCTGCTGAGTCTCACCTTGACTGTGGGAGGTGCTTGATGTACAGCTGCCTCCAGACATTGAAGCTGAGGGGGTCCAGGCGGAGGCCTTCGGCCAGGCAGTTGAGCAGCTGTACGGGACGAAAGCAGAATTGGTCCCAGGAGTCTAATGGCCAAACAGCAGCAGCAGCCACAGGACTGAAGACTTCAAGATAGCGCGACAGATTTATGACATTCCTGGAGCCCCACTTATTGATCCCAGATGGGGTCAGGAAGGGGTGCCTTCCCTCCCCTCTTTCTGGAACTGGCTTCATGCCGCCTTTGGGGTGAGCTCTCCTTCCTATTCTGGCTCTCAGAGCTGCATTAGGAGGCCCAAGGAGGTTCCTCCCCATCTAACGGTTCCAGACAGAGAGAAAGGAGGCTATAGTTCAAAGCAGGGCGGGTGGGTGCCACAGTGTGTGTCTATCTGAAAGCATCATTTGGCTGCTGCACACCTGTCTCTGCAGCAGAGAGAGAGGTAGAGAGCCATTCTTCACTCGCACCTGCATAGCACGCAAAATGCTCCAGCTTCCATCCCTGGCACCTCTGTCTGCCCAAGACACAGCCAGAGTCGGCAATGCACCTAACGCCAAGTCGTAAGCACCTGCCTTGAACTGCCTGGGCTCTGATTCAATGATACTGTGGCCCTGTTAAAAGCAGCTGTAGTCAACCGCATGGATGCCAATCAATTATATTTGCAAATATTTGCACCTAAACAATAGCCATGGTTCCCAAGCTAAAACATGTTTTCCTTGTTTTTAGATCATTAATAGACATTTAATTCCTCCAGAAGAGATGGGAAATTCAAGGTTGCCACATTAGCGACAAACAAAACTAGTTTGCTTGCATTCCAGTTTCTCGGGGGCTGAGGGAGGGTCCTGCACCTTTCCAGTCTGCCTGGATTCCTACCCACACTTTGGCAGCCAAGCAAGGGGGAGAGAAAGGGAACTGGAAGCCAGAAGAGCCAGGAAAACCCTGGGGCTGAGCCTCCCAAGGAGGGCCCAGCAGACATCCCCTCCTATTTCAGAGAGAGAGAGACGCCCAGTTTATCAGAAGAACTGCCACCCATGGGTTTGGCACTGGAGGGAATTAAGGCACAAAATAGATCCTCCGACTCAACAAACTGGGGGAACCTTTTCATCCAGAGGTTTTAAACTCCTCAGTCTAGCTCAGTTGTTGTCTAAATGTGGCAGCCCCACTAGATGCTTGAGGAAGGCCAGTCCCCCCCTTCTGCCCCCTCCTCACCTCTTTCTGCATATCAAGGGGGCAGCTGGGCAGGGCTCTGGAGAGAAAGGAAGGGAAGTAGGTGTGCAGGGTGGTCTCAGGCTTAGCCCCAAAGGCCAGGACTTTCAGGCGGGGATACAACTGGCGAAGCTGCTCCTGCAGGCTGGGGAGAAAGAACGTTGGCTGCATACAAACTGCTGCATTTTTACATGTGCACACACAGTTCTGCCTGGATTTTATATAAATAGTTGTATCTGTTAATACTGCCCTAAACTATACAGCGAATACATTTGCATCCTCTGGAAGAAATGCACGGCTTGTACGGTTACTGCTGGGGGCCTGAGTTCAACATTTTATTTTAAATTTGGCTTGTAACAGTTCAGTAACCCGTTGTGTAAATTAGAGGCGTCAATTTGAAAGCTATTAAAATAACAAAATTGAACACCAGAAGCGTCAATTTGAAAGGGGCTCTAACTCTTCCCATCCATGCACTGTGAGCCGGTCTCCCTTTAGGTGTCATACCTGGGGGATAGAGAGTTGTTGGGCATGAAGGCAAAGTCCATGAGAGGGAAGAAGTCTTTGGGTCCTATCATACCAAAGCCTTTGGTCAAGTTGGGATGCATCCTGCCAAGGAAAAAGCAATGCCTGTCAGCTGGGGAAAGCCACTCCCACTTCATTACAAACTCCGCCTCCGCTCCCCGTGCTGGAACAAGGGCCTCCACAGGCCTACCTCGAAGGGCTATACTGCAGGAAAACCAAACCTGCCCTGTTTGTGCCCACCATCCCTGGCTGACTTCCTCTTGCTGTTGAGCCCAGGAGCACCCCAGGCTGCCCCTCCCGGACATGAGAACCCAGGGCATACAGCACAGCTGCCTTTTGGGATCCAGCAGCAGTTTATTGGCCCACACCCATCTGAACCTCCAAGCACTGCTCTGACTCCTTAACTGCCTCTCCTCATTTTGATGGAACCGAGAGATAGAGCTGAGTGTTATCTGCATATTGAGGACACTTTGCTCCAAATCTCCCTACGACAGTTCCCAGAGGCTTCAGAGAGATGTCAAATAGCACAGGGGGGGGCCTTGGAATCATGCTGAATAAACAAACAAGGACATGGCAACTCACAACAGCAGCCGATCCAGGTAGGCAATGGCGTACGGGGAGAGAGATTTGATTCCCAGAACAGGGAACATAATGCCGAGCCACACTGTGGAGAAAAGAGTTGGGAGAGCAACACCATTACATTTCTGCCCATACCTTCGTTCTAGGCTGGAGCTCAGGGCTGCTGAGCTTCAGAAAGGCAGATACTCCATGTGCCTTCAGGCCACACAACATGCTCTTGAGCCACGCCACCAGAGGGTCTGGGGCAGGGTGAGAAGAGGGCATCACCATTCAACGGGCTGGAGCAGCTCCTTCTAGCTCCTGATCAGCCCTTTCCCCCCCATATCATTTTTATTAAGTCTCCAAAAATATTCCAAAGTGTTTATCATCATATACATTTTTAAAAAAAAGTTGCCGCCATCCTCACCTTTAAGTCCTTCTGTAAGATCAGTAAATCCAGCTTGACCCAAGGCCCACATGATCGTGAGACATTTGGCCGGACGGCTTTGATGGGAGCTCAGCAGCTCAAGATACTGAAGTGGAAAAGGGAAAGACGGCAGGATTAACTCTCGGCACAGAGCCCAGTGGGAAAGAGGGCCAAAGCAACAATGCTCCCTCGCAAGCAGCTGGAGCCCTCTAGTGCAGAACATCAGCTCCTGACTTCTCTGGGATATGAGATGTGAGGGACTGAAGCTGGGACTCCCAGCACAGAGAAAAGAGGGTCGGGGAGGGAGGGGCCCTGTTTCATGCGCATGCAGGGCAAGAGTATGCTTTCCAATTCCGCAGATGATAGCTTTCACTTTTGCTACCTGTCTCAGTAAAATATACCAGGAACTCTGGGAAACCTGGGCACCTTGGAGAGGGACAGAGGCTGCCTCTCCAGGTTGGACGGGGCAACTGCAGCTACCCACCTTGCTCAAGTTCATGGTGGCAACTTTAGGCCTGTCCATCAGCATGGCCTGAATGCAGATCCTGTAGCCGTGCAGGGAGTCCCCTGGAAGACAAGGATGGCGAGGAAGACTGTGAGGGCCCTTCAGGTTGGGCGTTTTAGCCTGGAGCCCAGAGCCCTTGCGCACCGCAGACTCCATCGCACACTGGGCTCCTGGCAAATCTATGCGGCTGCTGTGGGATCAGAGCGGGAGGAGAGAAACAGAAGCCCACCCAGGCATGCGTGTCCCCCGGTGTCCTGCTTTACTCAATACAATATAGAGTGGCAGAAGCTTTAGAGCCCATAGTCCTTGCTGTGGCCCCCAATCCTCTTCCAGGAAATGGCCCAATCCCCTCTTGAAGTCCCCTATAAGAACACAGCCAGCACCATGCTTGTTCACTAATGTAGCTCTGACTTTAATTTGCTGCCTCTCACCCAATTCTCTTGCTGGCCCATGGAGCCAGAGCACAGAACTGCAGGGTTGGGACCTCACGTCATCTAGTCCAACCCCCTACAACGCAGGTATCACAGCTGGCACCTCTTTCCCCCTTGGGGTCCCCTCAGGTCTCCACCCCACACGCCTCTGCCCTGCTGCTCCCCATCTTTCAGTACCTCACCACAAAAGTCACAGCTTCACCAGAGGCTTTTCACCTCCTTGCACCCTTTAGGGTAACAGCATTAAGAATTAGGTGGGTGTGAAATCAGGTTTGTTCACAACCTCAGTGGGCAGCCCTGGTCACTTTTAGTGCCACTTCCAGCACATAAACTGCCTTGAGGTACATGCAACACCCACCAGGGCCCTGAGTACAAATACAGTGGTACCTCTAGTTGCGGACACAATCCGTTCCAGGATGCGGCGCTTCTGCGCAAAGAGCGCAATAGAGCGCTTCTGCGCATGTGCGAAGCGCACAGAACACTTCTGCGCGTGCGGTGAAACCCAGAAGTATACACTTCTGGGTTTGCCGTGTTCACAACCCAAAAAGCCACAACATTAAGCAAACCCAACAAGAGGTATGGCTGTAGTTTCCCTCAACTGCTCTCTGCCCTCAAGGGAGCGCGTGTGGCAGAACCTTTGACCCAACGGCTGGTTTACTGGGCTGCACGTCACACTCACCAGGAGTCTTGTCCAGCTCTTGCAACATTGTGTAAATACAGTGGTCAAAGAAAAGCTCCAGGACACCCGCCGATTTCGACAGCAAGGACTTGATGGTGCTCCTCAGCTCTTTGTTCACAAGGCAGTAGGGATAGTCTGCAGCCAAAAGTAAGGTGGCAGTGTGAAGGAAGGGCTGGCTTTCGTTAGCCCTCACTGGTGCAACAACTTTCCCATGAGTAAAGCACAGGAGGGAAGCCACATCCCTAAACAGCACAGCAGCCCAAAACTACGGCTTGGGCAGACTCTCGGGGAGCCCCAGTTCAGAATTCTACCTTGGCAGCACAAGGATAACGTGGAGAGAACTGTGCAGAGGTGACTGGCCTGCCCTACGAGAACCAAACCAGGCACAGCTGCTTCTTCACCAGCGCAATGCCAGAAGCCAATGCTGAAGCCACCTCGCCAGAGCTCAAGAGTCGACCACAATTCAAATATTGGTGAGTCTGTCAAGGGCTCCTGGGTTTTGGAGCAGAGATGCATCCTGATCAGGAGGACAAGTATAAGAGCTCTTGGACTGAAAAGGAAATAAGCAAGCACCAAAGTCTGCAAGACCCCGGCCCAGGATACTGCCCAACTGCCAAAGCCAGCCTCTTCTCATTAACTCCCAGCATCCACGTCCCTGTGGAGTCGGGAAGAGCATCTTTGGATCTTCTGGCCTCTGCCCTGCTGCCAAACGCCACATTCAGGAAACGCTGAAGACAAAGGCAGCATTGTGCAGCCACGCCGGGAGCATTCGGCACCTGACATCCTTCCCAAGCCCAAGCAGCAGACTCTGCCCATAACGCCCCTGCTTGGCTTCCAGCTACTTGGCATATTGGCAGGAAAGAGAGGAGCTGCTTTTCACCCTCCCTTGGGTCAGAAAAGGTCAAGAAAGGCATTCCGAGCAGAAACTGAACATGCCGTGGTTATGAGACTTGCTTCTCTAAGCACAAGCTCAGAGGGAATGGCTGGGAGGAGACCTCGCCCCTCTCTCCTGGGCTTTTCCCTGCCCAGGCCAAACCAGGCAGTGAAGCCCACATTCCTCATCCAGGAGGACAAAAAAGGCTGCAACCCTGAGAATTTTATCTTCTTCTAAAAGGAGTAAGAAAGAAACCACCAGTGTATTTCCAGGCATATGAAGAAGTGAGACTCTGGTTTAGAATTCCAGGGGTTACAACCCACACAACCCTCTCCTTGGCTGCAAAAATTCTGCCGCTGGTGTCACAGCTGCACAAAAATGTCAGGTATTACTTTTGTTTCTGCAGTCCTCCAAAAACAGAGAACAACTTTCCAAATTCTGAAGAACAATATTCCTAGCAAAACCATACAAATCCATGCAGCATTCAAATGCTGGCAATTTCCCACCCAATTTACACGCGTGAGGTTTTCTAACTGCAGAATTCAAAATCTTGCTGACAGGAGCTTACTCACGTTTCTCCCTCTGCGATCACTGAACTAGAAAGTCTGAATGTTGTGCAAGCAGCTGCCAAGGCCACAAACCAAGCCCACAGCAGGACAGGTGCTCTGGGTGTTCAAGCGAGCAAAATGGCCTCTCTCTCTCTCTAGCACACACACAATTGATAGAAAGGCACTTTCCAAGGCAACACTTACCATGAGGGTGCTGGCTGAGGGTGGGGTCGCTCTTTGGAGCTTGCAGCTTGTAGTTCAGATATCCAGCCAGGTCTTTGACCCACACAGAAGGATTCTCGGGGAACATGCTCAAGCTTTTGTCCAGCTCCTTCTGGAGTTCTGACAAATCAAGCTGGGGGGGGGGGAGAGTTAGCTGAGCTGCTGCAAAGGGAAGACCCCCCCACTCCCCACCTTAGCAGGGCACATTTGGGCTGTTTCTGGAACCACTCTCTAAGTGAACCTATTCCACAAACGGAAGTGGCTGCCCCTCAGCCAAGGAGTCTCACCTCAACTCCACTGGCCCCCAAGGGAAAGGGGAAGCTGTCTTATCCTGTCTGTCCATCTGGCCTCTTTGGCAGTGGCTCTCCAGAGTCTTGGGCAGAGAAAGATGTTTGACATCACAGAGCACCTGATCATTTAGCTTGAGGTGTCAGGGATTAAACTTTCAGCATGCAGGAGAACTGCTCTACTGCTGGTTCCTTGACTGTTCAGCCAAAGGCTCTTTCTCCAGCATGCCATCCATGCGCCAAGTGGAGAGCCCATTAAATGTTCAGAAGGACTGTCAGCTGCTTGCCCCCTCCCCTAGGCAAGTGGGGAGAGGGAGGCAGTGAGTCCCTAGAGCACAGCTTCCTTCCTTCCTTCCTTCCTTCCTTCCTTCCTTCCTTCCTTCAGCAGCTTAAAGCTGGTCCCTAGTCTACGTGAACAAGAGACGCATTTTCTGTACTTCACCTTCCAAATTCTAGGAAGAGACACAGGAAGGAGGCAACACATTTCCAGCTTGTATATTAAGGAAGGCAAAGTTTAGGACTCCCTCCTCCAAAATAAAAAAAATACACGAGTTGCCTTTTTAGACTATTACTATTTATTCTGAAGCTAAAGGCTGTGCATGAGGTAGACACCAGCATCAATGCAAAGGCTGGCGAAAGGCACAGTCCCTTCATGGAAATGGTTCAAAGAACAGTCCTAGATACATGGGATGAGGAGGAGACCTTTATGCACGCATTGACAACTCGTGGTTTCTTCTAAAGTTCCTTTCTCTAGCTAGGTGAAACAGCCAGCATAGCAATTCTGGATACTTTTATGGAATGATGGCCTGCCTCCTCATCAAAAGAAACTAAAGGCAGCTGACAAATCAAGATATCGCACAGTATTTAAACGATGGGGTGGGCACTGCAGGAGAAGAAGCCCTGGCGCAGAACAGCCCCGCCGGCCCAGATGGATGGAGCAGGAGCATCTCCACCTGCCTCACCCTAGTCCAGGCATAGGCAACCTCAGCCCTCCAGATGTTTTGGGACTACAATTCCCATCATCCCTGACCACTGGTCCTGCTAGCCAGGGATGATGGGAGTTGTAGTCCCAAAATATCTGGAGGGCCGAGGTTGCCTATGTCTGCCCTAGGCAGACCTCACCAGGGGCAGAGAAGAGGTTAAGGAAGGAGGCTGGGGGCCCCTTGCCCAGCCGGTGCAGCTTGTCCTGCCCCCCTCTGGTCCCCCGTGACCTCCCGGGGCTTCTCTGCAGCTGCCGTCCCAGGCAGGCAGCAGCACCCACAAAGTCCCCTTCCTGCCAGTCACTCACCGCCTTGAGCGCGTCCTCCAGGCTGCGGAAGCGGCCCTGCTTGGGCGCCGGGTCCCCGCTGGGCGGAGCCTTCTTGCTGCTCTTGCCGCCGCCGGCCGGGGCCTTTCTGGACGCCGGCTGCCCCGGCGGAGGAGGCGGAACATCATCTTTGCTCTGCTGCCGCCGCCGTCCAGATGCCGCCGCTGCCTTGTCCAGGCGCAGCTCCAGGAGGCTCTCCGGCACGGCCGAGGGAGCTGAGGGCCCAGAGCAGAGAGAGCCGTCACAGGCCGAACACGCAGCCGCCCCCCCACCCTGGGGTATTATAATAATAATAATTTATTATTTATACCACGCCGTCTGGCTGAGTTTCCCCAGCCACTCTGGGCGGCTTCCAATCGAGTGTTAAAAACAATACAGCATTAAATATTAAAAACTTCCCTAAACCGGGCTGCCTTCAGGTGTCTTTTAAAGATAAGATAGCTATTTATCTCTTTGACATCTGGTGGGAGGGAGTTCCACAGGGCGGGTGCCACCACCGAGAAGGCCCTCTGCCTGGTTCCCTGTAACCTCACTTCTCGCAATGAGGGAACCGCCAGAAGGCCCTCGGCACTCGACCTCAGTGTCCAGGGAGGTGGAGACGCTCCTTCGGGTCTACTGGGCCGAGGCCATTTAGGGCTTTAAAGGTCAGCACCAATAATAATAATTGTAATAATAAATTTGTTATTTATACCCCGCCCATCTGGCTGGGCTTCCCCAGCCACTCTGGGCGGCTTCCAACCGAATATTAAAATACAGTAATACATCAAACATTTAAAGCTTCTCTCAACAGGGCTGCCTTCAGATGTCTTTTAAAGAGACGATAGCTGCTTATTTCCTTGACATCTGGTGGGAGGGCGTTCCACAGGGCGGGTGCCACTACCAAGAAGGCCCTGTGTCTGGTTCCCTGTAAGCTCACTTCTCGCAGGGAGGGAATCCCCAGAAGGCCCTCGGCGCTGGACCTCAGTGTCCGGGCAGAAAGATGGGGGTGGAGACGCTCCTTCAGGTCTACTGGGCCGAGGCCGTTTAGGGCTTTAAAGGTCAGCACTAATAATAATAATAATAATAATAATAATAGATTTGTTATTTATACGCCACCCATCTGTCTGGGTTTCCCCGGCCACTCTGGGCGGCTTCCAACAGAATATTAAAATACAATAACCTATGAAACATTAAAAGCTTCCCTGAGCAGGGCTGCCTTCAGATGCCTTCTAAAAGTCAGATAGTTGTTTGTCTCCTTGACATCGGGTGGGAGGGCGTTCCACAGGGCGGGCGCCACCACCGAGAAGGCCCTGTGTCTGGTTCCCTGTGACCTCACTTCTGGCAGGGAGGGAATCCCCAGAAGGCCCTCGGGAGAGGGACCCCGGTGTCCGGGGTGGAGACCGAGGCCCCCTGGGCCTTTCGAGCTCAGCCCAGCCCTCGGTGAGGGTCGCCTGCCGCGGGCCCGGGAGGCTCGACGCCGCACTCACCGCCCAGCGCCTTCCGCCCCGAGGGGCCTCCTCCTCCTCCTCTGCCTCCTCCGGCGGCGCCCCTCCGGCCGGCCTTCCCCACCACCTCCCAGCGGGCCAGCACCGCCGCCGCCATCGCCCCAACCGCCGCCTCAGCCGGAGAGGCCCGCGGGAGGCCGGCGCGCATGCGCCAGGGCGGGCGGAGGCGGGACCTCGCGGGCTCCCCCGGGCGCCGATTGGCCGCGCACACGCCCGCCTCAAGCCCGCACGCTCTGCCACGTCCCCGGCCGGGCCCGCCTCCTGCCACCACGTGACGCCCGGCCCGGCCGCGGAGTTCCGTCCTTCGCCGCTAGGGGCGCTCGGCCCGCGTCTCTCTCCCTTTCCTCCGTGTCGCAGCTTTTCTGCCCGCCAGGGGGCGCCCTGCGAGGGAGGCGAAGGCGGAGACCCAGTGAGCGGCCAGGAGGTCAGGAGCAGAAGTCGAGCGTATTATTTTCTGAGATGCCACCACAGCGGCAATAATCATAATATTATTTATTTATACTCGCCCATCTGGCAAGGATGCTCATTGCCAGAAAATGGAAGGGGGAAAAGGTCCCGACAAAGGAGGAATGGCAAGTAAAGTTATTTGAATACATTGAGCTGGCTAAAAGGACAGGAACAACTAGGAATAGAACAAGCCAAAAGTTCACTAAGGAATGCTTAGAAAAACATTGTTTTTCTAAGGAAGTCAGACTATCCTCCACCAGGGCCAGGGCCTTCTCAGTGATGGCTCCGACCTGGTGGAATGCTCTGTCCTAGAAAACCAGGGCCCTGCAGGATTTAACCTCCTTCCGCAGGGCCTGTAAGACAGAGCTAGTCCACCTGGCTTTCAATCTGAACTCAGCCTGATCTTTTATTTCCCTTCCCTCCCCTCCCCCTCCCCTTTTTATGAGGATGACCTGCTCTGAGACCCCACAGCTAATTTTCCCCTGACCTCCTCTCTGGCCCAAGTAGGACCAATTCAGCCAGCTAGCCCTGGGGATTATTTAACTGATTTTTGAATTTTATTGTCATTCATGTTTTTATACTGTATTTTATGCTGTTTTTATAATTGTTTTAAATTTGTTGTTAGCTGCCCTGAGCCCAGTTTTGGAACCGGGAAGGGCGGGGTATAAATAAATAAATATTATTATTATTATATCTCTTCAATTCTTTGATTCTATTAACTCATTCTGCTCCTTCGCAATCTCCTTATCCTCCTTTAACACCAAACACCTTCCTAGCTGGTCTCCTGCTACAAAGTTGTGGCTACCAGCAACTGGCATTCAGAATCATGGCTGCCTTGACAGTCGAGGTGGAACACAGTCCTCAGTCAGCAGCCATGGAGAGTCCTGTGCCCCCTAAGTATAGAGGAAGATGGCACCTGCCCAGTTTCACCACCCACCTTGATTGCACCGCTTTGGGGATTTATAGCTTATTGGACTCCATCCTGCCCCTTCCCTGTCCTTTGTGTCTCAAGGGATCACCATTTCCCTCTGGTTTACGGAAGAGTCACAGCTCAGTGCGAAAGCGCCTGCAGGCAGCCTGGGAGAGGCCCCTGCCAGCCAGTGAAGGCAATATTGATGAAGTGTGTTGTTGTTGTTTAGTCGTTTAGTCGTGTCCGCCTCTTCGTGACCCCCTGGACCAGAGCACGCCAGGCACTCCTGTCTTCCACTGCCTCCCGCAGTTGGGTCAAACTCATGCTGGTAGCTTCGAGAACACTGTCCCACCATCTCATCCTCCATCATCCCCTTCTCCTTGTGCCCTCCCTCTTTCCCAACATCAGGGTCTTTTCCAGGGAGTCTTCTCTTCTCATGAGGTGGCCAAAGTCTTGGAGCCTCAGCTTCAGGATCTGTCCTTCCAGTGAGCACTCAGGGCTGATTTCCTTCAGAATGGAGAGGTTTGATCTTCTTGCAGTCCATGGGACTCTCCAGAGTCTCCTCCAGGACCAGAATTCAAAAGCATCCATTCTTCGGCGATCAGCCTTCTTTATGGTCCAGCTCTCACTTCCATACATCACTACTGGGAAAACCAGAGCTTTAACTATATGGTCCATTGTTGGCAAGGTGATGTCTCTGCTTTTTAAGATGCTGTCTAGGTTTGTCATTGCTTTTCTCCCAAGAAGCAGGCATCTTTTAATTCTGTAGCTGCTGTCACCATCTGCAGTGATCATGGAGCCCAAGAAAGTAAAATCTCTCACTGCCTCCATTTCTACTGATGAAGTGTAGGTGGGCCCAAGTCAGCTTTCCATGTCCCCCCCCCCATTTCATCAGGTATCCCCTGTGACCTCTGTCTCTCTGGGCTCTCCTTTAAAACCAAGCTCTCTCCCTGGCCCCAGCCAGCCTTTCCCTGAAGGGTGATCTAGCTCTCTTCATCTTGTGCTGATCTAGTGATTTGTGATGTATTTTGGAGAGGTTTTATGAATTTTATTGATTTTATGCTGTGCTATTTAGTGTTCTGTTTGTTATGGAAAAAACCCAAATGGCCAAAGTACGTCGAGAAGGATTGTGAGAAAGCTAGCCGTGCACCGAGCAAGTCGGCCAAGACAGTAGAAGCAGAGAAATGCTTCGTGAGCGTCGGAGGCCATTAGCTATGTTGTGTTGCTGGCATTGTAATGCTAATAAACTGGTTTTGACCTTTCAAGCCTTTTGTGGCTTGGGACCCTCATACTTACGGGACCGCCTCTCCTGGTCTGCCCCACAGAGGACCCTAAGGTCCATGAATAATAATAGCTTGAAGGTCCAGGGCCCTAAGGAAGCCAGACTATCCTCCACCAGGGCCAGGGCTTTCTCAGTGATGGCCCCGACCAGGGCCCTGCAGGATTTAACCTCCTTCTGTCAGGCCTGTAAGACAGAGCTATTCCGCCTGGCCTTTAATTTGAATTCAGCCTGATCTTTTATTCCCCTTCTCTTCCCTCCCCCTCCCCTTTTATGAAGATCACCCGCTCTGAGACCCCACAGCTAATTCTCCCCTGGCCTCCTCTCTGGCCCAAGTAGGACCAATTCAACCAGCTAGCCCTGGGGATTATCTAATGCTTATTAGATGGATTTCCCCCAAATTGATTTCTGAACTTTGAATTTTATTATTTACATTTTATACTGTATTTTATGCTGTTTTTTGTTGCATCAATTAAGTGCTTCAAATTTGTTGTAAGCCGCCCTGAGCCCGGTTTTCTGAACCGGGAAGGGCGGGGTATAAATAAAAATGTATTTATTTATTTATTTAACACCATTTAATTGATATGACTGGCATCCAGATTGACTGGCCGTCCGAGGCAACTGAACCGGGGTACCAATAATCATTTTGGTATTTTCCCTAACAACTGGCGGTATAGTTGTTTTTCCTTTTGCAAAATACATAAATATCCGTTCTGTGCAAGGACCCTCCGATCCCATTTCTACATCTGGACCATGCCTGATCCACTTGATCACCGTCCCAACTCACACAGCAGTGGCAGAACCTACTACGCCTGAGCAACAGGCTGGACATGACACGGAGCTGAGGATGGGACAACTAAGTTTCTCAGCCGTTTGGTTCCCAAAACTTCCCCTCCCCCAGAGACCACCTGAAAATTGCCGAGAGCCTTGGTGAGCCATAGTTAATCTTTCTGCCTGTTGCACCCATTGCAATAATAATAATAATTATAATAATAATAGTATTTATACCCCACCCATCTGGCTGGGTTTTCCCAGCCACTCTGGGCGGCTTCCAATCAAGTGTTAAAAACAATACAGCATTAAATATTAAAAATTTCCCTAAACAGGGCTGCCTTCAGATGTCTTTTAAAAATAGAATAGCTGCTTATTTCCTTCACATCTGAAGGGAGGGTGTTCCACAGGGCGGGCGCCACCACCGAGAAGGCCTTCTGCCTGGTTCCCTGTAACCTCACTTCTTGCCATGAGGGAGTATTTTGCAATGTGTTGTGCTACGTGCTGTACGGTTTTTTATTGAACTTTTGCAGACAGACCACAGACCACTCAGATGAACTCTTGGGCCACTGCTTTGGGAGCCCCTCTTCTAAGAAACAAGCCAGGTGGAAGAGAGACCCTCTCTGTGATCTGCTGGAAAACCTGCATGGAACCCAGCCCAAGAATACCAAGAGAGGTGTGCATTTTACACAAACGGCAAGTGTGCGTTGACTCTTAAAAGTACCAGGGCAGCACAGCTGGTCTTCCCCTTGAAAGCCACCCCCCCAACAGAGTATAGTGTAGTGTTAGTGTATTCCACTAACAGAGAGACCATCATCCCACTTCTCTAAGTGGGTGCTTGTAAAATGCGAAGGTTGTAATTCAGTTTGAGACCCAAGGAGGAGTCCCTTTGAATTCCTGTAATCCAGTTTGACAGGCCTCACCTCATTCAGCTGGTGTACTTTTTGCCGACAAGAACTTCTTGCGTCTTGGCGAACCCCTCCGCCTCCACCTTGGCTCAGCCGTTTTATCTCCAAGCCACAGAGAAAATGGGTGGGGTGGGGTGGGGTGGGGTGGGAGGTGGCCTTCCTGGTTCCTGTGCGCAGAAGCCCCCGCTCTGGGCTCTGAAGCAGGGTCAGCCTTGGCGGAGCTGTGAAGCCATGGCCAGATGCAAGACCACAGATGGCACCTGGCAGGGACTGCCCCCCCCCCACTGAAGCTGGGAGAAGCCCTCTTGGATGAAAAGGATAAGGAATGGTCATGAGATGCCTGGATTGAACCCTGGGAAAACTCAGCTAGCAGTGAGAGGAAGAACTGGACACCCCATGGGATTATCGGGAGGAATCTTGCAGTTACGACTGACAGGCAGAGAGCTGGAAGTCACTTTTATTCATCTCTCTCTCTTGCTTTATTCTGTTATTGTTCTTATTCCTTTGCTCTTATCCATCACTTTCATTTTTCTATTTCTTCCTGTTATTTTATTACTTCCTTTTAAGACTCTCAATGGATTTTGGAAAGAATTGCATGCAGGTGAAGATGATGGAAAGCTGGTGAAGGACCCCCGTATGAGAGGCAAGGAAGGGGAGATTTCCCGGGGGGGGGGAGGCTGGGGGAAGGAAGGGCTGCCCCCAGGTGAGAGCTGGGAGGGCACACCCTTCCCTCTATGAGAGAAAAGTTAGCATATATCAGTGAGAGGGGACCTTATGTTAGGATATAGTTCCGTTCCACCTTCAAAGGAACAGGCATGACTGTTGTGTGCCACATGCCTGTTTATATTTCCAGCACAGTCTGCTGGGAACTTCCATTGTATATTGCTTTTGCTATATTGCATTTTGCTTGGACATGAAGGGAAGCAGACATGTTTTTCCTTTGTTCCTGAACTATGCTGAATAAACGCCTGTAAATAATGCTTACACATGTCTCTGTCCGCCACTTCCATTGAGAGAAGTTATTCACTCTGTTGATAAGAGCGTGCCAAGTCTCTAAATGTCTCTGAGGCTTGTGTCACTGATTGATGCTGTTCTGAGAACCAGAGTTCGCCCGGCTGCTGGCTGGAGCCAGCTGGGGGCCTGCCAAATGCCCCCGTCTCCCCAGACACATCCCAACACCTTATAGTCTTCTAACTCCTTTTCTTCTTTCTCTTGCTTACTATTTTCGGTTTAGAAATTGTTTTGTTTGTTACACAGTGTTGTGAATAGCCTTAATAAAACTTGGGGTCTATAAGAAAGCAAAGACTGCCCCCAGCCGCAAGAGTAACCACGAAAGGGATTAGCCCCACGCTGTGTGGACGGCCCCTTTGGGGTGGGGGGCGAGGCCTGCAGATTGGAGTGCAGGCAGGACTCCATGGCACAGAGGCAGCAGACAAGTTCTCGAACCACACAACTTTTATTTTAAATAAAACGCAACACAGATGCAGGCTTTGCACACCAGTGTCTGTGATCAAACAGGCAATGCAAAACGAGGAACAGGCCAAGGCAGAGTTTGTGTGGCAATCTTGTCAAAACAGCATGAACTAAAACCTTGGTGGGCCACAACTGGGGGGAGCGGGCAAAGGCCTGAGGCCCTCCCAATGGCGGGCATCCCAAGGGCAAGAGGTGGAACTCAAACCAAAAAGATGTTTATGAGAAACAGATGGTTCTGGGGGTCGGGGGGAGAGCTCCTGTCCACCCTTCTCTTCCCAACTGCAAGGCTGCCATGTCCCCAGGTCACGCCCCCCCCCCATGAAGCTCCTGGCAGAGGAAGGCAGCCATCTATGAAGTTCTCCTGCCCTCAACCCACCTGATATGTCAGACAGAGCAGCTGGAAAAGCCACATTCTCAGCAGCCTCATTAAAGTAACCCCAATAAATAAATATTCCAAGTCCAAGCCCTCCCCTCCTCCCACCACCCCCCAAATTAGCAAGCCTCCAGTGCTGGGCTTGGCCCCCCCGGCTCGCACACCCCCAAACTCCCCCGAGCCGGGAGGGGGTGCCAGAGCTTGGCTCCGCACAAACACAACAGGCAAAGTGCAAGTGAAATCCAGTACGGAAAAATATACAAAGAATTTGTCTCTCAATATAATACAAGGGATGGGGAGCGCTCACACCCAAGACAACTGGAGAAAGAATAAAATTATTCAATAAATAAGGAAGATGGGGTGGGATGGGAGCGGGGCGGGGCGGGGCGGGGGGGGCAGAGCCCGGGGCACCGGACCCAGCATCCTGCCCCACCGCAGGCCTATTTACAGCGCTGGTCTCCTCTCTCTAGGGACGCTTGTTTACCAGGTAGTCGTGGGCTTCCCACGGGATCTGCGGAACGCACAGAAAGCACCGCGGGCCTCTCGGGTCGGTAGAAACCTGTTATAATGTGTGACTGTGCAGGAGGAGGCTGTACAATGCAAAACCGTAAATGTCCATGGCCTGTGAGGAGTGTGGGGCGGTCGGTCATGGTGGGGCAGCGAGCAAGCGCACAAGGGCGGGGGCCCAGCTAGTATTCATCCTGGTCCTCCGGGTGCTGCTCGTCCAGCTCCTCGTCCTCTGGGGGGGCAAAGCCTTCCTGCAAGGACCGGGGAGAGGGAGTGAGACACAGGCGGGGCCAAGTGGGCTCCCCCACCCGCCAGGCTCCCCGGCCAGGGCTGCTCCCACCTCCCTCCAAGAGCAGCGGGGGCCAGGGCTGGGGCACGGGCAGCTGCCGCCCCCGGCTGGCACCCACCTCCGTGGCATACAGGATGCCGATGATGCCTGAGATGATGGGGCTGTTCTCGCTCTCGTGCTCCTGGCAGATCAGCTCAATGTCCCGCAGTTTGCTGAAGTAGAAGTCGCGCTCCTTCTCCAGCCCGTCCACCGTCAGCTTCAGGTCCACCAACTGCCCCCGCCCCAGGGAGAGAACGGGCAAGGTGAGCCAGGGCCGGCAAGGGGGCGCCAACCCCAGCAGCCCCTCCTGCCGTAGCCGAGAACAAGGCCAAGGGCAGGGCCTGCGCAGACCTTGCAGGGAGCTGGGGGAGATGCCCTTTGCTCTGGGGAGGCAGCGAAGGGAAGACAAAGGGCTGCTCTTCTTCCCCAGACTCACACAGGCGGGTTTCAAAAAGTTCACACATAATAATAATAATAATAATAATAATAATACCAATACCCCACCCATCTGGCTGGGTTTCCCCAGCCATTCTGGGCGGCTTATAGCGTATCTAAAAACATAAAACATCAAGCGTTAAAAACCTCCCGATACAGGGCTGCCTTCAGGTGTTTTCTAAAAGTTGTGTAATTCTTTATCTCCTTGACATCTGAAGGGAGGGCGTTCCACAGGGCGGGCGCCACTGCTGAGAAGACCCTCTGCCTTTTGTCCCACGGGCTCAGCCTCAGCTAAGGGGGTGTCAACCCTGGTTGTGGGCTTCTCAGAAGAGGCATCTGGTTGGCCAAAGTGAGACCCCTTTGGCCTGACCCAGCAGCCTCTACTTAGGTTCTTCTCTCCCTCCAATTTGTGTGTGTTTTGAAAAAACACTAATTCTCCTTCAGATCACCATACTCATGGTAGGTAGGTAAATAACAATAAAATAAAATAATGATGCTGATGTTTTATTATTTATATCCTGCCTATCTAACTTCCAACACATAAAAATGCAATAAAATATCAAACATTGAAAAGCTTCCCAATACAGGGCTGCCTTCAGATGTCTTCTAAAAGCTGTATAGTTATTTATCTCAAGATCCGATGGGAAGGCATTCCACAGGGAGGGTGCCACCGCCAAGAAGACCTTCTGCCTGGTTTTTTCAGCCTCCCTCCCCTCCTCTCTTTGGGCCAGTGAACCCTGAGGGATCCTGGCTCACTTGCCAGAGGGATCGTTGCTCTCCCGGCATCTATCAGTGCACCTCCCGCCAGAGCCCCCAATTCTCCACACCTCCTGCCTCCAGACTCTCTCCCTGCCTTAAAGCAGCACTCTGGAGGCAGCTTGCTTTGGCTTCCCCCGGGCCCCAAGAGCCACGGGCCAAACGGAGAGGGCGGCTGCGTGGCCCCTTTCCCAGCTGCTGGAAGGAAGAGGCAGGCGCTGCTGAGGCCACCTGGGCAAGTCCAGCTCAGGACAACAGCCAAGGGGCTGCTTCAGGGCATCAGAGGCCTGACCCACGTGGCTGGACGGTCCCTTGACCGGCTCTTTAAAGTGGGGTGACTGGTGGGCATTCATTGACCCGGTTTGGATTGATAGTAACAGGGCCCCTCAACATCCAAGTCAGGAAAAGGAGCCTCTGCAAAGCTCAAAGCCCTGCTGCCCCATCCCTGCCCATACCTGCTGGTTAAGCTCCAGGATCTGGGCATCTGCTTCACTGCCCCCATTCCGGGCCAAGGGAGGGTTTTTCCGTACAATATTGCTGGGAGCGACGTTCAGCCGGGCCGGATTCTGCAAGTTCTTGGGGCCTGTGGGGGAGGTTCGCTGTGGGACTGTGCAAAGAAGTCAGAGAGAGAGAAAGAGAAGTTACTCAGGAGTCTCCTGGCAATCAACCCCGTCTGCTTCTGCCAGGGCGTGCGCCTGAGTGAGGCCTGCAAGAAGACCGTGTGCAGCTGGAGCCCCAGAAGTGGCCTGGACAGGGGGAGAGAAGGAAGGAAGGAAGGAAGGGAGGGAGGGAGGGAGGGAGGGAGGAAGGAAGGAAGGAAGGAAGGGAGGGAGGGAGGGAGGAAGGAAGGAAGGAGGGAGGGAGGGAGGGAGGAAGGAAGGAAGGAAGGGAGGGAGGGAGGAGAGGAGAGGGGAGGGAGGGAGGGAGGGAAGGAAGAAGGAAGGAAGGAAGGAAGGAAGGAAGGAAGGAAGGAGGGAGGGAGGGAGGGAGGAAGGAGGGAAGGAAGGAAGGAAGGAAGGAGAAATGGCCGCTCAGGGTGCAGAGTGTGGGTGGAGGGACTGGCTGAAATCCAGATCCCACGGGTGCTCTGCACCACTGCAGAAAGTGACAGCTTGGTGGGGGGCCTGGCTCTGGGTCCCCCTTCCTCCTGCCTCCCTGGGAGTCAAGGACATATAATTCTCTCCCCCCACCCCCAGAGCAGAGAGGCTTTTCCTCCCGCCATGCCCACCACCACAGGGCAGCAGCGTCAAGCTACACACATGCAGGGAAGAGCCGTGCCCCCAGCCAGCCCCCCAGCGGGTGTTGCTGCCACCGCAGAGCAAAGCAAGCGAGCCCCGCTAGGGAGAGCCATGCAGGGCGGCCCTGGGGACCCCACTCCTCTTTCCGGGCTCATCTCTGGACTCATCACATCAATGCCGGAGCTTGCCCCATTCACCTGGTGCCTGTGATTCACCCTCTGGGGAACAAGCTGCACCTGGGGTGGGGGCCTTCTGTCCCCTTCCAAGCGGAAGCTCCAGCAGGAAGGAAGCTGGTTGCTGCAACCAAGGTCAGCCCAACCCTCTGCCACCCTTTGGGCTCCACGGCCTGCTCACCCAGAGCTTCTCTCTGTGTGTTCCACATTGTGACTTAGGTATCCCCTTCCTGACTCAGGGAGGGTGGCTGGGGAGCAGGGGGGCCTCTTTTATCACCCCTCGTCAGGGTCCCTTTGTCCGGAAAAGGCCTGGGGAAGACCAGGCCCTGGACAGGGGGGCATCTCCACTAGCAGGCCTTGAAAGGTGGAGAGGAAGCGGGCTCTAGGTGCTGCCACCCAGGTTCCAATCTGTAGTAGTGCAAATATCCAGCATGTGGGATTGCTATGAGGAATTATGAAATATGGAGCAAGCCATTGTGTCCACGATGAAAGCATTGACAATGGTTTCTGATCGAATCCCACAGGCCTCTCCACCTCTGCCATTTGCTTTCTCTCTGCCTGACAGGCACGTATAAGCATTCTAAATACACAGGCCAGTTGCTTCACCAGGCATCCTGGGTCATAAAGACAGAAGGAAGCTTTGATGTAGTTTGTTAATCATTCTCAAGGAGATGGTAAATACTACCTATCCTTCCTCTCCTGTTTACTGCTGTTTATGACCTCCGGAATTTCTTAAAAGCATTCCTCTTTGCTTCCTCTATTATTTACTCTGAATTACATATGCATGCTCAAGTAGGAAATTCGTAGTTTTTGTAGTTTTAACTTTTAACTTTTGTAGCTCTTTGTAGTTTTAACTTTTAACTTTGTCCCACATGGGGTTTTTGAAACGCTCAGAGGAAATCTGATTGGTTCTTACGAACACTGTGTAAAAAGTTCTTTTGTGAATAAAACGACCTGGGCCGGAGGGTGGACAGGAATTATTACTATACGCACTCCTCCCAGAGTCTTGCTGGTCAAGCCTCTGTGTGTATTTTATTAATCAGAGGCTAATCCTTCCTTTGCTTTGGGAACGCCACACCAATCCCCTCTAAAAAGCTGCAGGGTTTCCTGAGCAGCCTTGGGTACACAACCTTCTTCCAGCCTCCCGGGAAGCAGAGAAGGGAAACATGGGGCGGGCAAGGACTGAGGAGCCCCCAGACCCAGCCAGATCTGAGCCTACGAGGGCAGGGCATCAAGCACCTGAGCCCAGGGCATCGTGTGGCTTTGCAGCAGCCACCCCCCTCACCTGCCTCCTCTGTGAAATGGGCATGCGTGGCTCACTCCAAAGGGAGAACAGGAAGGGCTGTGCTCTGCAAGCTTCCGAGGAGGGGGAAGAGCAGCTCTGAGCAGGCCAGGCCTGGGCGCCACAGCCCCCACCCCCAAAGGCAAAGGCGGCTCTGCACGTCTTCCCAGAAGAGCAGCCAGATTCCACAGAGATTCCTGTGTGAGACAGGTTGCAGCATGCAATGCAGCCAGGCCCCATTCGCTTAAGCACAGCGGCAAGCTGAGAGGGGTCGTTTCCTCGGGAGGAAGCAGGCTGAGCCCTGCTGGCACGACCGACCCACAGGGCTACGTGGAGCCAGAGGGTAATGCGGTGTTGGGCTGCGCTAACAGAAGAGGAGAGCCCTGGTACAGGAAGAAGCAAGGCCACTCTTCTGCCATGCTGCGTCCAGCCGCCAGCTTTTAAGAACAGTGTTGGCAAACTGCAGCACATCTGCGGAAGGGGAGCCAGGACTGCTGAGGGGTCTGGAGACCCCGCCTTATGAGAAATGGTTGCAGCTCACTCTCTTTAATAAGTCAGTGCACACTGGTTATGTTCATCTCGTGGACTTTTACGAGCAGAAAACCCCTTTGCCAGAACAGTGCCTGGTGGCTATATTTCACAGGCCTGAAGTGGTGACCTGGAATCTGAGTTGGTTGGATCTGGAATGCCCAGAGGACTTGCCTCTGCTGTCGGACCCTGTTTGCTCCCCTCCTTTGAGACCCGCCTCTGGTTCAATCCTGGGCAGGGCTGGGGACGCGCTCCCTGTCTGAATTCCTCCCAGCACAGACCAGCGGGTCTGACTCGGGATAAGGCAGCTTCCCGGGTCCCTCGGCTGCACAGCAGGATCCTGCCTCCCACGCCCAGGGAGGTGGGCTCTCCTTCCACCCTCCCCCCCGATGCCCCAGGAGTTGCCAAGCTGGATGCCGGGGTGCCACGGTCATGCTGGAGGCCGGATCCTGGGGTGCCCGCTGGCTCTAGCGACATTACCTGCAGTGCCAATGGGTTTCTTGAGTTTGTTGAAGATCTGATCACCTGGGTTTGGAGAAGGCGCCACCTCCTGGCCTTGCCTCGCCAGTAGCGGGTTGTACTCCTTCCCATCGTAGTTGGCGTCAAAGAATTTCTTAAACCACTGAATGAACTCAAAGTTGTCCTGGAACTTCCCCTTCACCAACCTCTCCACTGAGATGATCTGCAACAAGTCCAGGAGAGAGGGAAGGAGATCATTAAGAGATACCTGGTCACTCACAGAACCTCAGAGCCAAAAACGTTCGTAGTGATCAGGTGGGACTGCTATGAGGAATTACAAAAAATATGGAGCAAGCCATTTGTGCCAGCAATGAAAGCATTGCGTTGACTGGGTTTCAGCCATTTTGATATGATTTCTGATCAATCCACGCCTCTGCGTCTCTGTCCAATTTCTCTGCCTGACAGGCACATACAAGCATTCTAAACACAGGCCATTTGTTCACCAGGCATCCTGGGTCATAAAGGTAGAAGGTAACTCCTTTGATGTACTTTTCCTTGGTTTTGTTAATCTTAGGGCCAGGAAACAGTTTCACATGAAGATGATAAAGATACCTATCTTCCTTGCCATCCTTCCCCTTATGTTTACAGCTTGTTTATGACCTCCAGGGTTTTCCTTCCTCTAGTCCTGTTTTATTTACTCTCAGATATGTATGCATGCTCAAAGTAGTTTTTGTAGTTAGCAGGATTTCTTCTGAACTGATTTTGTCCCACGTGGGGTTTTTGAAATGCTCAGAGAAAATCTGATTGGTTCTTACGAACACCGTGTAAAAAGTTCTTTCGTGAATAAAACGACCTGGGCCCAGGGGTGGACAGGAATTATTATTATACGCACCCCTCCCAGAGTCTTGCTGGTCAAGCCTCGTGTGTATTCTATTAATCAGAGTCCAATCCTTCCTTTGCTTTGGGAACACTACAAACGTTGTTGGTCAAACCCATGGTCTTTATTCATACGGACGAAAATCCCACATGCAAGCCAAGGGTGCCCAGCCTCTGGGAAACGGAGCCAGGGCTGCCAACTGGAGCCAAAGGCTTCCCGTAGACCTCTGCCTCCAGCCCTGACACCCAGCTCCAGGGCCATGCCAGTGGGAGCCCAAGGCAAGCCCCCTCCCACGCCTCCTCCCTTCCGGAGACCCACCTTGTCCACACCCATTTTCTTGAAGGCAGCCTGCAGCACCTTGAAGTTGTGGATGAACTCGTGCTCCAGCTTGGCCTGGAACTTCACCTTCCTTAGGTGGATGCAGCCTGGAAACAGCATGTCCATGAACTGGCAATAGGCAGCCCCTGCCAAGGGAAAGGGCACAGAAATTGGCTTCTTCCACGCAGTCTCTGGACCCCAGCACAGCAGGCAAGGTCCCTGCTTCTCCCTACGCCCCAAACCACTGACGGTTCAAGGCTACCCGCACTGCCAGGGCTGCACCACCCCATCGCCGCCCCTTCTGCCCCCTGCCGCCCAGTACCTGAGCACAGCTGCTCAATCTTGGTGTAGTTGAGCTGCAGGGAGTCGTTGACCCACGCAAGCATGTCATGGCGACTCAGGTTCTCGCTCGTCACAGAAGTGGAATATACATTGACGGCCATGCCCCAACTGCAGGAAGAAGGGAGGGAGGCGTTATTCGCCAGGGAAAGCGGTTCCAAGCCCTGCCCCAAAGGCGAGGCCTCAGGTGCCCAGGACTGAGCCCAAGACCTCAGCACACCAAACACATGTTCCGCCATGAAGCCTCAGCCCCTGTTGCTCTATGGCAAGGGCGGCAAACCTGGTTGGCCTGACAGGCCAAATCTCCATCTCCGCCCCCTGCAGAAACCACATTTGAAAGGTGGCCAGGGCCCACCTCCATCCGTCACTTGACGTCAGGTGATTGCAGAGACGGGCGGGCAGTGGGTTGACCCATGAGAGGGAGGAGGGACCAAGGGGGACTGAAGTCCAGCCAGCCAGCCAGGTCACTCCCTGCCCCACACCGGATGCCACAAGCAATGTCTGGTGTGGTTTGGGGAAAGTATTGGAGCTGTAACTTCCTGGCAGCAGATGACAGAACCATGAGACAGGTGTAAAATACTCCAGCAATAAGGGGAAGGCTTGGTGGGCCAGATCTGGCCCAGAGGCAGGAGGTCCGTCCCCCCCGCGCTTTGCAGAACAAATCACATTGGGGGTTTTGGACAAGCCTGACTAAAGCCCATCCCATGGCGAAAGGGACAGGGTTCACTTCCATTCCACTCAATCAGCCTCATCCTTGCACCAGAGAAAATGGGGTGGAGGAGCAGAAAAAGAAACTAATTCAAGAGCATCACCAAATAGTAGCTGCTGCACCCCACAGCTCCCAGACAGGTGGGGTGGAGGGGCATTACCAGAGCTCCTCCCCCACCCCAGCAGGAGACTCCCTGGCCCCCACCTGCACGCAGCCCAGCCCCTCCCCACGGTGGCTGAGCCTGCACTTCCCCCAGGCAAAGGCTTCCCCTGACCAGGTCAGAGTCAGACTTCAGCTTTCCCCAGCAGCATCTTTTCAAAGGGGCAGGGAGAAGATGCCAAAAACTTTGCAGCACTTGAGCACAAAGGCACAAAAGGAGGATGGGAGCCCACAAAGGCAGCAGCGTTGCCACTAAGTCCAGGGGCCCCAGAGCAAGCTGTGCGTGTCAGACTCGCCCTCAGCCCTTCCAGCGGGAGAGAGGCCTCTCTGTCTTTTGCAAAGGAAGCTGCTTCTGCAGGGCAGCAAGTGGGAGACGCACTGGCAGGCCCCTGCCAGGCCCCGCTCCGCTGCCTGCAGGCATCCCCTGCGCCACCAGGGGGCATCACACTGGCCACTGCACATGGGGGGGACAGGCAAGGAGGAGAGGGATGGGCGCAAGTGAGGGGTCACTGGACAAAGCCCCCCTTTCACCTGGACAGGTGTCTGGGCCAGCGCCAGCACCAGCCCCACTGGCCACGCGGTTCAAGGAGGGCTGCCCTAGGAAGGGGGCTGGCAAACTCCCAGGCATGTCATAAAGCCCCACCTCCCGCCTCCTCAGCCAATCAGGAGGCAGGGCTGACACCATCTCTAGGCACACAGGGGAAGCACAGGGAGAAAGCAGGCCTCCCCTCATCCCCTCTGGAACCCCAAAGCAGAGAGGGCACAGACAGAGCAGCCAGCCTCCGGTGCCAGGCAGAACAAAGGGCTGGAGCCCCAATTGGTCCCCCTCCAAGCTAGGAGGGCGCCTGGACGGGGTCACCAAGCCAGGGACTCTGCCCCCAGGATCCCTCCAAGGAATAACAGATCTGATGCAAGAGGTGGGGGCACTGCTCAGGACCACCTCCCTCTGCCAGGAAAAGGAACTGCGTTGCAGGAGAAGCACTGCCAGGCAGAAAGCTCTCCCATGGACCTTCTGCCTCAGAGGCTGGGCTCAGAACACTGCTTGGCTTCAGGGCTGTTTCCCTGAGGGGAGCTGGCAGAGACAATAATGCCTGTGGGGCGGATGAATGGACAGGGGAGAACCTCAGAAGAGCTGGGTGGCTGCGGGATCACCCCAAAGGCTCGCCTAGTCCAGCCTCCCCTTTCCCCCAAGGCACAAGGACAAAAGCCCCTCTCCCACCACAGCCTGTCTAGGGAAGCCCCAAAGAGACATAGCCCCAGAAGGTTCCAGGGCCGAAACCTGGTGGGTCTGACGCTGACCCTCCGTGCCCCAAGGAAAGCCCCTCTGCTGCCCGAAGCTGCAAGGAGAGCAAATGGAAGCAGGGATGCCAAACGACCCCCCCATTGCCCCCACCCCAGGGCACCATCCCCAGAGAAGTCCCACTGGGCTGGAGAGAGGTGGCTTCTTCTGGGCAGAGGGGGCCCGTGGGGCAGCTCAGCCCCGCTTCTCCTCTGCCAGCCCAACTCCAATGCTTTGGCTCGTGGAAGGGGCACCCCTGGGCAGGGCCCCCCAAGGGTGCTGCATCCTCACCCAGGACTGGCACCAACCTGGCCTTTAGCAAGCACCCTCTTCGTCGATTTGGTCAATAAGGGGAGGGAAGGGGCATGGCCCGCATGAAGGTGGTGCTTGGCCAGAGGAATTCTGCTGACCTCAGCCTTGCAAAGCACAGCAGGAAGGGGCTCCCTCACAACCTCCAACCCCCCCCCCACTCCAGGGAGTTTCATTTAACAGCTGATAAGCCGATTAAGGGCTGCTGGCTCCTCCCCTCCTAATCCCGCCCCCGAATGAGCGCCCAAGAAAGCAGGCTTGGCATGGCGGAAGAGAGGCTGGCTTGATTCCTGGGGTTGCATCCAGAGGCTCCTTTAATTCTGGGTCCTGATCCACAAATTCCACCCCAGAGTCAGAGGCCGTTAACAGGCAGGTGCCCCCCTAGCTTGGGCTTGACCGGTTGAGACGTTGAGCACATCACAAAGTTGGGTCACGTTCCAAGATACAGGACACAGCCTGATTTCCCAGGGAAGCAGCCCTGCCTGGGCTCCCTTGCAGCATCCAACGCCTTCTCCAGGCTTTTTATGCTGCCCAGGTAAATTGGCTTATCCCTTGACCTCCCTGCAGGCCTGCTAAATCTGGACATCAGGCCTTGGTGCGTGGGGAGCGTCTGACCAAGGTGGCACCACGCTGCCTCTGGGAGCGGCAGGAAATCAGACGGAATGCTGAGGAAAACACCTTCCTTTCGAGTCCAGGTATTTGAAAAAATAAGGGCCCTAGAACAGGGGCCAGAAAACTTTTTCAGCAGGGGGCCAGTCCACTGTCCCTCAGACCTTGTGGGGTGCCGGACTATTTTTTTTGCGGGGGAGGGAATGAATGAATTCCTATGCCCCACAAATAACCCAGAGATGCATTTTCAATAAAAGCACACAATCTACTCATGTAAAAACACACTGATTCCCGGACCATACCCGCGGGCCGGATTGATAAGGCGATTGGGCCACATCCGGCCCCCAGGCCTTAGTTGGCCTACCCATGCCCTAGAAGGAACCACCTTGGCTGCGAAGACCCTTGCCTGAACATATGTTTTACATTTTATTCTATTACACAGTGCTAGTCCTAACTGGAGGAGGGGGTAAAAGCAGCGTTCAAAACTCCCCTTGTTCTAGGTGTGTTTTGCAAGAGGGAATTTCATTAATGCGAGCAGTTTCTGAGCTCTGGGCATAGTGCTGTGCCTAAGATTTAAGATTAAAACTGCCACTTCTGGAAGGAAAGGAGGACCTTTTTCTGCCTCCCCACTTCCAGCCACTCTCTGAAGACTGGAAACGAGACCCTCTTAAGATTATTAGGGGGGTGGGCTGGGAAAGTATGGCTTTGTTTTTTGCAGTCTTCAGATGAGGACTAGACCATGTTAAGATTTTAGCTGCAGTTTCTTCATTTTCAGCTTTGTGTTCTTGTTATAAAAAAGCGCACTTTTGTGGCGCCCATAAGCTAGGTTTAAGGTGCCCTTCAGCTCCTAACTTTCCTGCCTCAGTTTCTAAACCTGGGTAAAAGTGTTATACAGAACAGACTCCCCGACCTCCTTCCTATTCAAAACCCTCATTCTCCAAGTCCTAGGCAAAAATGGAAAGCAACGACCCCCCCCCCAAACCAAAAGCAGGCAGAGCAACACACGCAAGGCAGACTGAAGAGGCTGCATCACCTGCAACTGCCACAACAGTGGGATCTTCCTGTCATCTCCCAAACAGGGAAAGGACACATGAAAACCTCCTGCAGGTTTTGTGACCTACGCACCATAAGCCCTTTGCCCACCCAGGAGTACCAGTGCCCCCCTCCCAGGACTGTCCGGTCTAGGCTGATTCCAGAGGCCTCAGCACAGCAACACGTAGCTCAGCTGGAGCACAAGACGCTTAATCTCCTGGTTGTGGGTTCGAGTCCCACAAGATTCCAGCACTGCAGGGGGTTGGACTAGATGACCCTCATGGTCCCTCCCAACTCAACACTTCTATGATTCTGTGATTCTATGACTTTGTAACAGAAGCCCCAGGCCCACCTTGCGGCTGGCGCTTGAACGTCCGCCCCTCTGCACCCACCGAAGTCAGGAACTGGGGGGGCAGCTGGGCTGAACAGATCAGATTAAGGGGCTAAATCTGCTTTCACTTTTGCCGGCAAGAGATTGAGTGCTTAATGCACGGCCAACAATGAAAGTCAGGATTAGGAGAGCAAGGGGGGGGGCATCTGTCAGGAACCTCCTGCAGCCGCCCCACTGCTTTGTGTTTGGCTGCCCCAAGGAGCGCCGTCTCCCCAGTGTTTTGGGGTGGAGCGATCCTGGCCTCCTTTCCAGAAGTGCCTGCCCCTCTTCCCACAGAGCCCCACGGGGCAGACTCTGCTCCAGATGAGCCTTTTTCTTCGGATCCTGGGACACGCTCCCTCCTGGCCACAGGGCGGGCGGACAAACTAGGCCATCAGCCAATCAGCTCCCTCGGGCAGCTGCAAGGGATGCTGGCATACATATGGCGGGACTTTGGGTGCCATTTGCCAGATGGGAGGGCTGCTCACCCACCCGTCGCCTGGAGGGGGGATTAGAAAAGCAGATTGCGATGCAGGGCAAGGCAGGGAGAACCTCTGCCTGCCCAGGACCCCTTCTGAGTGGGGCCAGGAGCATTGCCTCGCTTGCCCAAGAAGCTTCTAGCAGGGCCAGCAAGAGGCACAATGAGAGAATTGGAGGGTCTGCCTCATGCCCCATGACCAAGTGATGTGGGGAGACAAGCACTCATGCTCTGCAAAACAGGGAAGCCATTCCACCCAGTGGTCTATGACTCGAATAAGTGAGCCAAGCCACAGGCTCCCAGTGAAGCATTTAACACATCAGCCTGGACCGCTAAGCTGTTTGGCCTAGTGGTGGGAATTCCCTCCCCTTAGGATGCAGTAGCCAATCCTCCAGTGGGGAAGCCCACCAAAGGAAATCTCCCAAGGCACCTCATGACACCCTTTGGTCCCTGATCCCCCCCCCCCCCCGAAAGCTGCAATGAGCTGGGGTGGAGAAACAGAACCGCCACCACCCCAGAAGAAGAGATCTGGAGCATTTGAAAGAGCAGGACTGTCTGGGGGAAAGTGGACACACAAAGCCCCAGTCAGACGGCACCAGGGCTGGCCAAAGACTGATCAAGAGCTGGGAAGACCTTGTCAGGATCCCTGTGATAAAGAGCATCTCCCTCTCTCACACCCACCACAGGAGGAAAGGGGACAGAGAGAGGAAAGGGGACAGCATCTCCCTCTCTCACATCCACCACAGGAGGAAAAGGGACAGAGCTGGCATCTTCCTTAGAAGAAGCTGGATAGCTCAGCTGGTTAGAACATGGTCTGGTAACGCCAAGGTTGCAGGTTCGATCCGCATATGGGACGTTCTGCATCTTCCTACACTGCAGGGGGTGGGTCTACATGACTCTCAGGATCCCTTCCATCTCTACAACACTGTGATTCTGTGATTCCAAGTCACCTGTGGAAGTCAAAGCTCCCCTGGGCAAGACCTGGTTGTATTGCTGCCAATGACATGGAACTATTCATCATTGCTATAGACTGAACTTTTAAAAGTATGCCCCCCACCCAAACACCTTGCCACCATCCTTCCCATTCCCCAAATAAAACGTAGCCCTTAAACTGCCCTGACTTGCACTTTCTCACAGTTTCCCCCCTAGTCGGGCATTTCAGTTCAGCTACTTTGGGCTACTGAGAAAAATCCCGAGTTACTTATTCTGCAGCATGTGAAATTATCACAGCACACCTTGTGATATGGCTTCCTCTAACGCTCAGCTCGATGCCCCAGGGGCCAGGAGCATTCCTCCAAGGAAGCGCTGCATCGTTTGGTTGCTGTTGGAGGGTCCCCTTGCTTTATCTGCTGTGCAAGTCAAGAGACCTGGGCAAACGGGCTGCCTTTCCAAAATGATGCCTGGCCTGATCAAAGGCTGATTGCCCACCCTCCATCCCTGAAGCAGCAGTAGGTAAACAGCAGGCATCCTGATGTTCCAGGGATGGACAACTCCCACCCCCTCTGGCCACGCTGACTGGAGCGGATGGGAGTCCCATAGCAACTGGCAGGACTACAGGTTTCCCAGTCCAGCTCTGAAGAGCTTTGCTTTCTTCACAAGGCAGGACACTCTGCCCCTCTGACCTGAAACGCAAGGTGGCACCTTTTCCTCTCCAGCCCAGAAGCCTCCAGAGCCTTTGGCGGAGAAGAGGCCTTTGCCAGCAACTGGGCCTTTCAACACGCAGAGCACACAGCCCACCCCACAACATGCCGTGTCCTTTTGGGACAAGGAAAACAGCACGCCTTGTGCCCCTTCAACTCTTGGGCGCACTCAGAATCACTTCTGCATCACTCCAGAATGCCTCTTGTGGGGAAGGGTGGCTTAAAGAAAAGAAGAGGGAGGGAAAAGGCCCCAAGCCAGGCTGGCTCAAGGGCCACCTGGGAGAACCTGGCTCATGCTTTAAAAGCTGAGCCTGGAAAGCCCAGATGCGGCCAAGGCAGCAGCTGATGAGTCCTTGTCCAGGAGAGGGAGAGGATGGAATTCCTCCAGGAGCCTCCAGGGGGCGCCTCCAGCTCCCCACATGGCTCTTGGCACAGGTGATCTTCCTTGGAGCTGCCTGGGCTATTGGGGGCAGGGGGAGAGGGGAGGGGGCACCCACAGCACAAGCCATCGTGGCACAGGGGAAGGAGGTCAAACAACCCCCCACGCTCTCCCTGGGCCACCAACCTGGGAAGGGGACAAGGAATGTGGGTGCCTCTCTGGATGCCGGAAGGGGAAGCAAGAGAGAAACCCCGCAGGCAGCTGTCCAGAGGGGCAGCAAGCTGGGCTTGGGGTCCCAAGGGGAGGCTGTTGGGGAAGGTGCTCTCCGGGTTCAAGGGCCCAGCACTCGCTCTGCCCACAAAAGGGTCCAGGATGGCTCCCCAACAGGAGCTCCAGGTCCACAGAGTCCAGCACTTTGTCCCCAACAGCGGCCAGGGTAATGGCGCCAAAAGGCAGAATCTAGCTATTTTCAAACAAAGTCCCAGGCAGCTCAGGTTCACGCTGGGGGTGGCTATGTCCCATTTTAATTCAGCGTTCGGGAAAGGTGTACTGCATCAAAAAACGGAAGGTAATTTTTATTCTTATTTATTTATGATTATTGCTTTGTCAAAAATAAATTATTATTATTTAAGTGGAAAATAATAGTAATAGTAATAATCATCATAATAATAATTTATTATTTATACCCCGCCCATCTGGCTGGGTTTCTCCAGCCACTCTGGGCGGCTTCCAATGGAATATTAAAATACAATAACCTATTAAACATTAAACGCTTCCCTAAACAAGGCTGCCTTCAGATGTCTTTTAAAGCTAGGATAGCTGCTTATTTCCTTGACATCTGCTGGGAGGGTTTCCACAGGGCGGGTGCCACCACCGAGAAGGCCCTCTTCCTGGTTCCCTGTAGCTTTGCTTCTCGCAATGAAGGAACCGCCAGAAGGCCCTCGGCGCTGGACCTCAGTGTCTGGGCAGAACGATTGGATGAATGGAAGAGAATGAGCCAAGAGCACCTGCGTGACTCTGCACCACAGGGGGAGACAGAGAGCCCTCGCCAGCCCCAGTTGCAGCCCCCCTGACCCCTAGCAGCCAAGCCTGAAGCCCACAGCCCAAGAGGGACCCCTCCCCACCAAGCTCCTTCCTGGGTCCTCTGGCCCAAGCAGCCTCTGCAGCCGCCTCCTTCCAGGCAGAGGCACCAGTGCGACCTTTCCTGACCCCTAACTGGCCAGCCCTTCAGGAAAGGAGACCCCATACGCAAAGGCAAGGCGAGCCAGAAGGCCAAAGGCAGGCAGTCCTCCCCATGCAGGTAAAGCCCAGCACAGATGGCAGGTTGAGGGGGGAAAGCAGGAGGAGGAGCCACAGGGAGGGAGGAAGAGGAAGAGGATTGCCACATGCATATTTGGACCTGGTGCATCTGCCGCAACATCCACCCAGACCGGGTCTTCCTTCACAGCTGCTGGTGGGTTTGAAGTGGTTTGCCCTTGGATGCAGGCACCCCCCTCCCCAGGCCCACGAGGGAAAGGGACTGCAAGTTCCAGCCATGCTTGTGGGGCAGGGAGATGGGAATTATTATTATTATTATTATTATTAATAATAATAATAATAATAATATTTTATTTATACCCCGCCCTTCCTGGTTCAAAAACCTGGCTCAGAGCGGCTAACAACAAATTTAAAACACTTAATTATAAAAGCAGCATAAAATACGGTATAAAAACATGAATAGGAATAAACATCAAAAGTCAAAAATCAGTTAGTTAATCCCAGGGCTAGCTGGCTGAATTGGTCCTATTTGGGCCAGTGAGGAGGCCAGGGGAGAATTACTGTGGGGTCTCAGAGCGGGTGATCTTAAATAATAAATAAATAAAGTGGGCCTTGCACAAGCTTCTAGTTTCACTGCAATCCAGAAGTCTCGTGTTTTGCCCATGGACTGCACCATGAATTGCTGGTGTAATGGATCATTAACTTACTGCTCATAGTCACTGTCTCCTGCTTCTGACTGGAGAGAGCGTCAGAGTTGCAGGCAGGGAAAAGGGCTTGTTATTTATCTCAGAAGATGCTCAGATCAAGGAGGCGTCAGGTGTACAACACAGGAATGAGTGACTTAAGTAGGGCACCAGTCAAGAGAGTCTTTGGGGGGGGGCAGCAGCAGCAGAGGAGATTCCAGGCCAGGGGAAGAAAGCAGCGGGGGGGGCAATGGCTGCAGCAGCGCAAACTGCTCCCCGAGGGCCATGTCCCAGCCTGCAACCTGCTTATTTCCAGAGAACTCAAAGTATGCAACAAGCAGTTCACTATTTTAGTCCCACAGCCTGGCCAACAGCTGCTGCTCCTTGGGTCAGCTGTGGCAATGGTTTATTACGTACAACATCACCAACGGCTATGGAATCAGAAAGATGCCGGCTGACTCAAGGCTTAGGCAGAACACTCCAAATGCACACACACACACCCAACATGGGGCACAACCCACCAGAAAGTTCATGATGTATTGATCATTGACTACGTAAAAAACAGCACCGTACTCTTCCTCAGCCAACTGTACTCTTCCTGCTGGTCTTGCAAAGGAGAACTTCTCAGAGAATTTGCTCAGTCAGTCTGGCCTGCACCTCTCGCTCTGCAACCCCTTGACAGCACCCAAAATCCACCACCTAACTGTGCCTCATCACCTTGGAAATACAGAAGACTGAAGGGCATTCTAAACCCATCAAACAGCAATGCTTTCTTGAACCTATCAGCAGTTCTAAGAGGTTGCACTGTTGTTTTTAATCCCCCTGAACTGGCTCTCTCCTGGCTACTCGTGAGGGCACAGAGCCACAACTGTGTGCTCGGTTTCGCCTGGGCCCAATATAGTAATAATAATAATAATAATAATAATAATAATTTATACCCCGAACATCTGGTTGGGTTTCCCCAACCACTCTGGGCAGCTTCCAACGAAAGATTAAAAATACATTAAAACATCATTAAAAAATTCCCTAAAAAGGGTGGCCTTCATGGCGTCTCTTGCTGGAAAACGGAAGCCCACGACAGTGGGATGCTCACTACTGAAGACAGGATGGCACCTTCTCAGGTTGCATAAAGCAGCCTTCGCCACAGCTGCAGCCAGCCAGGCCATGCCGGCCTGAGGCTGACTGGAGTCGAAAACATCTGGAAGGAACCAGGTTGGCAAAGGCTGGTGCAAAAGTTATATTCTGCTTCAAATCAATGTGTTTCTACAGTTGCAACAACAGGAATGCACTTTCGTTTAGAGATTACCTCAATTACAAAGGGAATTTTTTAATTTAAATCCATGATTTAGTGTTGTCATTTTTTCACCTGGTGATTTAAACCATAGAAATTAGCAGGCCCAACCTGCCCAGCAGTGCTGCTGAGGGATGCTTCACGGGGGGGGGGGGGGGTTGTGAGCTGCTGGTGGGGGCTGGTGCTTGTTTGTACTGGGCAGCTGCAGCTTGGATCCCATCCTTGCATTTTCTGGGGTTGGAACTCTGCCTGCAATATTCACAGCTGGTGGCTGGTCTTATGCCCGGTCTCTCTCTCCCTCTGCCACTAGCCCAAGAGAGGCAAATGTCCACACAGTTGCAATGCCCACTTAACAGGCTCCAATTTTTACTCAGTGAGATCAGAAAAGAAGATTTCCAAGTGAAATGGAGCAGAAGTAGGGAGCCTTTCTTTGGGGAACAGCAGACACTCCTGAATGACTGTCAAGTGGATGTCACCAATGTTGCTCGCACTGATCCTGCCCGGGACAGAAAGGAAAGACTGTGCTGTCTCAAAACCACCGCTTGGGACTTCTGCACTGCAAACCATCCTCCGTGGGAAAGAGCCACAGAGTGTTGCATCTGTGAACATTATCAGCGGCCCAAGACACCCCTAGAGGAGCAGCCTCCGTCCCTGCTTGCCTTTGCTCCGGCGGCTGTGCCCCGTTCACACGGAAGCACTTACCTGGGGGGAGCCAAATGGGCCACACCTGCAAGGCCCAGGAGGCGATGATGCCCCTGCCTAGCCTGCCAGGGATTCTGCTCAAAAGAATCCCAGCAGCCCCAGGTTCCTCCTCCTCCTCCTCCTCTCTCTCGCTTCTCCTGAACTCACAAAGGCACCTCCAGAAGCAGGTCTAAATAAGGCACCTAAATCCCAGCAAAGTTTAGACAGTCACCAAATCTCATTTTAAGATGGGATTAGAGCCCCAAAAGGCCCTGGCGAGGGGAACACAGGTCAAGTGAGTGGCAGTCCTGCTAGGACACAGCCATCGCCAGCCCCCTCCCTCAACCGACCCAACATGCAAGCTGAACTCTGGCTCCACAGGCGACCTAGGAGGGCACAGAAGCCAGATGAAGGCAAGCTGTGCCAGGGCACATAGAGGCAACTGGGAGAGAGCAGGGATAGAGAAAGGACTGACTGACGATCCAGTATACCTGAAAGAGCGTCTCCACCTCCATCGTTCTGCCCGGACGCTGAGGTCCAGCTCCGAGGGCCTTCTGGCGGTTCCCTCACTGCAAGACGCCAAGTTGCAGGAAACCAGGCAGAGGGCCTTCTTGGTGGTGGCGTCCGCCCTGTGGAACACCCTCCCACCAGATGTCAAAGAGAACAACAACTACCAGACTTTTAGAAGACATCTGAAGGCAGCCCTGTTTAGGGAAGCTTTTAATGTTTAATGGGTTATTGTGCTTTAGTGTTCTGTTGGAAGCCGCCCAGAGTGGCTGGGGAAGCCCAGCCAGATGGATGGGGGATAAATAATAAATTATTATTATTGTTATTGTTGTTGTTATGACTCTGTGGGCAACTGCTGGGAACTTTTTGCCATCTTACTAGATGGATTATGAGAGACGGGCAGCTTGGCCTGTCAAGCATGCTGAGGCCCAAAATGCTCCTAGATTCCTTGTGTGGCTTTCAAGAGCCGAGCACGACTGCTTTCCCGCCGGAAGATTCTGCTTAGCCACGATGCCAGCTTTGGGAGCGCTGGCTCTGGGAGACGGCCTGATCTCCCTGTTGAGTCCCAACCTGCGTAGCAGCATTGCACCCGCCTGCCGCCAGCTCAGCAGAGGGGGAGCTCACAAAGGCCCAGCGGCTCCCTCTGGGTGCCCCTCAGCCCGGACCTCCCAGCTGGAAAGTTCCAGGCTTTTCTTTCCGGCCAGTCATCCCATTGTGTGCCTAGTCCTGCTTATTCGAGTCCCAAGGCAGAAGCATTCAGAGGGGGGCTTTAGGGAGCCATCTGCATGCAAAGAGCAAATGTGTTCTAACAGGGGAAACCAAGCAGAAGTAGGCAGCGCGCCAGGCGCCCAGGACGGACTCAGCTCCAGCACTGGGCAGGAACAGAAGGAAGGGGAACTGGGGCACAATGGCTCTGGGTCTCAGAGAGGGGCCTCACTGCCACCGCCACAAGTTTTTCTCAGCGGCCTCCTGGCTTGCGGGGTCCAGAGAGACTGCTTCCAGTTCCAGCCTCTTTCTGACTGCCTTCCATGGACCAGCAGAAGAGGCTGCCATTGTGCCCAGGGAGGAGACCTCTGCGGATGCCCAGAAACCTGCTCTGAAGCAGCCAACTGACCGCTTGCTTAGCGCTATGATAATACTACCTCTGTGCATAAGGAAGAAGACAGAGCCCCAACCACCGCACCTTCTGTGCCGTATTTGAAACTGCTCTTAGTTTAAGAGTGGAACCCAGCAACGGGACTCGCCCTTCTCTTCTTCCCAGGCAGACCCCCCCCAAACCCCTCCCCACACCCACTCTAGAAGTTCCCCAACTCTCCAGAGCAGATTGGGGTGGGCAGGCAGGGTGGCAGGAGGGAGGAGATGAAAGGAAACCGGCTTCCGCTGGCGTCCAGACATGGATGGATCAAGTCCTGGACCTGAAGCTAACAGCTCACTCTCCACACCTTTCCGCTGGGCAAGGGGGCACAGCTCCTTGCTCCTCCTCAAGGCTACCAAACACAGACATATGCAAACCAAGAAAAAAACAGGCACATCGCCAGGGTGGATTTGATTTAAATCAAATTGCTTTAAATCACAATTTAAATCACTAGTCAGTAAGATTTGATTTAAATCATTTTTTTACAGAAAGACTAATTCTTGCTGGTATAATCTTAATATTTACAACCAGATGAAAGTTTCATTTTTGGAATAATAAATTTTCAGAGCAGTTTTTACAGTTATGTCAAAAATTACTGATTTGGTTATACTATTAGAAATACATAGATAATTATGCAATTATTGTGAGGTTTAATAAGTTACCTGTTTATATTTGGACAACTTTTCTGCAGTACTTTAGTGGTAGGAGAAAAACAATTGTTTCCTTAATAACAATTTAAACAATCTATTTACTAAAATAATAACATTATAGCATATGTTTGTTAACTGATGTGGTTAAACAATTTAATTTCATCCACCCTGCACATTGCTGCACCCATACAAGGCAATGCACACTGTCCTGACCTCCTCAAGGGTCCCTGGAGGTGCTGGGCCTCACTTGGACACAGCTCTCCTACTAGCTGGAGGCTGAAACCCCTGAGCTTCCTTCCAGAGACCCACAACCTGCTCATGTGAGGGGCTCCAAGAACACCACAAGCTGCGCTTTGACCAGGTCAAACCGTTGGTCCACCTAGATTACAGGGGCCAGCAAACTTTTTCAGCAGGGGGCCAGTCCACTGTCCCTCAGACCTTGTGGGGGGCCAGACTATATTTTGAAAAAAAAATATATGAATGAATTCCTATGCCCCACAAATAACCCAGAGATGCATTTTAAATAAAAGGACACATTCTACTCATGTAAAAACACCAGGCAGGCCCCACAAATAACGCAGAGATGCATTTTAAATAAAAGGATGCATTCTACTCATGTATCATAGAATCATAGAGTTGGAAGAGACCACAAGGGCCATGGAGTCCAACCCCCTGCCAAGCAGGAAACACCATCAGAGCACTCCTGACATATGGTTGTCAAGCCTCTGCTTAAAGACCTCCAAAGAAGGAGACTCCACCACATGCTGTAAAAACATGCTGACTCCCAGACCGTCCGCGGGCCGGATTTAGAAGGCGATTGGGCCAGATCTGGCCCCAAGGCCTTAGTTTGCCTACCCATGATCTAGAACAGGCCTGCCCATGCTGACTGGCAGGGTCTCTCCAAGGAACATTCCCAATCCTGCCTAGAGACACCAAGAATTGAACTGGGCATTTCTGCATACAAAGCAGATGTTCTCCCACTGCTCAGCAAGCTGGCCTTTGCTGGGGAGGTCACAAGCTCCTCTGAGCAGCTCTTGTGCATCAAGCCAGAGAATTCCTAGCCTTCCGTCCTGAAGATTCACTGTGGATTAAATGCAAATGCACTAACAGAAACACAGTCAGGTTGCTTTAAGTAGCGTCCCCCCCCCATCTCAGTTGGTGAAAGTGGGGCCAGATAAACAGAATTCAGCCAGCTCCCAGAAGGTGTTCAGGGTCTGCAGGAGCCAGGGATGCGCCAGCTGCAGCGCCAGCCATTACTCCCTGCACTGCTAGGATGTGCGGACTCCCACGGGTGAGAAGAGGAAATTTATTTATTTGGATGATTCTTTAAATCTGCCTCCTACCTTTCTGCCAAATGGTGCTTTCAGTAGGAGTGCAATGGGACAGAAAGGGTGTGGTGGTCTTTGGAGGGTGCTGGGATCCCGATGTGCCAGGCAGTGCCAGCTCTTGGAAACCATTCTCCCGAAACTGGAGAAGGCCGTGCAGATGCTGGCCTTCCCAGAAGCTGTGATGTGCAGAGGATGCAGCCAGAGAAAGTGGGCCTCTCTGGCTCAGCTCTAGCTGTAGACACAGGCGTTCACTCCAAACACAGGCAAGGAGGCACTAGACTCCAAGCCAACCAAGAAAAATATTTCACATCCCTTGGCAGAGCATCACATTTCTAAGCCCCGGGGATTTCCCCCAGAGCTTCACTCTGATACTGCAAAGGCAAACGAAGGAACAGAAACCAGATCGCAGGTTTAGCCCGACCCAGAACAGCAAACCAGGCAGGGAAGCACAAGCGCAAAACAAGCCCCGCTCCTGAGAGCTCAGATGTGGGGTCCCTGCATGTATGAAAAACTGGAACAGTCTGGAACAAAAGTCCTATCTGATGTCAACACAGGCTGGAGAATTATGGAGAAAATACTCTCTATTCGCTTTCTCCATGCCATGCATAATCTGACAGATCTCTATTATGTCCCGCCCCCCCCCAACTAAAAATTCCCGAGCACTGCAACCTCTCCTCACAGGCGATTTGATCCAGCCCCTTGAACAGTTTGATAGCCCTTTCCTGCACCTGTATCAGCTCTACAATATCTTTTTGAAGTGTTGCAGCCAGAACAAGGGACAGCATTTCAAGAGTGGTCGCAGAGTTGGAAGGGATCCTGAGGATCATCTAGCCCCACCCCCCTGCAACTGTCCCTTGTATAAAGAAAGGTTCCGACTCAATCTGGAGGCAACTGGGAACAGTGTTCGAAGCTCCCATTGTTCTAGGCGCATTTTGCAACAGGGAATTTCATTAGCACGAGCAGTTTCTGAGCTCTGGGCACAGTACTACGCCTAAGATTTCAGATTAAAACTGCAGAGTGGGGGGAAAGGAGGACCTTTTTCTGCCTCCCCACTTCCAGCTACTCTCTGAAGATTTAAGAATATTAGTGGAGTGGGCAGGGGAAGGACTAGACCATGTGAAAAATGAACCTAAGATTTTAGCTGCAGTTCATTCATTTTCAGCTTTGTACTCTTGTTATAGAAAAAGCATGCCTAGGCAGTCCGCTGTTGTGCCCCTAACCTAGGCTTAAGGTGCCCTTTAGCTCCTAGCTTCCATGTCTCAGTTTCTAACACTGACTGTGAACTCTGCAGTGCTGCTCACTCCAGAGCCTGGCCTCTCTTCTGCTATGAGCCAGACCTCTGGCTCTTGGTGAGAGAAGTCCCCAAACTCTGCAGAAACACCATCCTGCGCCATCCCCTCCTTGCCAACAGCATCCCATCTGGAGCATTAACATGAATGCCTCTCTCCACCAGCCTTCATGCGATACCCTTCAGAGGAAGCATATGGCCAGGGAGCACTTTGTTATGCCTATGTAGTAAAGCCCGCTGTCACGAGATTGTGCCAAGTTCACGTGGCGATGGCAGGGCATGGCACACCCAGACAAGACCAAGGGAGAGGAGGAGGAGGAGCTGAGAAAGCCCCAACAACAAAGCCCCGCAGCAGCGCCTCAGGGATTTCGGAAGGACGTGTGCTGGGGTGGCTTGCCCTAACCAAAGACTTCACTAACAGCAGAGCAACCAGGAAGGCAGACAACCATGTCTGCTTCCCGACTCCAGAGAACTCTTTCGTTAATGTTTTGGAGCTGCTGAAAGCCCCCCCCCCCACCGACTGCTGGGAATTCATGAAAGTAAAAACACCACTCGCACCCACACGTCAGAAAGATTGCAGCAGGGGGAGGGAGGGCAGTCAAACCCAGATTCCCTTCCCATACTCTGACGAAATGCCCACCCTGATCCATCAGACAGGGCTGTGGGGAAGGGGCACACAAAGACCAAATAGGAGGCTATATAAATAACTATCGCTGGAGTAACCATGGAGAGCAGGAATTCCACCCAAGCCACGCAGCTGTCTTTGGGGCCTCTGAGCCAGACCGCAGAGCTCCAAGGTAAGCAACAACTGGGGGCATTTCTCGGCTTGCGTGCAGCCTCCCTTCAAGGAGCGCAAGCGACACCCATCCTCCCAACACCCACAGACTTTGGCATCTGCATTTCTCTGCCACCCAAAGCCCCACGTGGAAGCACTGCTGAAGATCAGCACCAGAGACGTGGACTGTAGCGATGGTGCCTGCCACAAACAGAGGAAAAGCAAACAAGAAGAGTGGTGGGCAGGCCCAGTGTGCAAGCAAGTGGCAAGCCCTTTTCAAATAAAGCAGAATTAAACAAGGCCGCTGCTGCAGCAGGCGGGCGTCTCCACTACAAGGCAAAACAATCCCTGCTCTTGCCAAAGCGCCATTAGAAGCAACACTCGCCACCTTTTCACTTTCTATAATCCCGGCAATTAGCAAGGGACCCCACCTGGGCGATAACTCAGAAATATGCGCAGGCAAGGCCAGCAGACTTTCAGGAGCAGAAGTCAGCTGTGGCAGTTGTGTATCGGAGGGCCCTGAGCAGGAAGACTCCCTTTACATGAGTGGAGGTGGGGGTCGGCTTTCCATCAGCACCAGGACAGGTATTTCTGAGCCTGCACCTCTTACTCCAGACCCTTTGCAGCTGCCTGCCCCAAATTAAGTTTCACGCACACAGACCCACCACAGCCCCACCTGACAAGGCTCCAGAAAATCCTCGGATCACCGTGGCTGACGTGGCTCCCAGGCAAGAGAAACCAGGAGGTCTTCCCTGCAATCCCCAGATATACCCATTTAGCAGCACTTTTGTGGGGGGGGGGGGAGGGTGGCAAGAATGGTGACAACTAGTTGGGGCCAGTTTCAGATTTCAAGGGGTTGTTGCAGGGCCCTTTGCAGCTGTGGCTTGGCAGGCCAGGATGTGCTGACACAGCTCCAGCAAAATCAACAGAGGGCCTGACCCACTTATCCAAGCAACACCTCTGCCCCAGGCCTGGGCACAGTGAGCAGCAGTGACACAGCATGCCAACGGCAGAGGCGGCAGCACCACCCCCAGCCGGGCAGCTCACACACCACCAGCTCCCCTCTCAGCTCACTCACTCAACCAGAGCCTTCTAACTCCCAGCCCATAATAAATCAGTAGGCCCTGGGGGGGGGGGTCTCTGCCCATCCCCTTCAGATATGCTGAGTTATTTCAAATATTTAAAAGCATTTTTGAACGAAGAGAGGGATATGAGGACCAGAGGCAAGGATCTGCAGAAGCAGCTGTCTGGGAAGCTTATGGAATTTCTTTCCTTGGAAATTTTCAAGGCATCCACCAGCAGCTGTTTGTCAGATCTGCAAAAATCCCAGGCTGCCCAGAAATCTGAAGTTTAGCTTCAGAAATCTGTGCAAGGAGGGAGACCACAAATCTCACACTCCCCCACAGTGAGGAGGCTGGAGTCAGGAGCAGCCGCCACGGTTTCCCAGGCTGCCCCCTGGGTTCCCGTCTCCTCCCTCCAGCTCCTCCTGCATTCCCTTGGAATCTTATCCCTCGGCCAATCCTCTCCAGAAGCCCCTGCTCTGCTGAGTCTCTCCTTTCTCTCAAGATGTTGGCAAGGTCAGTGTGAATGCAGAACATGCTTTTTTTTGCATCTGTAGCAACAACCCCCCCCCCGTCCTGCACACTTCATCTCAATGTCCTTGTTACCTGCTATCAGGCTACACTGGGCTAAGTCAAGAGGAAGGGGCACAACACTCGACCCATTGGAAGAGCAGCCGGTCATCCCTGCACAATCCCAGCCACCCTGAATGATGCGCCTGCTGAGTGAACCTGCATCAGCAGAGAGGCAGTCAGACTCCTTGAGAGAAACGCCGTCTCAGGCACAAACAGCAGATATTCTGTCTGACAGGTTCATAAATACGAGCACCATCCAGGCACAAAAGCGATCAAGGTGAAGTTTGAGGCTGGCTGGGCAGAGAGCACAGGAACAGTTTCCTCCAAGACCTAGGTGAGCAGATGAGGCTCACTTTCTCTCATGGGGACACAAGAAGAGGCAGCTGGAAGAGGCCAATGGGGCCGTCCAGGCCAGCAGCCTCTTCTCACAGCAGCAAACCACTTCGGCCCAATGGAGGCAGCTGCTTGCACCAAGTCAAGGGACAGCCGGAAAGCTAAGGAAGCTCTCACATCACTCCAAACGCAGCTTTTCAGCAACTGCCTGTTCACACATTCAGTTGGGGCAGTCCACACTTCTCAGACACGGACAACTGCATGGCATTTTGACACTCCAGCCCTAAAACAATGCCGTTCAAATGGCAGCTGCAAGGTGGCTGAAAACCCCACAGAGCCTCCCTCTTTTCTGACACCAGAGCACCACAGAAACAGCTTCAGGGGCGCCCTCCCCAGTTTGGTGCCTTCCACACTTTGCTGACTCCAGCTCCCTTCTTCTCTGGCCACGGGCCACACCGCCTGGGTTTAGACAGGGGTTGCTGGACAAAGTATCTGGAGGGCCCCAGGGCTGGGTGGGGCATGCACAGACTCCACCGGGTGCTCCGTGTGGAAGGAAGCACCTGGATCATGGCACAAGAGGAGCAGACGCCAGGAAGAAGGGCAAGGATGAGCCGCCGAGGCTCGAGAAGAGAACGCCAACAGCACAACTGCTGACAGCCAAGGCAGCCAGACGGGAGGGGAGAGCAATGGGGGCAGGAGGGGAGGCAGCATCTGCTGGCCGACCCAAAGGGCTTTGATGGCCGAGCGCAGCCACACCTTGCCTTGCCCTCTGCCGCAGGGGCAGAGCATTCAAAGGAGGCCTGCTGGGCCCCAAGGCAGGGCTCATTCGTAAGCAGCAGCAGCAGTCTGGTCCGAGGAGTCTCACCAGCTGAAAAAAGAACGCAGCAACACTGCCAGGCTGCCCAGCGCCCTGCCGGCCACCGCAAAGGGGCAAGCGGAAGGCAATGCCCACAAGCAGCTCAGAGCAAAAATGGTCCTCCAGCCACACCCTCTCCAGCTATGCCAGGGATACCCACAGAGTGTGCGGAGGCCTCTCTGCTGGCATCCCATCAGTCAACGGAGCAGCAGTGATGGGCAAGGATGTTTTGCAGAGAGAAAACCAACGGCGAACCGCCCTGACCGTGGGGTCCAGGATCTGCCCACTTACTTAAGGACAGGCTGAATATTCTGGTATGCCCCAGTCCCGGAATGAAAGCGTCCCATAAAAAGATTGCAGCTCCTCTTTTTTGCACTTTGCCAACTCTTAAGAGTGCTTTGCCAAGTGCCCACCATCACTTTTTGCCCTAAGAGAGCGCAGGATGGGGGCAGTGGGTGCGTGTGGAGCTGGCTTGTGTTAGAGGCTGAGAGCTGGAGGGGGAGTCTGGACCGGAGAGAGCAGAACCTGTTTTCGGGTCGGATCCTGCTTGCTGGTTTCCCTGCCGGGCACTCCTGGGCCGCCGCCAGACCTCGATGCTGGACGGGAGGCCTCCTGGGCCGGGTCCTTCTCCCCGCAGGAACACCTCCCCGCGTGGAGGGCAGGGGGGTCTGCCTGGAGCCCGGCAGCCCCATCGGGGGCCCTTCCTCCCTCCCTGCGGGGAGACTCCGGCGGAGGAGGAGGAGGAGGAAAAGGGGGCGCCTTCTCCCTCCCCCGCCCCCCCCGTCCAGGCAGGAGCCATTTTGCGGCAGCGGCGGCACGCGCGCTCACACGTGTCCCCGGGCGAGAGACCCGGAGGGAAGGACGCCGCCGAGAGACGCGCCCCCAGGAGGCCCACGGGGGGAGGGCGAGGATACGGGGGGGTCCCATCCCTGCCCCCCCCGACGGGACCCCCACCTGCTCCCGGGATGGGGCGACGAGGGCGGCCAAGAACCCCCCGCCCCCCAAGAGAAAGGGAAAGAGGGGGGTCCCTAAGCGGCGGCGGGGGGGTCGCCCCCAGAGGCCCCCCCGTCGGACTGTTGAGTCACGGCGTCCGGCGGCGCGCAGACCGGGCCCCTCCCCGGACCCCCCTCTCCCCCCGGGGTGAGGGGACCCCTTTCTCGCGCCCCCCGTTTTGCGAGGGGAGGGGGGTCCCCTCCGCCCTGGTCCTTCCCCCCCCCACTCACGGCGGTGCCGGCGCGGCAAGGGCGGCTGGCTGGCTCCGTCCTCCTCCGCCGCCTCCTCCTCCTCCTCCTCACGGACCGGGCCGGCTCTGCGGGGGGCCGGGAGGAGTGTCCTCTCGCGCATGCGCCGCCCCCGAGCAGGGCCGGACGACGGCGCTCGCGACCCTGGCTCCGCCCTCCGCGCTGCCATGGCAACCGAAGACGGGGGGCGGGGCGAGAGAGAGAGAGAGGCTTCTCCCGCCTCGCAGGCCCCGCCCACGCGCCCCTCTGCGCACGCGCCGGAGCATCCCGGGGTCTCCAGGGCGAAAGCGGCTGAGCGAGGCCCCGCCCGCGGAGGAAGAGGCTCCCCGAGCATGTGCAGAGCCAGTCTTCGGCAAGGAGGAGGGGACAGGATCGGGCCCCAGGGGACCGCCTGGCTCGGCGGGGCTCCTCCGACAGGGGCCCGGAAGGGGAAAGCGGAGCCAGCCTCTGACTTCCTCACGCAGTGCACAGTTAAACTGTGGAACTCCCGCCCACAGGATCCTGGGCGCTGGTGTCCAAAAGGCAGTTCTTCTCTCGGTTGCCTCGCACCAGAGGCTGCTTACACGTCCGCAGTAGCCTTGCATTCCCCCACAAGCCCTTAGGAGGAGGGGGGCTGGGTGTCTCCTGCCCAGGGGGGGGGTCCCCACTAGGAGGCACATATAAGCCAGCCTCTGGCATTGGCCCACTTTGGCAGCCTTCTGCTTCTTCTTTGGCGATCCCTCGTAGCCGAGGAAGATGGTCTTCCATGAACACGGTCTTGAGTCCATAAGGGACTGTGAAGGCCAATTCTGGATCCACACGTCCTTCCAGAGTGGGAACATAGGTTTCCAGGCGGGAGTTCATCCCAGTGAGGGTTAGCCAAGCAAGCTTCTTTTTATTATTATTATTATTATTATTATTATTATTATTATTATTTATATACCACCCTATACCCAGAGGTTATAGCACGTTTCTCCCTTCCATCCTGAGTTCGAGTGTCTTCAAAGGCCACAACACCTTTGGTAAAGGCTGTTCTCCAACTGGAGCGCTCGCAGGCCAGTGTTTCCCAGTTGTCTAGGTTTATACTACATTTTTTTAGATTGGGCTTGAGAGAGTTTAAACCTCTTTTGTTGGCCACCAGCATTACGCTTTCCATTTTTAAGTTTGGAGTAAGTAGTTGCTTTGGAAGACGAGAATCAGGCATCTGCACAACATGACCAGTCCAACGAAATTGATGTTGAAGAATCATTGTTTCGACATGCGTGATCTTTGCATCTTCCAGTACACTGGCATTAGTTTGCCAAGTGATGTGTACATTTTTTCTGAGACACCATTGATGGAATCTTTTGAAGATTTGGAGATGGCGTTTATAAGTGGTCCATGTTTCACAAGCATACAGTAAGGTTGGTAGTACAATAGCTTTGTAAACAAGCATTTTGGTTTCCCTGCGAATGTCCTGGTCCTCAAACACTCTGCACTTCAATCGGGAGAAAGCCGCACTTGCAGAGCTCAGGCGATGCTGGATTTCGGCATCAGTGTCAGCCCTTGTGGAAAGATAACTGTCCAGGTAGGAGAAATGATTGACACTTTCCAACATTACACCATTGAGTTGGATTTGTGGCACTGCAAAGGGGTTGTTGAGCGATAGGCCAAGCTTTTCGTAAGCTTCTGCAAAGATATTTAGGAGGGTTTGGAGGTCATTCTCTGAGTCTTCACACACTATGTTGTCATCAGCATCTATGACGGAAGTTATGGTAAGCTTACTCTTTACTTTCAGTCCACTCAGATTAAAGAGCTTTCCATCTGTTCAGTATATGATTTCTACTCTTGTGGGGAGTTTCCCTTTGACAAAGTGTAGGATCATGGCAATGAAAATAATGAATAGAGTTGGGGCAATAACACAACCCTGTTTAACCCCTGATCCCACTGTGAATGGTTCACTTTGAAAGCCATTGTTGCTGTCATATTATCATAGAGGAGCCAAAAGATGTTCGCAAATTTATCTGGGCAGCCAATTTTCAGAAGGACAGTCCACAGGGCATTATGATTTACAATGTTGAAGGCCTTAGGTCAATAAATGCCATATACAGGGATTGGTTTTGCTCTCTGCATTTTTCTTGAAGTTGTCAAGTGATGAAAATCATGTCCAACAACCTCCTAGAAGGTCTAAAACCATTTTGGGGACCCTCAGATATGGTTAGGAGACTATTTGCTAAGATCCTTGCAAGAATTTTGCCAGCTGCAGCTAATAGAGACATGCTTTGATAGTTTCTGCAATCAGTTCTGTCACCTTTCTGAAAGAGATTGATAATTTTGGCATCCCTAAAGTCTGCTGGGATCTCTTCTCTCTCCCAGGTTTTTCCGATGAGCTTGTGAAGTTGTTGTGTAAGTTCAATTCTGCCCACTTTGAAGACTTCAGCAGGTATCCCATCAGGTCCGCTGGCTTTGTTGTTTTTCATTTGGTTAATAGCTGTATACAACTCTCCCAGATTTGGAGATATTGCAAGCTCATCTTTATCTTGGTTTTACAGAATTTGTGAGAGAACCTCAGCAGCTACGGGGGAGTTGCGGTTTAGGAGATGTTGATCATGTTCTTTCCAGCGCAGTGCAATCGCTTCTTTATCTTTTAGAAGTGTGATACCGTCTGCTGAGCGTAGGGGGCATATGACATGATTTATTGGCCCATAGATGGTCTTTGTGGCTTTAAAGAAACTCTGTTCATCGTGAGTGTTGGCTAAGGATCTCTTGAGTTTTTTACCCACCAGGTGTGGGTTAGTCTGACATGACTTATTTTTCAGAAATCCATGCTGACTATTGGTGATCACAGCATTCCTTTCTAGATGCTCACAGACTGTTTGCTTAATGATCTGCTCCAGAATCTTCCCTGGTATTGATGTCAGACTGACTGGGCGGTAATTATTTGGGTCCTCTCTTTTCCCTTTTTGAAAATAGGGACAACATTTGCCCTCCCCCAGTCTGCCGGGACTTCGCCTGTTCTCCAGGAATTCAGTCTAAGAGCTGCCAGTGGTTCTAGCGATCACATCTGCCAGTTCTTTTAATACTCTTGGATGCAGTTCATCTGGCCCTGGAGACTTGAATACATCTAAACTAGCCAAGTATTCTTGTACTATCTCCTTAGTTATTCTGGGCTGTGTTTCCTTTGCTGAATCATTTGCTCCAAATTCTTCAGGTCGGGCATTGTTTTCTTTATCGGAGAAGACTGAGGCAAAGAAGGCATTGAGGAGTTCAGCTCTTTCTGTGTCCCCTGTTTGCATTTCACCATCTTCTCCTCTTAGTGACCCCACTGTTTCTTTGTTCTTCCTTTTGCTACGGACATACCCATAAAAGCCTTTTTTGTTGCTTTTAACCTCTCTAGCAAGCCTGAGTTCATTCTGTGCTTTAGCTTTTCTGACTTTGTGTCTACACGTGCTGGCTATTTGTTTGAATTCCTCTTTGGTGGTTTCCCCCCTTTTCCATTTTTTGTACACATCCTTTTTTAATCTTAACTCAGTTAAAAGTTCTTTAGATAGCCACCCTGGCTTCTTTAGGCACCTTCCATGTTTCCATCTCATTGGTATTGCCTGAAGTTGTGCTTTTACTATCTCCTTCTTAACAAACTCCCAGCCATCATGAACTCCCTTTCCTTTTAGTATTACTGTCCATGGGATCTCACCCAGCACTTCCCTAGGTTTTATGAAGTCAGCTTTCTTAAAGTCAAGAAATTGAGTCCTAGTATGCTTGGCTGCTCCTTTCCGCTGTATAGTAAACTTCAGAAGAGCATGATCACTCGCGCCTAATGATCCTTCTCACTGGAGGCTGCCAACATCAACCAGGCCTTCATCACCACTTGGCTTAGACCAGACTCTAAAATGGCTGTTCCTCTTTGTTCCATGACATTTTTTGCTGTTCCTGATACAGGCAAATTCTGCGCTCACCTGCCCTTTTCCAGGAGAGGATCCGAGTCTCCAACCACAGAAGCTGACTCCCCTTCACAGGGATCTGTTTGGATCCCCTTGTGCTGGATTCAAGTCAGTGCTGCCTCCCTCTGGGCAGAACTGGGGCTCAGAGCAAGGCGCCTGAAGCAGCCATGCCCGACCCCTTGGTAGTCCAGCAGATATCCCACCAGGGAAGTCACCCAGCCCAATCCTGCTCCTTTGACCTGCCGCTGTCCCCCCCCCCGGCACTGCTGGGGCAAGAGGTGGCAAGGGGGGGTCAAATGCAGAGGCGGGGGTGGGTGTGCTGCCTTCCCCTCCAGCTCTCATTGCCAAGCAAGTCTGCAAAGTGGACACTGGAAACCCCTGATAAACCGCCCCCCCAAAAAAAGCTAGTAGAAAGCTTCTGCAAAGCAGAACAACATACAGTGGAATGCTAGTAGTAAGTAAGTAAGTAATAATAATAATAATCCCCCACCCATTTCACTGGGTTGCTGCAGCCACTCTTTCCCCGTGAAAATGACCCACCAGCATTAACCGGAGGGAGGGGGGACATTTGGAGAGGAGAAGTGGTGGTGGTGGGAGTGGAGGGGGCTACTCAAACCCCTCCTCAAGCCTTTGGGACAGCTCAGCTGGTAGAGCAATGTGAGTTTGAGCCCCACGTTGGGCAGGGGGTTGGGCTAGATGACCCTCAGGGCCCCTTCCAACTCTACAATTCTATGATCCGCCCCCCATTCCCTTCTTTAGAGCATCGCCTTCCCTGGAGGTTTGGCCTTGTGAGGGGCTGCTAGGGGGCCCAGGCGCCATGCTGAGGCTCTGGGAGCCAGAGGGGTTGCCAGGAGGCCCAAGGCTGGGCATCATCCCTCCAGGGCCTCCCGCAGAGGGTGAGGGGGGCTGCTTCCTCTCAAGAAGAAGCCCTCCCACCTCTTCCCCAGGAGGTGAGCTCAGGCGCCCCCCTGTTGAATCTCAGCCCCCTCACCAGATGGCTCCCCACTGACCTTGAGGGCAAGTCTCCTTCCACGGCCATCGCAATGTGGCAACCCCAGCTGGGAGCTTGGCTACTTTCTGAAGAGGAGGGAGGACCATGGGGTTGCCAAGCAACCAGGGAACCCCATTGCCCAGCCTGGAGTGTGGCGGTTGCTAGGCAACATGGGGGTAGGGGATGCTTTCCAATCCCAGCCGCTTCCTTGCAGAGTCGGGCCCCTGGGCCTCCTCGATCCATATTGTCCAAATTAGAAAGAATGGACTGACATCAAGATGGATGAAGGGGAGATTAAAGAAGAATGAAGTGGCTACGTCAGGAAGTAATGGACTTATGTTTGCGACAGGAGCGGGAAACCTGATTTTATATATATATATAAAATTGCATTAAATTTAAATAATTTGGGCTGATTTGTAATCATTTGGAAAACCAATAAAAATAATATATATAAAAAGAAAGGAGATTTTTTAGGAAGAACTTTCTGAAGGCAAGAGCTGTTCAACAATGGGACTCCCTCAGAACATGCTGGAAACTCCTTCCTTGGTGGTTTTTTTAAGCAGAGGTTGGATGGCCATCTTTCAGGGATGCTGAGATTCCTGCATTGCAGGGGGTTGGACTAGATGACCCTGCGGGTCCCTTCCAATTCTACTGTCCTGTGATTCTATGGGCCAGAGTGTGGCGCTTGCCCCGGCAGCTGAAGCTTGAGCATGGCAAGCGCAGTTCCGAGGCCATCGGTAGGCCTGGACGGTTGAGGCTTCAGCCAGAAATAGAGAATTAGTGTGCAGCAGCTTAGAGCATGCCCCATATACCAGTTAATAATTGGCATTACGCACTGATGCTTATTATGGAATATTTGCAAACAGTCTGATCTTATTGTCTACCTCCTCTTGGGAAGTAAACAGCAACACCAAAGTAACCCTGCTCTAAACTCCCTTGATTTCTGGCTCCACGTGACCCACTCACGCTTGCTTTGCAACCAAAAGGGCATTGGAATCTGTGCAGACCTCTCTCTCAGGAAGCATTAAGAGGCTGGTTGGAGGTCTGCCCTAGACATATTCGTGCCGTTTTCACCAAAGCAAATAAGCTGAACATAAAAAGGCTTATAGGGGAAAAAATGCTTTGGAGAACAGGTCTGCTTTGTTTGTCCTGAAACAACAGCTGCCTCTATATTGGAGCTTTTCGTGTCGTTTAGGCATTTGTTTTCCCATAATGAGTTGGAAGCAGAATGAGAACCGAAGTTGCGCACAGCACTGTGCAGAGCAGAATAGGACCCAGCCATGTCCTCCCCCCATGGCCAAGATCCTTCTGTAATGTCTACACTCAAGTAAGTCACATTCACCAGAAGTCTTTTTCATTGTTAATTTAAAATGCCACCTCTTGATCCAGGTTGGGGTTAGTATTAATTGCCCCTTGCATTGTTGTTGTTGTTGAGTTGTTTAGTGATGTCCGCCTCTTCGTGACCCCCTGGACCAGAGCATGCCAGGCCCTCTTGTCTTCCACTGCCTCCCGCAGTTTGGTCAAACTCATGCTGGTCTCTTCGAGAACACTGTCCCACCATCTCGTCCTCTGCCGTCCCTTCTCCTTGTGCCCTCCATCTTCCCCAACATCAGGGTCTTTTCCAGGGAGTCTTCTCTTCTCATGAGGTCGCCAAAGTCTTGGGAGCCTCAGCTTCAGGATCTGTCCTTCCAGTGAGCACTCAGGGCTGATTTCCTTAAGGATGGAGAGGTTGGATCTTCTTGCAGTCCATGGGACTCTCCAGAGTCTCCTCCAGCACCAGAATTCAAAAGCATCCATTCTTCGGCGATCAGCCTTCTTTATGGTCCAGCTCTCACTTCCATACATCACTACTGGGAAAACCATGGCTTTAACTATACGGACCTTTGTTGGCAAGGTGCTGTCTCTGCTTTTTAAGATGCTGTCTAGGTTTGTCATCGCTTTTCCCCCAAGAAGCAGGCGTCTTTTAATTTCGTAGCTACTGTCACCATCTGCAGTGATCATGGAGCCCAAGAAAGTAAAATCTCTCACTGCCTCCAATTCTTCCCCTTCTATTTGCCAGGAGGTGATGGGCCCAGTGGCCATGAACTTAGTTTTTTTTATGTTGAGCTTCAGACTATATTTTTGCCCCTTGCATGCCCTCTCTTAATTCCTCTAAGTCTTATTTCTCTTCCAGCGAGATGCCTTTCATTAATGGCTTCTTCTCATCTTCGTAACAAAATAGTGATACTTTGCTATACGGAAAAAAATAATGAAGAAAGCCAGTAATTAAAACCTCCCTTCCTCACCCAAGAACAGAAAGTGTGGGGTCATGGAGGGTTCTGCCTGTCTCACAGGCACTTTAAAATCTTAATGAAACTGCTGAGCGAAGTCATTCAGAGATTGGGAGCGGAGGGAGGACTCCAACCTCCCAGTTCTACTTTTCATCAATGGGGGCGCTGAATTGGTGCCTGGGATCGTTATGGACAGGAGATGGGGAAAATTAAGGAAAGTGGAATCCAGGGAAGAGAGTTTTTGTTGGCAGAAAGGTGGTGCTCAGCACTGTTCTGGATGAGGCTGCATTCGCCCCCCTCCCGTCTTGATGGTGCTGAGCTATCCTACATGGTCACTAGAGAACTGAGGGGCACTCAGCACTTTTCAGAGGCTAGCAGGTATGTCATCCGCAGCAGTTCATGGCCTGGTGACTTCTAAACTGAATGGTCGCAGGGTTGTGAGCATGCCACTATCTTCTGGGAGGGATCCTGGAAACCACAGGCCACGTAGCTTAACGTCCTAACCTGGAAAACTGGTGGGAAGTGTTTATTGTATTGAAATATACTTTTCTTTATTGTTTTACTATTTTTCTTTGCGTTTTTTAAATTTATTTTTTCTTTTTCTTTATATTATTCTTTATGTATGGCTTGTTACTGATGTATTTACTTTGCAATAAAAAGTCTTTAAAAAACAAAAAGCAAAAATTGGGCATCCGAAAGCAAGGGGGGCATTTCCGTAGCAGTTGTGAAGGGGGGGGGTTGCCAGGAAAACTTGAACATTAAAGGGACTAGATAAGCAGGGACCCGGGTGAAAGGCCACCAGCCAACTTAGGAGGGAGGTCCCCAAAAGATGGGCACCACAGAGCCATGTTAGAGAACTGGGGGGGGGGGGGGCCTGGCAGTCTTAGGGGCAGGATCTGATCAGAAAATGGATGCAAACACTTCGAAGCAGACCAGGAAGCATCTCGCAGGTAAGAAGGCTCTGAAGTTTTCTCTGCCTTTGCCAGCCAATGAGGTCTTGGACCCCCTTCAGTTTGTTCTAGCAAATGGGATCAAACTGAGGGGTCCAAGAGTAAAATTGAGAACCAGTGTAAGGAACTATGGGTGATCTGTACTTTGTTTGCAGTACGATGGTTACCTGAAGGATCTTTTAACTCAAGTAGACTGACCACCTTGAAGGGGATCCTTGAAGATCAGACACACAGACAACTAGGGGCTTCTGATTCTGGTCTGCCGTAATGGAGGCAGCTCCCATGACTGCGGGAGATTGTTGGCAAAGAAAAAACAAGGATAATTGAGGGTAATTATCCTTGCAAGTTCCCCCAAGGACAGGGGGGAACTGGCTTCACTTGCAGATCGTATCGGTACCCAGCTCTCGCTCTGGCATGGATTGTGGGGGCAGGGAGGCGCTGAGTGCAAAAGCCCTTCACCTGCTGAAAACCCTCCTTCGCCGCCATTAAGAAGCAAAGGTTCTCCTATTAAGAGTTTAATTTAGACTAATGTACAGGTGTGTGCTAGAAGAGATGAGATCAACTGTGGAATTGAAGCAGCTGCAAGGTTGCTAAGGTTTGAACTTGAAAGATTTCATTCGGTGTAAAAGATGAGGGGGAGCCTACGGCTTCTTGATATAAAGTTTTCTTTTGTACATTTATGATTCAGCAACCCTCCCTTGAAGTGCTTTGTTCAATTTGTGTATGTTCAGAGAAGTGGGATGAAGCTGGATTGCAGCTTTGGAATATAACATCAAATGGAACTATGTGTGTAAAAAAAGAAAAAGGAAAAAGGTAGGAAAGCTCTATTTTGCAAAAGGTTTACGATGGTAATTTAGAGCTGACTCTTCCCTATCCTTTATTATCTACGGACTGAACTGAATAATGCTAAAAGGACTTGGAATTTAATTAAACTGGAAGTGTAACTGCTTATCTTCGGCTGAATGGAGGGATGAAAGGAATCTGTGAGCTTGCCAAGGAGTTGATAAGGTTCATCACTGAGTTATTTGCAGATCATTCTCCTTCCCAGGTTGAGAGGGGAAAATGGCGAAAACAGCTTGGGATTTTTGCAGCTGCTGCTAAAGTTGCAAAACAATGAAGCACGGGACAGAGCAATGGAGAACTTCTGAAACAACAATGGGATATTAGCTCCACCCAGGGAATGATGGAGTACAGCAACAAGCGGGAAAAGATAGACATAATATTTTTCAAGGACAGAAAGAAACATCACAGACAGAATAATTGCCACAGGAAGAACAAGGATATGGTTTGAATGCTTCACCTGTACGTTTATAAATCATTTAATGTGTGTCAGTACGGATGGAAGTTGTTAATACTGCAGTTGTTGTATAAGGGATTGCTATTTTGACTGGAGTGTGATTGAAATTAATAGGATTTTAGAACGCAGAAATCATCCAATCATCCATTCTAGCACGCGGGGGGGGGGGGCACTTAAATTACATGATTTGGCACCTGAAGGATTGGTATTAATAATTGTATTATAATTTGGCATTGTTATAATGAGGCTATTATTGGGTTATTGTAATTGAAAACTAATAAAAATTATTATCAATAGAGATACTGACAACTAGATTATTTAGCAATGTTTGAAGAAGCAAGAGAGCTCTTCAAAGGAAAGCCCCCCATCAAATGCCACTAGTGGATCAACTTGGAACCTTCCAAGGGACCATGGTGGCAGCGGGGGGGGGGGGGGAGTGTGACAGAGCAAAGCAGGCGGGAATCCCAAGCCTCAGCCCCTTTGGGGGGGGCAGGAGGAAATGCACTTCTGTGCCCCCCACGATGCTGCCCTTTGCTGCCAACTGGTGCATCCTGTTTAGCACGGCAGATTTAATTGCCGTATTTTTTGCTGTATAAGACACACTTTTCCCCTCCTAAAAAGTAAGGGGAAATGTGTGTGCGTCTTATGGAGCGAATGCAGGCTGCGCGGCTATGCCAGAAGCCAGAACAGCAAGAGGGAGAGCTGCGCAGCGAAAGCAGTGATCCCTCTTGCTGTTCTGACTTCTGGGAAAGCTGCGCGAAGCCTCTTCAGGGCAACAGGAGGAACGCTTCACTTCACTGGAGAGGCGCTGCGCAGAGGGAAAGCTGCGCAAGCGTGAGGAGAAATGGCACCCCTTCCGTTTCTCCTCCCGCTTTGTTGGAGAGGCGCTGCACAGATGCAGAATATTTTTTTTATTGTTTTCCTCCTCTAAAACTAGGTGCGTCTTATGGTCGGGTGTGTCTTACAGAGCGAAAAATACGGTAACCGGCCAAAGCTGATGCAATCGCTACCTGTGGATTGTTGCTGCCTGATGGACTGTTGGTTTGAGCCACCCTTGAGAGAGCGCTTGTGAAGGCCCCCCCAAATCTCAATGCTGCCCCCCCAAACCCCGGAAGCACAGACGCAGGAGCCTCGTACCATGAGAACACTCTTTAATGAGGAAACAGAAACGCACAGGGCAGCAGGTGCTATCACAGCCATTACAAGACTATCCCAACGGAGGGGCGGGCGGGGGGCCAGTCGCACTCGGGGGGCCGGGACTCCTCCTCCTCCTCCTCTGTGGTCCTGGGGCACAGGGGTCCTCTGTCGTGCCCCCCACCAGCCTCGCACACCTACGGGGACCAACTAGTGGGGGGGGAGAGAAGGTGCACAAGTAACGGTTCACACTTCACACTACTCCAGAGGGAGACCAGGTGGGTGGGTGGGTGGGCAGAGGGGGGGTGGAGGGGGGCTCTGTGGCCCCAACAGTCAGCCAGGGGGGTGGGGGGTTAGCACCATTGTGTTAAAAGAGGAATGTTGGGGTGAGTATGCTGGCAACTCTCAAGACATCCCATACCTCAACGGGTGCCTCTCAGGTCTAACAGGTGCCAACCACCATGGGCTGAGACCCCAACTGGCTTTCCCCCCACAAGCTCTTCACAGTGGGTCGCAGAGGACAGTGCACCGAGCCCCTCTTCCTCTGCGGAGTGGCAAGGAGAGGCCCCAAGGCTTTGGGGAGCAGCCAGCCTCCTCCTCCCGGCTCTCTGGTCCCTTCACCCCACGGCCCATTCTCCCTACCCAAGGATCAGAAAGGGATTCCTGCCTACCAAAAGGTGCAGATACGAAAGCTCCGTATCCTATGCTGGAATGTGGGGAGAGAGGTCCCCTTGCTCTAACCACTGCACTGCACTCTCCAGGGGGAGCCCAGGGGTCCTGGCCCTCCTCTTGCGCCCTTGGCTCGGGGCCCTCCCTGGCAACTCCTGCCTGGTGGGCTGGCGGAAGGATGGGGTGGGTGGGAGTTCTCCCACTTTAGCCCTCCCCCCTCGCAAGAGAAGGCACTGAGTGGGGCCTACAGAGACGGCCAGGGAAAAGGGGGGCAGGCAGCAGAGGACCCCCCCTCAATCCACCTCATGGCATCATCACCCCTCCCCGGGGAAGAGAGCAAAAATGGGGGCCCCACTACTGCTAAGCAATGTTGGGACGAACCTCTCTGCACAGCAAACGCTGCTTGGAAAAGGGGGGGGGGGCTCCACCCTAGAGACCTTTCCAGCCCCCTCCACCTGCCTCCCCCTTTCTATCCTACTGCTAGTCACACAAAGCACCTTTTAATTCAGGATTATTCATTTTTTTTCCACGTGATGCACAAACAAGTCAAAATGTCACTTATCCAAAAAACCCAACGTGCAAAACAGAAAGGAACTGGGGGCCCAGGTGGCCCCCCCTTGGCCCTGCCCCCTCCCTAAGTCGGCCCCCACCGCCCGTGGCACTTGGGGGAGCTGCCCCCCTCTACCTGGAAGAAAGAGACAGAAGCAGCCCAGCATCGCCCCCCCCCGTGCATCAGCCTGCGTTTCCATGCAGCCGTGGAGTGAGGGGGGGTGCCTCTGGCCCGGGACCCCCCCGGCAGCCTCATTCCGGGGAGGGGTCTTGGTGGGGGTCATCAGGTGTGAAGTGCTGGTCTTCGGCGGCAGCAGCTCCGGTAAAAGGTGTGTCTGCCTGGAGCCCGTGGGGCGTGGGGGGGCAGCCGGGCGAGTGGGGGGGGGCGGCGACGGCGTCCTTAGTTGGGGGACAAGTCGGGGGAGCAGCTACCAAATGCCGCTAGACCTGCCTCCGGGGGGAGCGAGAATCCGGGCCGAAGCTCGCTTTGGAACATGGTCATCGATCTGAGAACCTGGAGACAGAGAAGGACGGGGCGGTCAGAAGCACACTGGCACCGGGGGGGGGGCACATCCTGTCCCAACCAGGCCACAAGGACCAGCCGGGGAGGAGAAAAGCTGTGGCGAGGACCCCCGTAAACAGCCCCACCAGCTCTCCCCCAAATTCAGGCGCAACCCCCCTCCCCGATGCCAAAAAACTATTTCCTGCTGCTGCAATTTGGGGCAAGCAAAGGGCGAGAAGGGAGCAGAGGCTATAGAGAGTGGAAGGGGCTTCGGCCCCTCAGTATTTGTGGGGAGGGGCTGAGCACCCCCAATATTGAGGGGTGATTATCCCCTTCTGCCGCCAGGCAAGCACTTGCACACCAGGCAGGGGCGGGGCGGGTCATGTGATGCCAGGTCCCCTCCATGTGGGGGGCAAGTCGGCGCCCCTGGAGGGGAGACAGAAGCAGGACAGGGGGGGATCCACCTAATACAGTATATCTGAAGGAGCATCTCCACCCCCATCGTTCTGCCCAGACACTGAGGTCCAGCGCAGAGGACCTTCTGGCGGTTCCCTCCCTGCGAGAAGCCCAGTTACAGGGAACCAGGCAGAGGGCCTTCTTGGTGGTAGGACCTCTTCCCATCAGATGTCAAGGAAATAATTAACTATCTGACTTTTAGAAGGCATCTGAAGGCAGCCCTGTTTAGGGAAGTTTTTCATGTTTGATGTATTACAATATTTTAATATTTTGTTGGAAGCCAGCCAGAGTGGCTGGGGAAGCCCAGCCAGATGGGTTGTGTATAAATTATTATTATTATTATTATTATTATTATTATTATTATTATTACATCAGGGCTTGCAATCCCCCTTCCCTGCCCCCCCCCACTGCTGAGCAATTCAAGGAAGAGGAAGAGACCCCCTTAGTGGCTATAATCCCGATTTGCAGAGCCTGCCAGGGGTTGAGCTTGAGGAGGAGTTGCTTCCACCCTTTTTTTGGGGGGGGGGGACACTGAGGTTCTGGCCGAAAGGGATCTGCCAGGTCGAATCCAGCGGCAAAAGCACCTCCCAGAATTCCCAAGCAGGACTTTGGAGGCCAGGCTGAAGCCTCTCACTTTTGACACCTGGCATTAAGTTTGAGTGCCAGACATGGCACATCTTGCTCTGCCAGCCTTGAGTAAGAGGCATCCCCCCCCCCCCCGCAATTTGAAGGGACAAACAGGCTGAAAGAGTCAGGCTGGCAGCCTCCCCCCACTTTGCTCTAGGAAGCAGATTCCCCATTGCCAACTACGGCTTCTGCGCGCAACAGAGCCCTCTTCGCAGAGGTCAGTACAAAGAGTATCTCTCCCCCCGCCAAAAAGGAAAAAAATCACATCACTGGTGCAGCCTGCCCTCTCGCCTACTCATCACCCCATGAAAGCCCCCCCTAAAATGACTGACCATGCAACCTCCAGCAGAAGAGATGCCACCTGAACCACCTCACACGGTCTGCGGACCCCAGAGCTCAGAGCCCCCAGGCACTCTAAGGTCCAAACCAGATGCAAATAATGGGATTGGAGAGGGGGAGAGAAGTTTAACTCTCTCTCACGTCCTGCTCTGGTACCAAGAAAAACCTCGTTTTTGGAAGCTGCTATTTGCATTTCAACTCCCTTGAAATGCAAATAGCAACTTTGGAGTGGTGTTTTCTTCTCAGGACTGTGGCAGAGAATGCAAAAGAAAGAGGATGTTTTTCCCTGCCAGATATGAGATTATACTATGAGGCATCTTGTCTCTGTTGGCTGAAGGAATGGATGACATTAAAGAATTCACATATTCTAGATCTAGAAGGTCATGATAATATTTAGCTTATTTATGGTATGAAAAGGTGAAAGTTCATAAAGGATTTACAAATCATATAATTAGGGGGGAAATTATAGAGTATGGCATAGATATAAGAATTTATTAGAGGTAAAAATACCACTTTGACTCTCACCGTTGGAAGCCATAGTGGTAAAGAAAAAGAATATGATGGAAAGATAGACAGCTTATAGAAATTTATTAAGTACAAACTAAAAGAATTTAAGGAATTATCAGGAAAATAATAACATGGATACAATATCATTATTTGCATGAAGTATTTAAGAAAGATAGGATACGAGGGTTTGGGGAACAAATATCACAGCTGGGGAGAGACCTGTTGGAATGTAATGTAAAAGTGCTGTTTAAAATGTATAAAATATTATTGGAATGGGAGACAAAGGATGATCAAGTAAAATCCTCAATGATATACTGGGCAATAGAAACTGGTCATAATATAGACATGGAAGCATGGGGACAATTGTGGAATATGGATGTAAAATACAGCATGTTATTGTCTAAGAGAAAATTATATGAAAGTGATATATCAATGGTATTTAACACCGAGTGAATAGGCAAAAATGTATAAATCTAAATCAAATAAGTGTTGGGAATGTAAAGAGAAAGAAGGTTCTTTTTATCATATGTGGTGGTCTGGTTGTAAGGTTAAAGCTTACTGGGAAATATATATAATGAATATAATGAAATGAAAAGGATATTTAAAAAACAAAAGCTTTTCTTTCGGGAATTATAGAGACAGAACTACCTAAATTGTATAGAATTTTATTAATGTATGCTACTACAGCAGCAAGAATGTTACTTGCCCCAAAATGGAAAAAAGCAGAAGTCCCAGCAAAGGAAGAATTGATACAAAAACGTATGGAATATGCGTAAAGGCAAAACTTACCAGAAGAATAAGAAATCAAGATAATAATTTTTTATAAAAGAATGGAAATGGTTTATTCAATATTTAAAGATAAATTATAAACAGATAAAAACACCGGCAGGATTATTGCAACAACCTGCAGTTTTATAAGGGTATATAGGTAAAGTAGATGAATAAATGAGCAAATTAAGTTAATTTGGATATGCAGAAGGTATTAAAAACAAATGTGAGGAACCGCAGAAAGAGGGGGAAAGAAGTCAAGTTTTGAAATGTCAAAATGATTGTAAAATCAGTGAAATGTATAAAATCAGTGACATGTATAAACTTGAAAAATAAATAAATGTGGAAAAGGACTGTGGCAGAGAAGGAGGGAAAGGGACCCCCTGCCCCTTCTCCAGCTGACCTTTCAGGCAAGAGGCAGAGCCCTGCCCTCTGACCCCTAAGCCCCACAGGCCTCCTTGCCTGCCCCACTGCTCCCTCTCGGCCGCGGCTGGCAGGAGACTCCTCTGCAAGGAGCGACACCCCTTCTGTGTAGCCCTGCAGGTGTGCCTCAAGGGGGGGGGGGAGAAGGGGCTGGACGGGGGGCTATCCTGACCCAGGCAAAATACCCAGCGCTGGGGAACCCACTCCCTCCAAAAGGGGGGGCCTCTCCTTCCTTGGCTGGCTACCTGTTACGGATTCTTCCGCTGTGATTCCTGCAATGCGAGGGGCTGGGCTGGATGACCCTTGGGTGCCCCTTCCAGGATGCTATGCCCACCTCCCCAAGAGAGCGGCTTGGCCTGACTCCTGCCTGCGCCCCACTCTGGCGGCTTCCTCCTCTCGCTCTCCCTTCTCCTCATTCCCAGCCAATGCAGGATCAGGGCGGGGGGCAGGCCCTGCAGGAATTGGGGGTGGGGGGCGCTGGTGGGTGGTGGGACAGGGGAGGGGGGAAGCCAGGTCCCAGCCCTCGTGGGGCAGCTGGCTCTGCTGGGCAAGGTAGGAGGCGGGCAAGCGGGGCAGGGGAGATGCCGCAGCCTGGGGGGGTGCAAAGAGCATGGCGTGGGGGGCTCTCCCGCCTCTGCGCGCCCTCCCCCACAGAAGGCCCCGCGCTCCAGCCCCGCTCTTACCGGAAAGGCTGAAGCCGGACTCGTGGAGATCGCGCATGCCCCCGTGTCTCGTGGCCGGCCGGGTGGGCGTGTCTGCCAGGGGCGTCCCCGTCTCTTTTTTCCCAGGGTGGGCAACCACGGCCACGTCCCCCAGGTAGGGGGTGCGGTCCACGCCCTTAAGCTTTAAACTCTGCGCGGAGCAAGACAACAAAAGGCACACACAGGTCAGCGGAAGAGGCGGCCTCTGGAGACCCCGACGCCCCCAGGGTGGGGAAAGGGGGAGCCTGCCTCTTGGGGGGCTCGGGGGGGGGAGGGCGGGTGAAATGCAGGCCGGGGCAGGGGCTTGGGCTGGGAGGGAGCAGCTGCCTCTGGGGGCTGGGAACGGGGGCTCCTCACATTTCCCCCTGTGCCCCCCTCGACCAGCAGGTACTGGGCCCTCGGTGCCACGTCTGCCAGCCTCCAGTCTGCTGCCAGGGACCCCCTCCGGGTGCCACTCTCTGCTACCCACCCCCCACTCCACTCTCCTCGCCCCAGACTACCACTGGTCAAACAATGAGGCATGCTGGAGGAGGGCCTGGGGGGGCCTCCCCAGCCTCCCCTCTCTTTACAGCAAGGACCACAAGGCGAAGTGGGGCGAAGAGGCAGGGGCCGGTTGCTTGGCTCACCCCCTCTTCAGCCCCCACCCCTTGGGAAGATTCCCTCAGCTCCCCCTGCCTGCCTTCATCTCCGGGTGCAGAGCTTGTCTGCCCCCCATCCCAGGAAGGACTAAAAGGCTTTCAGGGTCCTTGCGTCAATTCTACCGTTCCAGGATTCGGGGGGGGGGAGGGCTGGGGTGCCGGGGGGGCCTCCTTGGTGACCTCCCTAACCCCCTCCTTTGGGTCTCTCGGTCGCTCCTCTGCTCTCCTGCCAGCCTCTCCTGGGACCAGCATCTCCCCTCCCAGTTAAGCCTCTTCCTCTTTATCCCTAAGTTGCCCCTCTGCTCAAGTGTCAGCCATCTCAGTCCTGCCCCCCTGGCCCTTCCAGCCAAGTCTCGCTAGCCATGCCAGGCCGGGCCGAGCCCCAACTCTTCTCCTTGCAGGAAAAAGGTCAGACATTTCCTCCCTCTTTGCAAAAGACCAAACCCCAAACACCTGGGTGCTGATTTCTGCACTTGGACGCCCAAATCACAAGTACACCTGGGATGCCCAGTCCTGCTCTCACCCTCTGTGCCTCCCCCTGCCCCACTATCCTCCTCCCGCAAACCCCCACCCCTTGGGCTTCCCGCAGCCACACTCCTGCCCAAAAAGGAGGAACTGGGGGGCTCCAGCCTTTCCCCCTGCCCACCGTCTGTTGTTTGCCACAAGCAAAAGCCTCTGGACATGCCCCTCCTCCTCTTCTTCCTCTCTGCAGAGCCTCCCCCCCCCAATCCATGGTGGTCTTCAAGGCTGCCATGCGATGGGGGTCTCTGCGTGCAATGCACTGCGCTCCCTCCCACCCCCTCTGCCCGGTTACCTTTTCCCGCTGCACCAGCTTCTTGTAGACGGAGTCTGGGAAGGAGCGGAGGGGGCAGAACTTGCCGGTGCCCTCGGCGCACATGAAGACGCCATTCTCGTAGACCACGCGCCCGCGGCTGATGGTGACCAGGGGCACCCCGTGGCAGCGCATGTTCTCAAAGAGGTTCACGTCCCCGCCCTGGACCTGGGTGCTGGCCGAGATGGTCCTGGGGGAGCAGGGAGCAGGGAGGTGAGGCAGGGCTTGGGCCGGCAGCTGCTCCCAGCCCCCTCCCTGCTCCTTTAGAAGCCCCACCAGAGCAAAGACTTCTGGGAGCATGTTCAACATTGAATTGTGTACATTTATAGGTTTTTCTTATTTAAACTTCTCTGTTGTAATTTGAGAAAGGAGGGATATGGAAATAATAACACACAATATCAAAGTGAGGCAGGATGAGGCCTCCCAGCAAAGAGCAGGAACTTCCTCCCAGGCATGTCTTTGAAATGTGCCCTTTGCCCAGTTCACTTTGCAAGTTTCCCTCCTAGCTTTTCATCTCCGAAATGCATTATGTCCCCACCATCTGGGGGTGGGCAGTCAGTTCAAAGAGGAGGAACTAGGAAGGGCCCCCAGCGCCATACATGTGCTGATCCCGTGAGCAGCGATGGAGGAGCCCCAACAAGAGGGATGGATCAACAGGCGGCAAAGGGAATGGAATGGGGCATCCCGAGAGACAGTGTGGCTGGCTCCCTGGCACCCTGACCAGGAGGACTCCACGCTGCAAGATTTAGCTGCAGCTCAGGGTGTCCCCTTCCCCTGCAGTGGTGCGTTTGCGCCATCTACTGTGTGCTGTGAAAGCAGCAGGATCAGAGCAGAGGGAAATGTGTTGCAAGCATCCGTTGGGCAAGGAGGACAGTAATTTGCCCCTGCACTACTGAGAAGGAGGAAGAAGAGACACGTAGGCCCCAGAAGCAAGTGGGTCCTTCTCTGCCAATGCACTAAAGTGACTTAAGGGAGAGCCCAGGGGTCTGGTGAAATTGGAGCCTTTCTTTCAGCACTGAAACTGGGTGCCTTTTCCTGAGAAGCAGAGACGCCTTCAGGGGTTTCAACCGGAAGAGGCTTCTTCACTGGGAGTTCCAGCTCATTTCTGAACAGTGATGGGAGTTTGAGAAGGCAGCCTTCCCCAACCTGACGCCCTCCAGCTGTTTTCGACTGCCCCTCCCTTGAGCTCCAGCCAACACAGGTTGCTGGAAGGGTAGAGCACACGCCTGGCATGCAGAAGGCCACAGGCTCAGTGCCCAGTGGCAGCATCTCCAAGCAGCGCCGGGAAAAAGGCTCCTGCCTGAAACCCTGGAGAGCTGCTGTTTCTGTTGCCGGTCAGTGCAGACAACATTGCGCTAGATGGAGTGAGGGTCTGACATGGAACAAGGCAACTTCCTAGCCTGGTTGGGGAGAGGGCAGGGTGAGGACGAAGTCTTTCCTCATTACCTATTGAATTGACTTACGAATGGCTTCCCACAAAAACGCCTTGAAGCACTCAACAATTTAAAGACACCCCCCACAACAAGAGCCACTGGAAATCTAATACATACATTCTTGTTTGGACAAGGCGACCCAGAAGAAAGCTGATGGAGGTTTTGTTCTGTTTTTAGTCTACTGTTATTTTGTCCTCCTGATTGCTGCTAATATCTGTAATTGACCATGTTATTCTTTTATCTCTTTTGTAGATTGGAGGTTTATTTGTGTGTTTTTTCAAACCATCAGGAAGCATATAAATTGTAGGAAATAATGTATCAGTCCATCAAATCAACTAATGCAGAAAGTGCTGGACACACAGGCATGATGCTGGGGAGAACCTCTTATCTCTGTGAGCATCCTTCTCTCTCTCCCCCCCCCCCCGCTTCCCTGGGGAGGCAGCCAGCAGGAGGGGAGGGGAGCCTGGCTTCTGAAGCAGCATCAGGCCAAAGCAAGCCCCCCCCCGGTCAACTCTCCTCTTCTCACTGCCCATAAGCCCCAGGCCGCCACTCCCTGCTGACACCCAGCCCCCTCCCCACTCCCCGTCACCCCTTTGTCCCCCCCCAACCTACTTGGTGGCCTCTGGGTCCCACACGACCACGTCTGCATCAGCCCCGGGGATGATACGGCCTTTGCGGGGGTACATGTTGTAGATCTTGGCAGCGTTGGAGCTGGTGATGGCGACAAAGCGGTTCTCGTCCATCTTGCCCCCCACCTGAGGGGAGAGAGAGGTCAGAGGACCTGGCAGGAGCCGGGGGGGGCAGGGGGCAGCTGATGGGAAACGCTCTGGGAGAGCCCCCACCACCAGAGGACCACTCCCTGGCTAGGATTGCTGCCTTTGAAATGGCATCACCAAGCCCGCCCCCCCAGGCCTGCCATGGGATTCTCTCCCCCTCATGCAGATCTCTGGGGGGGTGGGGGTGTGTGCTGGGATGGATCCTGGAGCATTCCCCCCCCCCCATGTTAGTTTGCATGCCCCCTGGCTGCTGGAGGACAGGCTGTGCTGGTGGCAGGGAAGCAGGCAAGGGGAGCTCTGCCACGGGCTCAGTGCAGTGTGTTGCTGCAAGGCTGGGTGGGGGGCGCCCTGCCCTGAGCCCCTTTCTTTCTCATGCAGGCAGCCAGAGGAACCCCAAGAGGGCTTCCTCCAAGCCTCTCCTGCTAGCCTTTGTCCCTCTGCACCGAGCGAAGGGAAGAAGAAGAGTTTGGATTTGATATCCCGCTTTATCACTCCCCCTAAGGAGTCTCAAAGCAGCTAACATTCTCCTTTCCCTTCCTCCCCCCCAACAAACACTCTGTGAGGTGAGTGGGGCTGAGAGACTTCAGAGACGTGTGACTGGCCCAAAGCAGCTGCATGTGGAGGAGCTGGGAAGCGAACCTGGTTCACCAGATTACGAGCCCACCGCTCTTAACACCAGACTGGCACACTGGCAAGTCAGGGACTTGGTGGAGCCACAGGGAGTGATGGCTGCATTCTGGAGAGAAGGGGCATTGGAGACTGACTTGGGAAAAGGGATTGGTGATCGGGGGTCACAAGTGGAGAGTGAAGAACAGCAGGAGAAGAGGGAGACGGCTCAGGCGGGGGGAGAGTCAAGGGCTTCCACACTGCCGTCTCCTGCCCCCAGGAGACAGGACCAGGAGAGGATGGAAGAGAGAGAAGCAGAGGCGGGTCACACGCAGGCGCAGTCTTCTCCTGCGTGCAGGCAGCTCAGGTGGGGAAGAGACATAAGCGGAGGTCTCTGTTGTGGCAACCGCCTGGGAGAAGCTGAGAGATGTGGGGCTGAAGGACATGCCTTTCCCCCACTTGCAAGCGTCCCTTCGACAATGAAGAGTCAATTCCTTGCTTGGCAGCCTCTCACGCCCCAGGCTCCCTCCCCTCCCCGTGGCGGGATGGGGGCCACAGGGGGGCATCTACCCGCTTCCCATGGGGTGCCTCCACCTACCACTCCCCGTTCCCAGATGACGGCCATGCGGTCCTGCACTCCGCTGACTCCGTGGGGGATCTTGGTGAAGTCCTCCTTGCCCATGGCCTTCTGCTTGGTGGTGAAGGGCCGGTGGTCGGAGGCCACCACGTTCAGGGTGTCACTGCGGGGAGAGCTGGTCTTAGCAACCCCCTCGCCAGCTGACAGGGAGGGGCCTTCTTGGCCTCTCCACGCAAAGCCACCCCTCCCTCCGTTCCAGGACCCCCTTCCTCTTCCTCCTCCTCTCCCTTCATCCTCTAGGGCTGGATCACCCCCCAGCCCGGGCCCCCTTACTTGGCAAGCAGGCTCATGAGGTAGGTGGAGGTGTTGGTGTCCAGCCGCAAGGGCGGGACGGTGACGTAAGCCGCCGCGTGGGACCAGTCCTGGTGGTAGTAGTGCAAGCCCGTCAGCGCCGTGTGGGCCGTGGTGGTCTCTGCGTACACCACCTTCCCTGCGGGGAAGCAAGGGGAGGGACCTCAGGCCTGGCCGTGGGGCGGGGAGGAGGGTGGTTTCCTCGAGAGCCCCACAGCAACCAGAGGCAGGACTTGCGGGGCGCATCATTCAGCTGTGCAATCGAGGGGGGTGCCGGAGACACTTTGCTCACAGAGTTGTGTTTGGTTTTTTTATTTTTATTTATTGGATTTATATACCGCCCTTCATCATAAGGTTTCAGGGCGGTTCACAGAATAATAAAATGCAGGAAAAAAACATGAGAAACAAAACAAAACAGCAAAACAATAACCCCAACCTTCCCACAGACACAGTGAGAAGGATGTAGAATATTAATCAGCCCAAGGCCTGGTTAAAAAGGAATGTTTTCACCTGGCACCTAAAGATCTGTAAGGAAGGCACCAGGCGAGCCTCCCTGGGGAGAGCATTCCACAAATGGGGAGCCACCACAGAGAAGGCCCGTTCTTGTGTTGCCACCCTCCGGAGAGATCATAGAGGAGGCACACAGAGAAGGGTTTCAGAGGGCGATCTCAGGGTCCAGGAAGGTTAACTGCAGAGTTGGGAGGGACCCAAAGGGCACCCCAAAACAGGCACCCCAGCCGATTGGGGAGAAAAGACCCACTCCTTGCAACGGCTAGCAAGGAGGGGCAGGATGGGTCCAGGGGCCGGGACATGCCAAGGGCAGCTTGCCATCTCTCCTTGCAGTTGCCCTGTGGGCACCTCCTGCTCCAGATCCAGGGAACGCCACTCACCTTGCATCTTGGCGGTGGCAATTACGTCCCCGGCTGACATGCTGGAAACGTTGACCAGGTAGACGGGGCAGTGAGTCTGCCGAGGGAGGAGGACAAAAAGAAGAGGAAAGGCGTCAGGGGGCTTGGGGCAATGAGAGAGACCTGGGGACGGAGTCCAAGGCATCCATCCACCTGGGATGGCAAAGGGGCCCCCACCCAGTCGGGCAAGAAGACACAGCCTCAGTCCTCTGCAGCAGAAAGAGGGGCGGTTAAGGCTGCTCACCCGGTTAGCGATGGTGATGACCCGATGCGTAGCTTCAGCTTCCAACTGCAATGGAGAGAGAGAGAGAGAGAGAGAGAGAGAGAGATGAGGCAGGCAGCGGCCCAGCCAATTGGACCCCGAGACAGTGCCTGCAGGTGCCAACCGAACCCCAACACTTCCCCCTCATCCCAGCAGTGACCAACTCATGGGGTGGGGCACAAACTGGGCAAGCGCCTGCCCCAGTGAAGCCAGTAGGCATGGGTGGGGGACCTCACTTCTTTTTGGCTGCAGCTGGTGGGTCCTGGAGCTCAGTGGGGCACAGATGTCCCCCCACCCACCACTAACAGCCATGATAATCCCCCCACTTATGAGCAGCACCCACAAGCTCAGCCAGCTGCCCCCAACCTTGCATGGGCAGCCAAGTCCCTCCTCCACCGCCTTCCTCCTGGTCGTTCTTCCTGGCTGGTGGAAGAACTGCCCTCTGAAAACAGTCACCAGGCAATTGGCAGCCTTGGCAAGGAGACCCTGCAAGTTCTGAAACTGCCCCCTTCTCTCTTGGGTCTTGGGGGGAGTGAAATTCCCAGCAGGGCAGGTGTGTTCATTCATGGGTGTGCCTCCTTCCTTGTGGGGGTCGGGTGGGATTACTATGAGGAATTATGAAATATGGAACAAGCCATTGTGTCAGCAATGAAAGCATTGCATTCACTGGGTTTGATTCATTGACAATAATTTCTGATCAAATCCCACAAGCCTCTCCACCTCTGTCATTTGCTTTCTCTATGCCTGACAAGCACGTATAAGCATTCTGAAACACAGGCCAGTTGCTTCATCAGGCATCCTCAGTACATAAAGATAGAAGGTAGCTTGGATGTAGTTTGTGAATCTTTAGGTAGATCTTAAGGGCCAGGAAGAGAGTTCACAAGGATACTGCCATCCTTCCTTCCTCCCTCTCCTGTTTATGACCTCCGGGGTTTCCTAAAAGCATTTCTCCTTGCTTCCTCTTTTATTTACTCTGAACTACGTATGCATGCTCAAATTAGCTCTTTGTAATTTTAACTTTAACTTTGTCCCGACGTGGGTTTTTCTGAAATGCTCAGAGGAAATCTGATTGGTTCTTACGAACACTGTGTAAAACGTTCTCTTGTGAATAAAACGACCTGGGCCGAGGGGTGGACGGATTATTATTGACACTTCCCCCCAGAGTCTTGCTGGTCAAGCCTCGTGTGTACTGTATTAATCAGAGTCCAATCCTTCTTTGCTTTGGGAACGCAACACTTCCTTCCTTGGTGGGCACCCTTACCTCCTCCGGCCGGCTGATCTCGATCCCTTCCGGGCCGGTGATGCCCAGCTCCAGGGCTTCCCTGGCCCCCTGCAGGGAAAGGCAAAAGAGGGGGTCAGTCTGGGGTAGGCGGGGACAGGGGTCACCTTCTTCCTGCCCCCTTGCTGGTCCCTGCCTCTTCCTCCCCTCTCCCAGGGCAGGACAGCCTATGGATCGGCTGATGGGATCATCCCCTTCCACTGCCCCCCGGCTGCAGCCCAGCCGCGTCCCCCTGCCCCCCCGAGCAGCTCACCTCGGCCACCAGCTCTCCATTCTCGGCGTGGACGCGGGCGATGGCGCCAATGTCCTTGCAGGCGTGGAAGACCTGGTAGAGCTCGCTGTCCCGCAGCATGTACAAGTCCTTGTAGGTCATGAACATCTGGAAGGAGTTGATGCCCTTCTCCCGCACCAGGGTCTCCATCTCCGCCTTCACCTGAGGCAGAAGGGGCAGGCGTCATTCGCCCAGAGGTCTCACCTCCCACCGGCACCCCTGGAAATGCTGTGAGCCGAACGCAGAGGGCCAAAGCCACAGGCCTTGAGGTATTGAGCTCATCTAATGTGCCCAAATCTAAGGCCCTGATGAACATAGGAAGATGAGCTAGGAGTCTCACGTGGAAGTTGGTGCAAATCCTGAACATTTCCAGACCTTCCTGTTTACAGTGGTATGTTTGGAAGCAGGAAGCAATGGACACTGATGTACTTTGCTGCTTCAAGGAGGCCACGCTCGCTCTTGTCTGCACCCTGCCCTCACCTCAAGAGGCTCCCAATCCTCTGCCTGGAGTTCTCCCCACATCACAATGTCTCCCGACTTTGGTTGCTTCCAGCTTTCCTCTGCAGACTGGCTCACTCACTCGAGTCACCTGGAACACGCTGCTCTGGGCCTGGATCTGTGAGGAGCCGGTCCTGCCTTTGAGCAACGGGCTCTTTGGCCCTGCCGGGAGGGAGCATGTGTTTGGAGCATCTTGCCAACGGGAGGGGAAAGTGGGGAGGGTCCTCTGGAGCAGAGAAGGAGGCGTCTCTGCTCTAGGGTCCTCTTCCAGGAATCTGCTCCGCATCCAGGCATGCTCATGCCTTGTTCAAGAGGCATGTTTAGTCTCTGTATTATGTGCAAGTCGTTGGTCTGTGTTTGGTAATCTTAGTAATAATAATAATACTTTTTTTATTATATGCCGCCCATCTGACTGGGTTGCCCCAGCCTCTCTGGGCAGCTCCCAAGAAAATATTAAAAACACAATAAAACATTAACAACTTCCCTATACAGGGCTGAAAGTCAAATAGTTCTTTAATTCCTTGACATCTGGTGGGATGGTGTTCCACAGAGCAGGTGCCACTACAGAAGACAGAGGCTGCAGAGCTGGGTGCCCCAAGCTGTGATGAAATGGTCCTGCGCAGGTAAGACACAGGTGGGGTGGGGGTCTTCTCCTAGTGCCAGAAGCCAGGCAAGGCAGCGCCAAAGCCCACCAAAGAGGGGGAGGGAGTGGCCAACCGCGGAGGGAAAGGAAGGGCTGTTACAGCTGTCAGGGGGCCGAGAGGAGGAAGGAGCTGAGCCACAAACACCCAAAGAAGAGGCTAAGGAGGTCAAGCCACCCAGCTGGGGCTGGGGAACAAGATGGCTGTGGGCAGGGGTCTAATCCAGAATTACCAGCCGGCAGATGCTCCACGGCCCTTGGAGCAGCTGGGGGCCATGAGACGGCCAGCAGGCATGCTTGAGACCCCTGGCCTTGAGATCCTGCTACGGCCCAGCAGTTGGCCTGAGGAAAATCTCCGCAGGCTGGAGCAGGCGGGGAGGGTGGCAGCTGGATGGCTGCGGAAGAACTGGGAGGAGGAGGCACGGCCGAGGGGCGTGGAGGTGGCACCACTGGAGAAGGGGCAAGGCCCCAGGCACCCTCCCCAAGGGGCTGCAGTGAGGGCAATCAGAAGGGTCAGGCAGATGGAGTACCCTCCCCCCATGAAGAAAGTCTGCAGTGTTGGGGGCTTTTTAGGGGAGTTAAGAGGCAAAACGATGGCAGTTTGTAAAATTACGGAATATGCAGAAATGGCAAAACACACTGGAAAAATAAGAAATCAAGATAACAAACTTTTTATAAAGGAATAGAAATGGTTTATTGAAAATTTAACTGTAAACAGATAAGAACATTGGCAGGGTTATTGTAATAACCTGTGGTTTCATATATATTTAAAGTAGATGAATAAATGAACAAATTAAGTTAATTTGGATATGCAGAAAATATTAAAAATAAATGTAAGGAACTGCAGAAAGAGGGGGAAGAAAGTCAAGTTTGGAAATGTTAAAATGACTGTAAAGTTAGTGAAATGTATAAACCTGGAAATCATAAACAAATTTTTTTAAAAAAGAATTTCAATATGCATGGCACAGAGAAAAGGGGAAAATTTTTCTCTTCTCCTGGCACCAGAATTTGTGGCTTCAAATGAGGTTGAAAGTGGGAAGATTTGGGGAGGATAAAAGGGAGGACTTCTTAATGCAGTGCAAAGTTAATCTATGGAACTCCCTGCCACAGGAGGCCAGGAAACCACAGGAGGGGAAGGGGCTCTTGGGCTGAGGTCCCGCTTGTGGGTTTCCCATAATGAGAACCTGGCTGGTCACTGTGAGAAGAGGATGCAGGATGCAATGGGCTTTTGGCCTGATCCGGCAGGCCTGTGAATACTTTCTTTATCCTGAGCAAACCGTTTCGTATGACTGGCCTTTCGGACTGATGAAGCGTACAGGTCTCTTTTTGCCCACTTGCGTTATTCTCACCAGGGTGGCGGCTTTGATTTGCCTTCCCGTGATTGATCCATGCATACGACTTTGTGTTTCCAACTCAAGACCCATTGAAGAACATCTCATCCAGTTCAATCTTTGAAAAACAGCTTTGAAAAACTTTTCATATTCTCTAGTGTGCTACCCTTGCCATTGTGGCGGCACGGGGTTGCTGTTCTGTGATTGGACTTACGCTACTTGTTGAGCGGTTCATTTATCCAGTAGGTATAACGTTTACTGCACATGTAACTTGTTAAGATAGAGTTCACATTTATCCACTGCATGTTTACAGTATCTCCAGGCTTTGTCTTGCACATGGCACCTTAATATGTTTGTTGTTTGAATGGTTACAAGCCTATCTCTATTCTAGCTATTAGTCTAGTAAATTTGGTTTTATACTTATAAGCCAGTTTGTGGTGGTGTTGTTTTGTTGTATTATTACTCCTTGTGCTCTTACAAGACCCCACTTTCGGAACCCTAAAGACCCGCTGCCAGTCAAGGCAAAAGACCTCCTCAACGTGAGTCAGGGAGACCAACAAGACCACCCCCCTGTGCGCCCCCTCCCCTCTTACCTTTGGTGCCCACCAGGTGATGCCCATGTGCAGGGCGTAGTCGCAGCACACCTTGGGGTCGGCCAGGCTGCGGCACTTTTCGTAGGCGTCCAGGAGGGAGATGTCCTTGTCCGGAAGCACGTGCCCAATCACCATCGTGGTTCCCCCCACCAGGGCAGCCTGGGCACAGGGGCAAAGGGAAGCTGGTGAGAGATGCCCTCGTGGAAACCCCAAAAGAGCTTCCGAGGAGCGAACCACCAACGCCCAACCCAGAGTCTGCAAGCCCTGCAGCCTTCCTGGCGTGGAGGCCCCGGGTCAGGAGCCGGCAGGAAGCATTTCTTGCTAATGCAAAGGGAAGGCTGTGTCCTCAGCTGACACTTGTGGGACATCAGCTAATCCCCAAAGCTGCTTTTTTTGAGGGGGGGCGGGAGGAGAGGGAGAAGCTGGCTGCCTTGCCTACATTCCCTCAAGGGCCCTGCATGGTGGTTCTGGGTTCCAAGGCCTTCACAATTTCAAGAGGAATCCAAGGCCGAGAACTCATGGGGGGCAGGGAGGAGGTGGTTGGTGAGCAGAAGCAGAAGCCCCCTTTCTATTGCCCTGGTTGTGTTCAGCACAGGGCACTCAGGACTAAACACGCTTCTTCCCTGGGGTGCCCAAGCTGCCCCAACAGTTCTCCTGGCATGTCAGGAAAATGAAGAGAGAGAGACAATGGGGGGGGGGGCAAGAAGAGACTTTGCTCACAGCCTAAATTTAGGTGAAGGAGCTCAGTGCCCAGAAACTACTGTATTTTTCGCCCCATAGGACGCACCGGCCCATAGGACGCACCTAGTTTTTTTGGGGGGGAAATAAAGGGAAAAAAACTCCCCCCCCCCAGATGCGGGGCTGGGGCGGCTGTTCCTCCTCCAGCTTCCAGGCAGGCGTGTGGCTGAAGGGTCGCTGTGCAGTTCTCCCTCTCTGCGCAACACCTCTCCTGTGAAGGAGAGGCGCTGTGTGGAGAGGGAGAAGTGTGCAGCGCCCATCAAGCGAAGCTGGAGGAGGAACTGAAGGAGACCCTTCTGCTCCTCCCCCGGCTTCGCAGGACAGGCGCCTCGCTTCCACAGACGTGCGTCACCTCTCCAGCTTACTTCTGGGTTTCAGCGGTCGCGCATGTGCAGAAGCGCTAAATTGGGCTTTGCGCATGCACAGAAGTGCCGAATCACAACCCACGTGTGTGCAGATGTGCTGCTGCGGCTTGTGAACAGCATCCCGCACGGATCACATTCGCAACCCGAGCGTCCACTGTATTTGGAACACTGTTCATGGCAGAGGAGACAGTGGCGCCGTGACTGGCGCAAGGGACACCCTGAGCAGCTAGATGGGGAGGGAGGAGGCTTTGTGATGTTAAGCACAGCTCGTTCAATCCGCCCTCTGCAGAGCTGGCTTCTGTTGGAAACAGGGGGACGTACCGGTCATGGGCTTGATTCTGTGCTAGAACAGCTGCACACCTGTCAAAAAAGGGGTGTGTAGATCCACAGCAGGCTTACTGCTCCGAGAAGGCAAGTCTGTGCACAGCCAGAAGACCATGTCCAAAGAATTCATGCACAGCAGCCAAGTGGGTGGGTGGTGTTCAGCAAAATTCTACTCAGAGTAGACCCTCTGAACTTAATGCACACAACTAAGTTAGGTCCATGAATTTTGAAAGGGCTGCTCTGAGTAGAACTTGCCTGAATGCTTTTTTAAAAAACATAGTTGTTTCAGCTGTTTTCAACATGGAGCATTCCATTAGTCAGATGATCTCTTCTTGCATGATGGAACTTTCTTCCCATCTCCCCACCACCTAAATCTGTTCTAGAAGTTCCACCAACCCAAATCAGATTTTTTGGGGGGGGGAGGTGCACGGCTGGAGAGGGGAGGAACCCCCTTGCACAAGAACTATCCTTGCACAAGCAGAAAAACTTAGTTGAACACCAGCCTACATTTTTATTAGATCGTCAATCACTCGGGGTGCCTCACAGGAAGAAATGAAATAAACAATCAATGCTTATCTGGCTGTTATTTCAATCCTGTTCCCTTTATGATAGCTCTGTTTGGAACATTTTTTTAAAAAAGAGCATTAGCAGGTTGCATCTTTTTGAAGGCCACTTTGGGTTTGCTTGGTAAAGAAAAAAAACAAAGAAACAAGGAAAAAACAAAGTAGAAATTCTAAAAACAATTCCTATAAAAATATTAGTAATCTGAGTTCTAGTTCCACCACCTTATGGCTTGGTATTTTTTCAAAATGGACAATAAAACAAACTCCTGCTCTTCTGTGGAGTTACTGGTACTTTTGCCTTGTGTTGAGCAAAGGAGCTAAGCACTTTCAGCACCAGAGGCCTGGACAGCTCCCCCCAGTCCCCAAGATGACCGGCAGGCAGGCAGGCCGGCAGGCAGGCGGATGGGCAGAGATACAGCCCAGTCCGAGCAGGTGGGTGGCTGGGCGGCCAGATCCGGCCCCCCAGGCCTTGCAAGTAACTGGGGCTTTTGACCAGGCTCCTCTTGAGCAAGGAGGAAGAAGCTGACGCTGCTGCCTGGCCCGGGATGCCATGAGGAGCAGAACGGGGCCGCGATGCAAGGGAGACCAGCCCCCGCCATGGGGTGACCCGACTCCTTCCCACACCTGCCCTGCAAATGACACCAGCAGCTGCCACCTGCTCAGCCAAGAGGCCCCAACAGCTGCCAGGGAGGCTCCTGTCACTTCACATGCTCCCCACTGGTCAACACTGATGTTCTTTCCCCCGGTTCCGGAGCACATTTGGGAAGGGAAAGGCCTCACCGCCCCCCACCGCCCCCCGGAAAAGGCAGACAAGGCAGTGGATGGCCAGGAATCATCGAGGGAGGGAGGGCAGCCAGCTACACACTCCTCTGCCCAGCGCAGACGGGGCCCTGGAATCACATGGTTGTTGCTGACTAGGAATGCTCTGACTCTGCTTACAACATTTAGGCCTCACCCAAAGCAGCCCTGCCCCCTTGCCAAAGGGACAGGCCAGCATTGTCTGGGGGGGAAGTAAGGAGGGTGAAGAAAGGGGCCAGAGGCCAGATCTCACTAAGCACATGGCAAGGCCAGAGTTAGTCCTGGGTCAGAGGGAGATCTGGAGTCCACGGAAGTGCATGTCTTGCACTGATGGATGCTGACACCCAAAATATCTGGAGGGCACCAGGTTGGCAGAGGCCTGAGAGGCTTGTATCTATCCACGCCTGCCCTGCACAGAGCCAGCACAGGTGCCATGGAGGGCCACTGCAGCACCCCAGTGACATTTGGATCGGTAATAGCGGAGGTGCCTGTGGAAATAAATTCAGGGGGATGCTGGCTGCCAGAAGTGCCCATAGCTGGCTTCCCCTGTCTGTGGGGGGGAACTACAGTTCCTGGGATATTGGGTGTGTGCGTCATGTGCTTTAAATGTGTGTTGGGTTTGCTTTAAATGGATGGTGTGGACCTGCCTCATGTCTCATCAATTCCGCAGATCTCAAGTCTCCCCAGAAATTGTCTTGCTCTAAGAGAACACACACACTGGTCAATGCCCAAGACCAGACCACCCGCTGAGCATTCCCCCGCACCACACAACCAAAGAGAGGAGGAGGAGGGAGACTACCTTGGTGCCATGGTAGAAGTCATCCACGCAGGTGGCGTTCATGAAGGTCTGGTGGAAGTGGGTGCTGGTATCGATGCCCCCCGGGATCACCAGCTTGCCGGTGGCATCAATGACCTTGGCTCCGCCGGGGATCATGAGCTCACGGCCCACCTGCTGGATGATGCCGTTCTCAATGTAGACGTCGGCCTCCAGGGTGCAGTCGTCGTTCACCACCTTCCCCCCCTTGATGAGGATCCGCATCGTGGCAGCGTTGGCGAGCATGGCTCTGGAAAAGGAGGACAGGGCAAAGGAGGTCAGGGGCCGTGGACGCCTGAGCCATGGCTGCTCCCTCCCACTGGCAAGACTCCACAGGTCACAGGCCATCCATTTAATGGGCTCAGGCCATTCCTAGCCCTCTTCTCTCCTTTTAAGGCCATTTAGCTTGGTGGCCATCATTGTGGGAGGGAGTTCCACAGTTTAACTTATGCCAAGAGGCCACACTGCCCAGCGATCACATCCAAGGAGACAGCTGAGGGTCAGAGGCACTGCAATTCAGAAAACGCGGCCATGTAGGACACAGCACAGGCTGCTCCAGACCAGTTCCTCAGGCTCACAGAACACCCCAGCTGGAGGACATGGGACCGGATTCACCCAGGTTGTTGCACTGGTTGACGCAAGTGCAAGGAGTCCTGCTAGTGCAGTGTGACCTCGTCTCCTGAAATCTGCTTGCGGGGGCCAGGAGAACCCCCAGAGCTGGAGGTGGGGGGAAGAGAGGTCGCTCTGCCTAGTGGAAAACAGAAGGGCTTTTGCTGACGGAACAATTGCCTTAGCACGTCATGGAATTCCACCCATCGTCCGGGACGAGGGCACCTCCGCACCTTCTCTGAGAATGTGGCTCAGCCTCCGAGGCCTTTCTTGTGACCCACTTACCCTGTGGCCGGTCCTACCAGGAGGGAAAGTGAGGCAACAGCCTGTGGCAGCTGCTTTTAAGTGCCCCCAAAAGGCAGCCTATTGTTACTTCCGATTATCAACAGAGAGGGAGGGAGGGAGGCAGGTAGGTGTGGGCACCAAAATAATTTGGCTGCAGGCTATGAGTGCCCTGACCAGGGGAGGGATGGGGGCAGCAGGTGCTACTCTGCCTCAGGCAGCACAATGTCTTGGGCTGGCCCTGCATCCGTCCTCTGAGGGAAGTGTGGCTGGTGGGGATGAGGAACATGAGGCCCTGTGGGAACAAAACTGGTGCACGGCTTGCAGATGGATCAGCGTTCAAAATTCACCAGGTTCCAGGGGCTTTTTGCCCCCGGCTGTCGACCACTTGCAACCAAGTGAAGATGCCCAGGCGCCAGGGTGGCGTCTGATGTCTCCCCCATCTGGAGGTGCCTGTTTGGGGATCCTTGGCCCTTGCCTGTTTTCACACACGAGAAACACACCCTGGTTTAAGGAGCCGTTTGGAGCCTTGCATATATATTTGAGTTTCTAACACTGGGAAGGATGGCTCTCAGTGGCCACTTGCCACAACAGCTGTGCTCTCCCCTCCACTGTCTGAGGCAGCCATTGCCTCCGAACACCAGTTGATGGAAGTGACGTGGGGGGTGGGGAATTGCTGCTGCACTCAGGTCCTGCTTATGGGCACTGGGTCAGTCCCTGTGGGAAAAGGAGCTGGACTAGATGGTCCCCCTTTGGCCTGATCCTGCTGCTGCTGCTGCTGCAGGGCTCTTCTGATGGCCCAGAAACCATCTGAGCTGCCACGGAGGTTCAGGGAGAATCTGGTTCTTTGGTGTCAGAAGAGGCGGCTGGACTTGGCTAGGCCTTGCTCTGCAGAGCCCTTCTTGACCGCCAGAACCTCTGCCTCCTTCTCGGCTGCTCCTGGCAGCTCTGCCATCCTACCGACAATATGCCCTAAAGATGCTGCAGCTGCCTGGTCCTCTCCCCACCCCCACATCTCTGCAAACATCCTCCATTCCTCTTTGGCAGCTGGAAGAGAAATATATTAAAAAACAGCACCACCAAGACTGGCAGAGCAAAGAGGGTCTCTGCTCCCCTCCCCTGGAAAGCCCTTCCTCTTGCAGCCCTCCAGCAACCTCCTCCGCCTCCCTCCCTGGCATCTCGTTGCATAAAAGAGGCCCCCTGAACACGGCCTCCCTTGGCGGCAAACCCAGCCCCTCCATCAGCATCAGAAGCTCCCATTTGCCATGAAATCTGCGCAGTCAGACCTGACAGCTGCCGGCTCAGAGGCTCCCAGACAGACCATCAGCTCCTATTGTGTGAGAGAGGCAGGGATCGAAAGAAAAGGGGGAGGAGGGAGGGGTCTCCGGGAATCAAACAAAACCTGCATTCCCACAAGCTGGAGCTGGACCCAAAACCTGGAGGAGACGGAGGCACATTCCCTTTTGATGGCTGCAGGGTTGCAAATAGGGTCTACTCTGAAGCTGCAATCGCAGAGGAGCAGAGGACCTTGGGAGAGCAAGCCTTGCCTGGCGCTTGCAGGAGGGAGAAGCAGATGTCCTTGTTGCACCAGGATCCCCCACAGCTTGGAACTGGCAGGCTAGGATAGGGCCCAAGGCACAGTCAACTGGGGACAAGGCTGACATTACCTGCCCCACCAGCCAGCCCTCAGATCTGCAGCTGCTCATGCCTTGATGGGGAATGAGGAAACCAGCTGGGTCTGTAGGACTGAGACCTCGGTACTGGGTACTCATGTGCAGTATCAGAGCAGACCTGGGGAGGGAGAGTTGCTGTGGCCCATAGATATCCCATCTCATCATGTAGCTATGCAATGTGGGCCCCTCTCTCTTAGTAGGTGGGAGGGGAAACGGGAGCCCTGGACATCAGGGCAGGGCATTGGCAGGGCACTCTTGCTCCCTACAAAGGAGCGTCTCCACTGCCCCCTCTTTAGCTGCATTGCAGGGTGTTTAACTAGATTATCCTTGGGGGTCCCTTCCAACTCTTGCGCAGTGTGGGGAGAGCACCAGGCAGACCCAGAATACTCTACAGGAACACTTGGAATGGGGCAGGCACCACACAAGGCCAGCGGACCTGCACCCCACAATCTGTATGCAGGATGAGGTGTGTTGAAGAAGTCAACCAGCATTTGGTTTTCAAAGATTTAGGAAGCTCAAAGGCACCCACAGATTGTTCACGCAGTTGTCAAAGCAGAGTTGGAGACAACTCAAAGCTAACAGGCCCATGACCAGTGTGGACACAAGCAGGAAAGGGGCCTGCAGAGAAAATAGGTCCAGACGGGTCCAGCAGAAGCATCAAAGCCACAGCCTCCGAGTGAGACCACCTCTCTCACAGTGGACTGAGGGGCAAAGGATTCTGCAGCTCAACTTTCCCACCCCACTCACTAAGATGAGAGGCCCAACAGCTCACAGAAGGGGCTTGCTGGTTTTACTCATTTGTTTAACAAATTGTATAGATCACTTGATGGATGTAAAACCTCAAAGAACCCTGCCCTGCCCGCCCAGGAAGGGGCTTACGTGGGCCAGGGCAATTTGGGGCTGCGTCTCCATAGGTCACAGGGTTGCCATACACCCAGAATTTCCCGGATATACCTGGAATACTGCAGTTGGAAGCTGTGTCCCAGCAGAAATCGGCAAAATGTCCAGGAAAATCCAGACATATAGCAGCCCATGTCGGTAGTGTCTTTTTTTGCCAATTTTCCTTAAAAAATAGCTCAAAACAACTTTCGTGTCTGGATTTCCACTTTTTGAAAAATGGCAACCCGACCATATGAGGAGACATGGAGAAAAAAGTAAGTGTGGCCCATAGAGCAACTGCAGCCAGCAGCTGTGGACCTGACTGTGTCCCCCCCAAAAAAAACCCCTGAGGCCAGCCCCCTCTCCCCCCCCTGCAGCAGCTGAGCACGCAGCAGTGTCAGTCAGCGGGGAAAGAGCAGAACACCCTCTGCACAGAGGCCACTGAGCTCCAAGTGCAAGAAACACCCCCAGCTAAGGCGTAAGGCAGCCCTCAGGGAAGCCCCCCCCCCAGAGCTGGATGCCGCCCTGTTGGGCAGCACAGCTTCCCTGGCCAGGCCCTGCAGCCTCTCAGGCCCAAGAGGCCACCAAGGGTACATCCGCCACACCCTTATGGCCAGCCTTCTGTTTGAAATGAAATTTCAAATGATAATACAGTGGTACCTGGGGTTACAGGCGCTTCAGGTTACAGACTCCGCTAACCCAGAAATAGCACCTCGAGTTAAGAGCTTTGCTTCAGGATGAGAACAGAAATCGCGCGGCAGCAGCAGGAGGCCCCATTAGCTAAACTGGTACCTCAGGTTAAGAACAGTTTCAGGTTAAGAACAGACCTCCAGAACGAATTAGGTTCTTAACCCGAGGTACCGCTGTAAATAGCAGCAGCAGCAGCAGCAGCAAACAACCTTCACCCCAAGGTCCCTGGGCAGGTGACAACAATTACAACACACTGGGAACAATTTAATGTTAAAAAAAGGTCTGGCATGCCACATAAGCCAGCTTCATTTAAATCAGAAGATTCTCAATGGCCCATGTTCCTGGGAACCAGATGCAAGGTGCTGTGGTGACCCACAGATCCGTAAACGGATTGGCTGCCTCCTCCTCTTCCTTGCTTGGAACACCCACAACCCATGTCTTTCCTTTCCTTCCGTTCCTCCCACAGCATAACTCCTCAGCACCCTCCACCTGCAGACTCCTTCCCCTCACTGTCAGGAGTTTGCAGGGGGGTCCTTTTGAACACACAAGCCCAGGGCTCAGCGCTCCTTCAGCACCCAGGTGAGACAGAACACCATCCGCCACTACAACTGATCCAGAATGCGGCAGCTAGATTGGTGACTGGGAGCGGCCGCCAAGACCATGTAACACCGGTCTTGAAAGACCTACATTGGCTTCCGTTACGTTTCCTGGCACAATTCAAAGTGTTGGTGCTGACCTTTAAAGCCCTAAACAGCCTCGGTCCAGTATATCTAAAGGAGCGTCTCCACCCCCATCGTTCTGCCCGGACACTGAGGTCCAGCGCCGAGGGCCTTCTGGTGGTTCCCTCGCTGCGAGAAGCCAGGTTACAGGGAATCAGGCAGAGGGCCTTCTCGGTGGTGGCACCCACCCTGTGGAACGCCCTCCCATCAAGGAATGTCAAGCAAATAAACAACTACCAGACTTTTCGAAGACATCTGAAGGCAGCCCTGCTTAGGGAAGCTTTTAATGTTTGATAGGTTATTGTATTTTAGTGTTCTGTTGGAAGCCACCCAGAGTGGCTGGGGAAGCCTAGCCAGATGGGTGGGGTATAAATAATAAATTATTATTATTATTATTATTGGGATGGGTAAATGCTGGCCATTGTTCTCCCCAGGAAAGAGAAACAACTGGGAGAGAGCGAGAGACCCTCCACACACACACACACACAGAGAGAGAGAAAGAAGCCTTTGTGTCCTGGGAGGGTATAACAGCCACTGGCTTTGTCCCATCCCCATTGTTCAAGCCCCCTCCCCATGACCCGCTGCACCCACCCTGCAAGGAACACACTCTCAAGCCGGCATTTCAAACTCCTGTGCCCCTGAGCTGGCTCTTCACATCCAAGCAGCATCTTTAGGGGCTCCAGGAGGAAGGAGGGAACGGAGAGGAGACTTTGCAAAGGCACGGAGGGTGCTGAGCCCAATGCTCAGAGGGCGGGCAAAGCAGACCCAGGCCCCCTCCTCCAGGCTGTGCAGTGCTGAGGCTCAAACAGCAGAAGAGGGCAGCCCTTTCCATCCTCCCAAGTCTGCTGCAGCTCCACCAGAACCGGCAAGGGCGGGAGTCCCTGCCTAGCAGGGGTGCATACTAGACACATGGGGCAAAGATGTCCCCCAACCAGCGGCAGACCCCTGAACTGTCATGGGGGACCTTTCTGGGCAGCATTAGAAGCTCAGATATATAAGCTAGGCACCAAATGGCTCCTTAAACCAGGCTTACAGTTGCCAAAAGGGAATGCCAGTTGCCATTTGGGGGCCAGACGGCTTGAAACGTCTATTTTTCAAAAAGTCTTTTTAGTTCCTGAAATTCATTCTGATTGTGCAGATAAAATATCACGGACAGGATGCATTGGTAGTGTGAAAACAGGCAAGATCCAGGCATCCCCAGGCAGGCTCCTCCAGGCAGTGGAGACGTCGGACGCCATAATGGCGCCCGGGCGTCTTGGCTTGGTCGCAAGGGACCGGTAGTCAGGTGCAAAATGCACCTGGCAAGTTTCAAACGCTGGGTGTGGCTAACCACTGTTCTGTTCTTCAGTGGGGATGCTCCACAAGAGATCCCCACACCTTTACAACATCTGTGCTACTGACTCTCAAACTTTGGGATTCGTGAAATATATACAACAACAAAATACTCACTTTGAGTCGTGCCACCCAAATTGGGTCACATAAGACCCATTTTTTTAAAGCAATCTGGACTAAAATTGGTTCTGGGGCCCCTCTGGGATTAGGCTGTCCATGAACTGTAGTGTTCCTGCAGGACATCCCCCCCACTTGTTTCTCAGCAAGGCTGCCTGTAGCCCCCAACTCCTCCTCAGGACACACAGCGGGGGGGACCAGAGGCTCCGCCCTCTCTCTTGCCTCTAAAGGACACACAGGACCCAGGGCAGGGCAGCTGCCCAGAGAGAGGAGGGAAAGCAAGATCAGACACAGAGCACCCTGGGGCCACATGCACAGCCCTGGGGGACCCCCTCCACTTGCCAAGACCCCCAACTCTTTCCCAAGGCTGCCTGGTGCACTGCTGCCGCACAGACGAAAACAGGTCCCTTTTAACAAGGAACGCTGGGGGAAAGCTTAATGAGCAAGCGGGGGCTGGTGCAGATGCCAAGCAATGACACATCGGAGGAGTGCCTGAGACACCCCCCCACTCCGCTCTTTGTTTTGAAGTCCTTGCAGGGAGCGCTGACAGCCTGATGAAGACGAGAGTCATTACAGGGAGACATCTGAGGATCCAGAGGCAGGCAAGCGCCTCGCATGGCACAGCACACAGCGGCAGCGGCAGGATCGGCACATTTCTAGCAGCAATTGTGGAACAAGGAGAACCTGAGAGGAGCCTGTCCGCCTGCTGGATCAGGCCAAAGCCCACCCCCCTGTCCTCACAGTGGCCAACCAGACGCCCCCAAGCAGGACTCAAGGGCAAGAGCAACCCCCCCCCCCACAAAAGGGACCCAGCTGACCCTGGAACAGAGAGTAGCCCCAAGAGCTGCCTCTGCTCAACTCCTCCCCTCAAATCTTTGCCTAGGCTGCTGGGTCATGTGATGGGGTATAAATGTACAGGGTATATATCATTAATAATAATAATAATAATTACTCAAACCATGGCACATGGAGTTTTCTTTCTAAAAATGCTTCTGCTCTCTTCTGTTGCTGCCTGAGGCTTCGTGGTAGAGATATGAAGGCCTCAGAAAACACTGGGGAAATTCGACCATGACCCCATTTTTTTCTGCTACCCTCCCCCTTATTTCTTTTGGAAAAAACCTACCCCAATTTTTCTGCTTTTTTCTTCAGGCTTTCACATTTCTGCTTTGGGGAGAAGCTCCTCAGCCACCTGACCAGCTAGTTACAAAAACTGAGGCAACTCATAGATGGGCAACGGCCCCATTTAGGAATAGCCAGTTTAATGGTGAAGGTTGAAGGGCAGCCTTCACCACCCTGGAAGCAAGGGCAAGAGGGAAGCGCAAGGAATAATCAGGCACGGAGGATCAGTGGAAGGTGGGTGCTGACTCTGGGTCTCGATAACCAGGAGGTTCATTCCTGGAAGCCTGAGACGAGCGTCTCCTTCTGCAGCTGCATGTCACTCGGTCCAGAGGCCGACAAGGCGGTCCAGCAGTGCCTCCATGCTCAGGACGCTCTCGCTGCGCCACAGCCGGTTCAGCATCTTCAGCCACACCTTGGCTGACACAGTGGCGCAGGAGGAGAGGCTGTGATGAAGATGCTGAAGGAGCCCCAGCAGGATCCCGGCGGCCTGGATGAGGTCACAGGCGGCGACTTGGAGCTGCGCCTGGGTCCTCCGGGCCTCTCCCACTGCTAGCAAGTCTCTAATTTTGCTTGCTTGGTTGGCGGCAAAATTTCATCAGTTGGGACTCCAGAGCGATGCATCCATCTTTCCAGTTTAGAGTTCCCTCTGGACCACAGACTCCTGGCCCAAAACCAACAAGGCCAAATGCACCAGAGACAAATGTGAAGCACTGCATTTAGGTTCAAAGCCAAATCAAATGCAAGGGAGAGACCTGACTTGGCAGCACCTCGTGTGCAAGGGGGGGGGCGTGTTGAGCGGATCTTAAGCTGGACTGGGGCCACCAGTGTGATTCAGCTGCAAAAGAAAAGCTAATGCAGCTTCTCAAGTCTCCTTAACAGGAGCACAACGTCCAGATCACAGGAAGCAACAGTCCCACTCTCTCCTGGACAGGCCTGTGGCAATTCTGGGTGCCACATTTTAAGGAAGACCTGGACAACCTGGAAAAAATGTGTCCAGAAAAATACAAGGAAGACGACAAGCAGCCTGGAACCCAAGTCCGTGTTTTCCTTGGAGGAGAAAAGCTTAAGGGGAGGCATGATAATATCTCACCAAACATCACAACTTCTTCAGCGTCAAAAAGGTTGGAGGAGACCCAAGTCAGCTGAAGCACCAGAGGCAAAGATGGTCCTACCTTGGAGGAGAAGACGCTAGCCCCTTGCAAGGGGTAATACCCTCCCCCAAGATACGCAAAGAATCCCTCCCCTCCAGGAAAAGATTTGCTTTAGCCGCATCTCCCTGCTGACCCTTCTGGCTAAAGGCCTTTGCAGCAGCAGCAGCAGCAGCCACTCTCATGCAACAAAGGAAGAGTGTTCAGGGAGCCAGGCCAACGCGGCTCTAGCCGAGTGTCTGCCTGAAATTCTCTGTCTGAAATCCTGAACAGCCTCTGCCGGTCAGTGTGGACAACACTGGGCTAGATGGAACCATGGCCGCTGCCTATGTCTCATCAGGGTCTGTGCCAGCTCAGGTGCCCTGCCCAGGGTGTGGCACCCTCAACAGGAAAAGTGACAGCACAGATCCCTCCTGCTGGGAATCTCAAGACCAACCTCCCAGGGGGACGCCCCCCACCCACCAGACTGGGCTAAAGACAGAAGTGTCTTGGTTGGGAAAGGGAGTGGAATCAGCCCCTCAACACCACCATTCTCACCCCATCTGTGACCCACCGCTTGCACCGTGTTCCTAGTCAGCAAGGGAAACTGCCCCTTTCCCCTTCAGAAACCAGCTCTGGTCACCTGGAACTGTGTTGAGGTCAAGCAGGTTTCCTCCAAATTCCCGCCAGCCCCAGCAAGCACGGCTATTATGGGAGTTCTTGTCCAAAGTGCCCAGGGGGCACCTGGTGGGCAAAGGTCAGCCTGAACATGGAAACCGATTGAGGGAGACAGGAGCCTCACTCGTCCGTCTGAAGGGCAGGCAGAAGATCACCTTTCCCTGGTACCTCTGGAGAGGAAGAGAGGCAGGAGCAGGAGGAAGCCCCCTTCAGCGGGTAATTCTTCTGATTTCATGAGATGCCGCAGAAGAAAACAATAAAGCTGAACGGAATGATGGCCTGGAGTTCGTATGATCTTATTGTTTCAATAAATTAAAGGCAGCCTTTGACTGAGAGGCTGGATAGACAGAGTCTTTGCCCTTCTTCCCACCCACCTTCCCCGCAGTGCTGAGGCACCTTGAAAACTAGCAAATTTACGATGGCATCAGTCCACAAAAGCTGATGCCGTAATTAATCTGTTGGTCTTTAAGCTCCCGCAGTGTTATTTGTGACTTTAATAAAAAGTGGGAATTTTGTATTTCCAATGATTGACTGATCTTTCCCACACAGTATTTTTTGCTACTTCAGATTATGACTTGGAGCTACTACTCGGAGTCCAGAATCCCAACCCTGAGCCGAAGCAAGACCTGCAGGGCCCTGGATTCATTTGTCAATGAGGCAAAGGCCTTGCCAGGGAAGACCAGGGCCTTAAGAAGGGGGCCGCAGATCAGCGGCTGAGCACCCCCACTAGACACAGAAGGCCCTAGGCACAATCCCCAGTTGCTCCCCTGCCCCAAACTCCAGAGAGCTGGAAGCAGGATGGGGAAGCAGTTTCTCAAGGAGAACAGGGCTGCTTGAGCACCAGTAGATCCATGTGCAGGGATGGTTTGTTTGGACTGGAGGGAAGGTGCCTTTCGGGACCAGAGTCCAGACCACCCACACTTGATATTCTAGTTGCCACCACCTCGGGGCAAGAGGGAGGGGGGTGTAGCCTCAAAAAGAGGGGCTATGGAGGCCAAAGAGCCTCCTGCCCCCACCAGTCACCCTGACCTCCACTCAAGCCAAATATGGAAGACCAGCAGTCTATTGGGCAGGTCCTCCAGACCCAAGCTTCACCCAAAAGCCAAGATGCAACTCCTCATGGAAAAGGTGTGAACACATCTGAGGAATCCCTCAGGTGACTCACCTGGCAATTAGGAAGCTACAGACATCAGAGGCTGAAGTTCAAGACCCTGGGCTGACTGCCAACACCCTGCCCAGCCAAAGAGCTTCTTCATGGAATCATAGAATTGTAGAGTTGAAGGGACCCCCCCAAAGGGTCATCTAGTCCAACCCCCTGAAATGCAGGAATCACAGAATCCCTGAGAGATGGCCACCTTGCCTCTGTTTCAAACCCTTCAAGGAAGGAGAGTCCACTACCTTCTGGTGTTATCCGCTCCGCTATCAGAAAGTTCTTCCTAATGTTTACTCATAATCTCCTTTCTTTTCATTTGGATCCATTGCTGTGGAGCAGGAAACAAGCTATGGTGTCACTTGGCACCTCATTTCCTAGTACTAAGGGAAGCCGCAGTCCAAGGGGAATCTGGACCAAAGAACCACGACAATGAGCCTCTCCCTCTGTGGGTCCAATAGGGAGCCTCAGAAGACCCTGATACTGCACAGGAGGCACCTGGACCAATGACCATCAACGCCTCAGGAGCATCAACAGGCTCCAAGTGCCCCAAAGAGGACCCAGTCCCATCCTTGCACCAAGGTAGCAGGTCTCCCACTTAAGGAAAGCTCCAAGGGCATCAGGCTCAAGGGAGAAGAGGGATCAGCCCACCTTTCCCAGCCTCTCTGGCCAATTCCAGCCTGTAAACCTAAATGCTACGCTCACAGCCCAGAGCTCAGACCTTCCAGTGTAGCACATGCACACACTCAGCAGAGGCTCAAGAAAGTGGAAGAAGTCACACGCCCTTCTCAAGCCCAAGTGCTCACAAGCAATGCACCAAAGTACAACAAAATTCTCAAAGATGCCACACTTTTCATTTGCTCCCCGCACTGATCCAGGTTTTTTCAACCATCCGTATTTCATGATGCTTTGAAAATTGAAGAACTGTAGAGGAATAGAATGATCAAAGGAGCATGTTGCACTTCCAAGCAGATAAACAGTCTAAAAATCAACCTCTGACGGCTCTCTATTTTTATACTGAGAAAAGAGGCAAAAACAGGATAAATTAAAACCATCTGATGTTCTGATGATGGCCCCACAAGGAAGCCTTTGCCAACCTGGCCAGCCAACCTCTGCTTTAAAACCTCCAGTGAAGGAGAGTCCGCCACCTCCCAAAGGAGTTCATTCCACTGTCCACTGTTCTTCCTGATGTTTAGTCAGAATCTCCTTTCTTGGAACTTGAATCCACTGGTTCTACCCTCTGGAGCTAGAAAAAACAAGCTTGTTCCCTCTTCCATGTGACAGCCTTTTGAGATATTGGAAGATGGCTCTCATATCTTCTCTCAGTCTTTTTTCCAGACTCCTTCAATCATTCCTCATAAGGCTTGATCTTCTTGGTCCCCCTCCTCTGCATACGTTCCAGCTTGTCAACAACTTTTTGAAATTACAGCACCCAGAACTGGACACAGTATTCCAGGTGTGGCCTGACCAGGGCAGAATAGAGTGCAAATATTACTTTCCTTGATCTGGACATAAGACTTCTGTTGATGCAGCCTGGAATAGCATTAGGTTTTCCTTTCTTTTTTTGCTGAAGGAGTGTTTCCACCCCCATCGTTCAGCCTGGACACTAAAGTCCAGCTCCCAGGACCTTATTGTGGTTCCCTCACTGCAACAAGTAACCAGGCAGAAGGACTTTTCGGCAGTCTCCACCCACACTGCAGAACGCCCTCCAGGCAAATGTCAACGAATTGAACAGCTATATCATGATTTTTTGCAAACATCTGAAGGAAGTTCTGTTTTGGGAAGCTTTCAATTTTTGCTGTTGTTTTTTCCTGTATTTTTGTTGGAAGCTGCCCAGAGTGGCTGGGGCAACACAGTCAGGTGGGCAGGGTATAAGAAATATAGGGAGGTATATAAATTAAATAAACAAAAATAATCACCACACTCTTGGCTTGTGTTAAGCTTGGGGTCTACTAAGACCCCAAGATCCCTTTCAAGTGAACTACTAATAAGCCAAGTGTCCCAGTGCAGCTGGTTCTTCCTTCCTAAGTGCAGAGAACCTGACATTTGTCCCTGTTTAAATTCATTTTGTTAGTTTAAGCCCAGTTCTCATATCTGATAAGGTCATTTTGAATTCTGATTCTGCTTTCTGTGGCATTAGCTACCCCTCCCAATTTGGTGTCATCTGCAAATTGGATGAGCGCCCCCTCAATTCCTTCATCCAAGTCATTTATAAAGACGTTGAACAACAACAGGCCCAGGACAGAACCCTGCAGCACCCCACTTGTCACTTTTCCCCAGGATGATGAGGAACCAGACGCTTGGACTCCAACTCCCATCAGCCCCTGGGAGCAGCAGCACAAATCATCTAGGACGCACAGGTTGGCAATGGCAGCTATAAAACAACGGGGCAAAACTAAGTTTAAGCTTCGCCAGGGAAAGGCCTTCTCAGCCCTCCTTAGCCGGCATCTGCCTAGCATTCCCAGGAACATTTAAGAGAAATCAGAAGGTAGAAGGTGTAGGCAAAAGCGAGCAGAAGTTGATGCCACATCCTGGTTGCAAAGAGACAGGGCACAGAAGTTTAGGACACTGGCTCACGGCAGCCTCCCCTCTACCATCCAACCAGACCACTGACCGCCATGGACAGCCTTTGTCTTAAAGGCCGCAGAATGCCCAGAATAATTGCTTGTTAGAAGCAATAAGCAATACTTGGGTGGATTCAAGATCCCTGGGCAAGAGGTTGGGCTCTCGAGTCCCAGCAGGAAGCGAATGTTCATTCCATCCCCATCTATCAGGGAGGGCGGCCTCAGAGCCCCAGTCTTGCTCCCCACCAACCCTGGCCATCCTCCTCCTCCTCCCTCCCTCTCTCTCTTCCTGGGAGTGGCCCATCCTCATCTTCCAACTAGGGTTAGAAACTCAGCTATATCAGCTAGGCGCCAAATGGCACTGTAAATCTAGGTTACGGTTGCCACAAAAGAGTGTCTATTTGCTAGGGGGTTGGACTAGATGACCTATGGGGTCCATTCCAGTGCTACAATTCTACGATTCTAGGACCTCAACTACATTGCTTGACTGCAGCTTGTTATAACTTATAACAGTGCACTTGTCTCAGTATGCAAGAAGGAGAAACACACACACAATGGAAATGGAAATACAGTGGTACCTCTGGATGCAAACGGGATCCGTTCCGGAGCCTCGATCGCATCCTGAAGCGGAGCAACCCGCATCTGCGGGTCACGATTCATCGCTTCCGCGCAAGCGTGTGACATCATTTTGAGCGTTGGCACATGCACGAGCGGCGAAACCCGGAAGTAACACACTCCGTTACTACCGGGTCACCATACCCAAGGTATGACTGTAACTATGGACTAAGTTTTTAAACTGTGGTCGCCAACCTGTTCCCCAGAAATCTCCACTTAGTCGCAACTGGACCCACGTCAGTAGCAAAGCGCGCCTGGGAAATCTCGAGTGCTGCTTCCCACCAGAGAAAGGCTTCTCCACACCCCTCCTGTCTTCAGCCTTTTGCACTGCTACTGGGGGGGGGGGCTCCCTGGCCTGCGTTTATTTTGCAGGGGGCCTTCCACACAGAGAAGCATTGTCTTTTCCCCAGAGTGTGGAAGCTGGCGGCCAATCAGCCATTGTTTGCTGCTCCGGCACCCCTCCCCCAGCACAGGCCAACCTGACTCAAGGTTTTGTTTGCTTCCGACAGGCAGCTACTGTCCCGGTCCCATCGCCAAGCAACACGGAGGGAGGGCCAGGACCCCCGGCAGAGCCCTGGGCGGGGATGCCAAGAGGGACACCGCTTCCAGGCAGACCTTCTGACCTTCCTCAGACCCTTATGATGGGATGGTCCTTTGGTCAGCCCTACAGGAGAGAAAGCTGGGTAGAGGCGGCACTGTCACCTATACCTTGGATGGATTCCGAGCGGCACAGAAAAGTGTTTCCAATTCCTGAGGGTCATTCGCAAGCTTCAAAGCATGGGCGGGAAATAGACACACTGATTTTTTCCTGACAAAAGCCACGTGGCATTTAGCATTAGCCGAAAAATTAACTGATAAATTATGTGTTGCCAAAGGCTCGGAGGACCCAGACTCGGTGCTGTGGGATGGGATTTTATCTTATAGCTCAACAAATGCAGACAGCCAGGACTCCCCCTCCACTACACCACCTGAAATTTGGCTTTCCTAATGGTCTTCAAGTACTTTGCCAACCTAATTTTAAGTCTCTCCCGGATTTACCGTGCAGCTTTTTGTACTTCTATTATTTCCATTGCATTCATTTGCTTGCTTTACTTCAATCAAATCTCTAACTACTAAGAAAGAAGAAGAAGAAGAAGAAGAAGAACAAAAAACAGCAGGATCTGCCTGCAGCATTGTCTTCGATGAAGCAGCCAGAGGTTAAGACAAGGTGTCAGAACTATGAGGCATTTCGCCCCTGCTTTGCAGCCCACTGCCTGCATGCTCCCCATAGGCTCACTCCCAGGGGGAAACTGAGGACGAAACCAGGAAGGATACACTAGGGCATCTGCCCCACCCCCCATGGCACACATGGATGCCAGCATCAGACTACACAGCATCCAGTGGATTGCAAGGAAACAAATCCCACCAAATTCCGTGATTCCTACTTCTGCAGCTGCCGATATCCTCCTTTTCGGGCCAGACAGAAGCTACTTGCAGTTCACAGGAATACAGGCAACGTCTCATAGCCAGCAAGGAGATGGGGGCGCAAGATGCACCCATGCACACGCCCCTCTGCCACAGGGGCAGGGTCAACCTTTGCAAGCCTGGGGTGCCTTCTGGACGCGAACCAATCCAACACAAAACAAAGCTGCGCCAACCACAAAGTGCCTCCCCCAGCCCTAGGCAGGAGGGGAGCCTGTGGTCCAGAGAAAGCAAAGCATAGGAAGAGGGTGGTGCTTTCTGTTGAGACACCAACATCTTCAGAGTAATCAATATCAAACCACCACCAACACGCAGGCCGTGCCCCCCCCCCCAATGGAGCGGCAGCAAGCATCTGATTGTTCCTCCCCGTTAAAAGGAGGCAGGTATGACACAGGCAGCAGTGGTGGCGGCGGTGGCAGCTGTGCGTGCCATTGATCCCCCTTCTGTGGGGTGGGGTGGGGTTGGGCAGGCAGACTGAGTGTCTGGGTGGGGACCAGGCGGATGGGGTGAACTGGCGTGACTCCTCCATCAGTCCATAATCCTTGCTCGGAGGAGATTACTCCTGACTCAGCTCTGGTGGGGATGCTGGGTGGGTCCATCAGGGGCCTAAGGGGGGGGGGAGGCAACTGGGTCAGCCTTTTGGGCCGCTGCAATGGGGCAAGGCGGTGGGGCAAGTCCCTGAATGGGGCAGGGGATTCCTCTGCTGCCCTCCGCTTCCTGTCCCTCCATCTCGGAGTCCAAGATTCTTGTTGACCCCCAGAGTCTGTGACACCCCCAGCCCCATGCTTTTGAGGGGGGGGGGGAATCGAAGGGCCCTGGCCAGGTCTTGCGCCTCCCCCCCCTCCAAGAGGACCAACGCCTGCAGAGAGAGAGCCATGCCGCCACCGGCAGGAGCCCCCCGCCGGTCCCTCCGCTCTTGCCGTGCCTCAGTTTCCCCATCGCCCAGCCCGGCCGGAGCAGCACAAAGCGCCCAGCCCCGGCCATTGTCAGCGGCGTCGCCGGCATGTCCCCCCCCCCGAAGGGCCGGAGCCCGCCTCTCCCTTCCCCCCCCGGGCAAGGGCAGCGCCCACCCCAGACAAAGGCCCCGCCGCCGCCGCCCCCGGAGCAGCAGCACAAAGCCCGGCGAGGGCCCAGGTGGGCGAGGCCCGGCGGGGGGGGGCTGCGGACAAAGCGGGCGGGAGGCGCCCCCACGGGACTGCTTCTCCTCCCTCACCGGCTCTCCTCGGCGTCGCCCTCCTCCCCGTCCGTCGTCGCCGCCGCCGCCCTCCGTCCGCGCTGCCGCCGCCGCCTCCTCACCTGCTTCCCTCGCCGCGCGCGCCAGGCAGGGGGCGGAGCCAGCTCGCGCCCGCCCGCCCGCCCGCCACTCGCCGCCCGGGCCAATCGCCGCGCCGCCGGCGCCCCAGGGGGGCGGGACTACGACTCCCGAGGGGCGGGGCCGAGGGACCAGGGCGCGGCCGCCTCCATCCTCGCGTCGCCATGGCGACGGGGCCTGCTCGCTCCGGGGACCCAGGCCAAGCCCGCGCCCGACGACCGGGACCCCTCGCAGGCCGCCTTGTTTGGGGGTGGGCCTCGGGGCCAGGCCGGGGGGGGGACAGCCGGGGGGGCGCTCTGCTCACCGGGGCGGGCCCGAGGTTTTGGACCGCAGGGGCCGCCTGTCGTAGCAACCATCCCGTCCTCGCCGTCGCCAAATGTACATGTGAAAAGGATCTCGGAGTCTTGGTTGACCACAAACTTGACATGAGCCAACAGTGTGACGCGGCAGCTAAAAAAGCCAATGCAATTCTGGGCTGCATCAATAGGAGTATAGCATCTAGATCAAGGGAAGTAATAGTGCCACTGTATTCTGCTCTGGTCAGACCTCACCTGGAGTACTGTGTCCAGTTCTGGGCACCACAGTTCAAGAAGGACACTGACAAACTGGAACGTGTCCAGAGGAGGGCAACCAAAATGGTCAAAGGCCTGGAAACGATGCCTTATGAGGAACGGCTAAGGGAGCTGGGCATGTTTAGCCTGGAGAAGAGGAGGTTAAGGGGTGATATGATAGCCATGTTCAAATATAGAAAAGGATGTCACCTAGAGGAGGGAGAAAGGTTGTTTTCTGCTGCTCCAGAGAAGCGGACACGGAGCAATGGATCCAAACTACAAGAAAGAAGATTCCACCTAAACATTAGGAAGAACTTCCTGACAGTAAGAGCTGTTTGACAGTGGAATTTGCTGCCAAGGAGTGTGGTGGAGTCTCCTTCTTTGGAGGTCATTAAGCAGAGGCTTGACAACCATATGTCAGGAGTGCTCTGATGGTGTTTCCTGCTTGGCAGGGGGTTGGACTCGATGGCCCTTGTGGTCTCTTCCAACTCTATGATTCTATGATTCTATGAAATGCCTGCAGATAGACTGCCCCTGGACCTGGAGGTTCCATTAGGACAGAAGAGGAGCCCATCTGCTGGATCAGGCCCAATCTCTGCATATTGTCTAGCATCCCCCCAGTGACCAACCAGATGTCCCCGAGGGAAAGTCGACAGGAGGATTCAAGGACAAGGCCACTTTCACTCTCCAGTGGTTTCCAGCACAGCCATCAACAGCCCTCTCCTCCGCCATTACTGAGTGCTCACTGGAAGGACAGATCCTGAAGCTGAGGCTCCAAGACTTTGGCCACCTCATGAGAAGAGAAGACTCCCTGGAAAAGACCCTGATGTTGGGAAAGATGGAGGGCACAAGGAGAAGGGGACGACAGAGGACGAGATGGTGGGACAGTGTTCTCATAGCTACGAACATGAGTTTGACCAAATTGCGGGAGGCAGTGGAAGGCAGGAGTGTCTGGCATGCTCTGGTCCAGGGAGTCACGAAGAGTCGGACACGACTAAACGACTAAACAACAACAACTTCCATTACTTTGTCCACTCCTCTTTTAGAGCCATCCCAACTGGTGGCCATCCCTGCCTCTTGCAGGAACATTCTTCATAGTTTAACTGTGTGCCATGTGAATAAGCGTTTTCTTCTATCTGTTCTGAGACTTCCAACATTCAGCTTCACTGGATGTCTGCAGGTTCTGGTGTCATGAGAGAGGGAGGAAAGCTATCCTTCATCAACTTTTCCCACGCCATGCATAATTCTATAAACCTCTGCGTCGCCTCTTACTTGCCTTTTCTCTAGACTAAAAACTCCCAAACCCTGCCGCCTTCCTTCACAGGGGAACCACTGTCTCCATTCCCTTGATCATTTCAGTGGCCCTTTTCTAGACTTTGTCCAGCTCTACAATATCCTCTTTGAGGTGAGGCGACCAGAACTGCACACAATATTTCAAATGCGATAGCACCACAGATGTCTATAATGGCATGATATTGGCAGTTTAATTTTCAATTCCTTTCCGAAAGATCCCTAGCCTTGGATTTGCTTTTTCATGACTGCCACACACTGGGCTCCAGATTCCTCCAGGACCACCCTGCTGTCCCACTCTCTGTCTTCCTCACAGAACCTGTGGCAGCCATGCGCCCATGCCCCAAATTAGGGGATTTCTCTGTTCCTTGAGAAGCTCCCATTCCCCACCCCCTGGGTCTCCCCACACTTTCCCCTTGACCACTAATAGCTGCATATTTATAATTGAAATTAGATATAATAATGAATGATCATTATAAGCACAGCTTCGGTGCTCTGTATTTAGAGCTTTGCAAGCAGAAATTAGCAAGTGGCCATGGGACCTCTTCTCTTCAGCGTGGGCAGCTGAGGTTGGATTCTGGTGGGCTGAAAGCTGCCTTCTGCTTCTGGCATCCTCTTCTGCCACTGTGATTTGCAGAGGAACTTTTGAGAAAACACGCGCCTCCCTCCGTCCTGGAGCTCTAGCTGGTTTGCACATATATCAGTCGCAGCAGCCCTTGTCCGAGGGATGCTGTGATTGACAGCAGAGCCAGACCAGAGTTGGGGATGTAGATCCTCTGGAACGCCACCAGGGGGCTGGAGCCACTCTCTGATTGGCTCCCCAGCCAGCCAGAGGGGGGTGGAGCCAGCACTTTGGGAGGGAAAATAAAAGGAGCAGTTTCTGATAAGGGAAAGTGCAAATAATAATAATAATAATAACAATAATAATAATTCTTAATCATTTATACCCCTCCCATCTGGCTGGGTTCCCCCAGCCACTCTGGGCAGCTTCCAGCCCATTTAAAAACCATAATAAAACGTCAACCCTGAAAAGTGAAGCTTCGCCAAAGGGGGCATTAAAGTGAGACAGGGCTCCTTTTGGCAGGGGGCAGAAATAGGGATTTGGAGAGGCCTGGACTGAGGGAGAAGTGGCTCTGCTTGGAGCCTCCATCCTCTCTGAGGAGAATCTGGTCTCTGGCCAGAGGAAGAGCCGGTGGAGCCTCTGGGGTAGGCAGGCAGATAGACGGATGGACAGACAGGCGTCACATGGGGGGCTGAGTCAGGGGCAGGAGAGGGAGAAGCCATGGGAAGACCGTCTGAACCGGGGTCTCCTTCCTGTCAGGAGGGGAGAGGTCTTCCCGAAGGAGAAGTGGACCCCGAGGTCGGTGATCTTATTTGGAACACCTCCACAGTGGTCTTGCTAAAAGAGCCAGGAGAACTAGGTGGGTTGCCTTGTGCCTGACCTTTGAGTGTAGTGTACCGAATTTACAGAACAAGAGACTATTGGAGAGAAACACATTAACTTACAGTCTTTTAAAGGGATTTCATATATTAAAAATATCCATTCTTTTCCTCTATTGCCGTGAACAGATGACTTGTCTTTAAAAAATACTGCTGTCTTTTAAAAAGTGCTTTTAAAGATGAGCCCTGGGCACTTTCAAGGTCAAGGATCACTTTCTTGACATTCCTATCGTGTCTTTTGACTCACAGGTTCCCAAGGCAGCTCACACAGCTGCAGACATGCAGCTACACAGGTCTGACCTGCGAAGGAAGAAGCCCACAGACTATTAGAATCACCCTGTACAACACAGCCTGCTCTGCAGTTTGGTCTGCTCTGGCAACACTTTAACTGTAGAGGTCATCCACATTTCCACCACCGGTGCCTCTGAACTGGTGCAGCACCACTCCGCTTACCTGATGGGACTCTGTAGCTACCAAAGCTGTGGCTCTGCTGAAGGCTCTGTGCTTTGGCAGGCAAAGCCCATGGCCGCCTGGAAATGATCTCAGGGATTGGGCCCTCCTCCTCTACTGCCATGGCAGAAGGATTCCTCTGCCTTTCATGCTCCCAACTGATCTTGCTCTCGATTGACTCACAGGCTTGCAGGTCCAGTGGCAAATCTCTGTTAGGTCAGCTTTCAGAAAGGCCGCTAGATTCTGAACTTAAAAATGGAAAGCGTAATGCTGGTGGTCAACAAAAGAGGTTTAAAGACAGTTTCAAGGCAAAAAATTATTTTAATGTAGTATAACCACTGACAACTGGGAAACACTGGCCTGCGAGTGCCCCAGTTGGAGAACAGCCTTTACTAAAGGTACCATGGACTTTGAAGACACTCGAACTCAGGACGCAAGGGAGAAATGTGCTAAGAGGAAGGCATGCTTGGCAAATCCACACCGTGATCAGCTCCCGCCCAGAAACCAATGTCCCCACTGTGGAAGGACGTGGGGATCCAGAATTGGCCTCCACAGTCACTTACAGACTCATTGTTAAGACGGTGTTCATGGAAGACAATCTTACTTGGCTACGAGGGATCACCAAAGAAGAAGATGATCTGTAAGTGTCAGCAACACAATGCGCTGTTCTACTTCTCTGGGTTGGAGCGATGGCATCCCGCTCATCAATGTTGTCACGGGTGTGTGACGCCATACGGAGCACGGGCGCTCTGGGTTCGTCAGCGCAGTCATGCGACAGATCCAGCCCTCCAGTGCAACGCTGCTGACGAGCACAGTGTGCCTTCTCCTCTGGACACAAAGGTGCTCTGGGCTCGTCAGGAGGGCTGAGCCGAAGGGCTGCATCTCTGGCACGGCACAACACTGCTGACTAGTCCAGAGTGTCTTTCTGTCCGAAGGGAAGGCGCACTGTGCTCACCTGCAGGGTCACACTGGAGGGCTGAAACTTCGGCATTCTGGCATGACCCGGCTGATGAGCCTAGAGTGCTGGTGCTCCGTAAGGTGTCACATGCATGTGATGTTGTGCACGTGTGACATGCAACGCATGATGTGCCCCCTCAATGTTGGGTGTAACTTGGCGCCTCTGCCCTCGTCAGTCATGCGTTGTGGCAACATCTGTCTCACACTGGCAGAAGAATCTACGTGTCCTTTTGTTGTTTCAGCTTGGTTAACACCGCTTATTTGTTCTCATTAATTTGGTCTCATTCCCCTCTGGGGATGGGCTTTCCATCTGGGTACAGTGGTACCTCAGGTTAAGTACTTAATTCGTTCCGGAGGTCTGTTCTTAACCTGAAACTGTTCTTAACCTGAAGCACCACTTTAGCTAATGGGGCCTCCTGCTGCTGCCGCGCCGCCAGAGCACGATTTCTGTTCTCATCCTGAAGCAAAGTTCTTAACCCGAGGTACTATATCTGGGTTAGCGAAGTCTGTAACCTGAAACGTATGTAACCTGAAGTGTATGTAACCCGAGGTACCACTGTATTGTGATTCTGGTAACACCTTAGTCTGGTCCCTTTGCCAGGACTGCTAACACCCAGCTTAGCAATTGGGATGGGTATCCAGAGTATGTGAGGGCGCATCTTGAGCATTATGACATCCCTGTTCCATTCATGCCATGAGTCAGGTCCCCTCCCCTCCATCCCCGGATCACAATTTTGTTACCTTTTGGAATGAAATAAAACCATTTATTTGGCTTTTTTGGGTGAACTTCTATGTGTTTCAGAAAATGGGGTTTCTTTGCCTTATGATGATGCTGGGAGCCTAGTATGGCTTGTCTAATGGACATGGTTGCAGCGGTGTCAAAGGGTGGCTCTCTCTGCTCACTGGTTTCCCCCCTCACAGAATCATAATTTAATTTTGATGACAGCTTTCATAGCAATGTTGACAGCGGTCTTGAACTATTTTTCAGGCAGGCAGGCTAACAATCTGTTGAAATAAATAATAATTTATGTAGCAGGCCACAGAGCTGAGGTGGTTGTGTGCAATATCATGAGTGTGCAAGGCGGATAATCGTAGTCCCGTGATGCAGTTGAGGAGCTGGAGGTGTGCCATAGGAATGCCCAAGAGGAGGAAGGTGCAGGGGCCAGTAAGAGGAATGATAATCAAAATTTAAGCTTAAGCAATAAAAAGGAAATAACCGCTTGGGGCACTTTTGGGCATCATATTGACTGGGCTGGGCAGCTGGTGCCAGGGATGGAGCTTATGGGGCAGGGAACAGGGCTGGGGAAGGCAGCCGAGGCTCAGGAAGGTGTCTCAAAGATAGCATGGCAGCACTGAAATGTTAGATGTTGATTCTGACGCCAGGGCACCATCTCCTGGGTCATAGAGCACACTGCAGTTCCATTTTAAATTAATGCCCCTGGGATTAACAGGGAAACTATGGCTAGAGGGGATGTTCTAGTCTCCTAGCCAGTCCTTTTTCCCCTTTCTTGCCACCCACATGGCACCCAAGTCCCTCACCGGTGTGATGTTTTGGGCCTTGCAGTCAGACACCATTCCTTCTGGGCAGTGAGGTGGCCAGACTGCCCAGCGTCTGGTGACTTAGAGGCAAATGGGAGTTCAGAGGCTGGTGTGGTTTATCTCCATTAGAGCTTTCTGGACTGGGCATTGCCAGTGTGCGCCCAGCGGCTGAGCTCATGGCATGCCCGCCTTGCCTTGCTGTCGTCCGAGAGTCAGGGAACGCTACACATTCCTTGCCATCCAGGAGAAGGCGGCAGCTCATACACACAAGAGTTTTGAATGCGGGCTTTGCAGATCTTTGTCAACCAGTCAGCGGTGGGCTAGAGAGTCAGCAAGAATAATCTCAGGGATTCAGTTGCTAATATCAGTCCTGTTTGTTGCCATGTCTTTCGAAGAAACCATGACTTTTGGAGTCCATTTCCCAAAGGAAACGTAGCATGCATGCAAACAAGCGCAGGCCCACACCCAGCCTACCTAGATGCCTAGCAAGTTCAGCTCATTTTAAACTGTTTAAAGTATTTTAGAATCAAGTGGTGAATGCAGCGAGAGTGACGGAGGGAGAGCCTGAAGCTCTGCACTGGATTACTTGCTCGCTTTCCACAGAAGATTTTTTCTCCTGGCTGGTACCTTGGACAGCGAATGGCTTGGCTGCTTTTCAGGCCTGTGGAAGGTCCTGCCTGGTGAGCCCCAAGTTGGATTACTCAGAGGTGCTGCTCTTTCAGTTGCACCAGCGGAGGATTAAAGGAAGCCGACCCTCTCAAGGCTCAGCCTCCCAGCTGGAAGAGGGGCCTGGATTGCAATGGGGACTTGCCCCTTCAGGCACTGAATGCTCTCCTCCCTCTTTCTGGGGACCACCCAGGCCAACAGCAACAGCATTCAGTCTGACCTCAGGACCCTCAGTGTGGGTCAGCTCAGACTAGAATCATGGAAAGGACCCCAAGGGTCATCTAGTCCAACCCCCTGAAATGCAGGAATCTCAACTAAAGCATCCAAGACAGGTGGCTATCCAACCTCTGCTTGAAAACCTCCAAGGAAGGAGAGGCCACCACCTCTGAGGGCATCTGTTCCACTGCTGAGCAGCTCTTGCTGTCATAAAGTTCTTCCCGATGTCTACTTGGAATCTACTTTCGTGTAACTTGAAGCCATGGGTTCGAGTTTGCTTCATCTGGTGCAGACTGTGCCTTGTGAAGCTGTCAACAGCTGATGCCCAGCAGATCTCCAGTTCTGCCTCCAGTACAAAGGTGTTTGCGTGCCCCGTAGAGACCACAAATGTTTTAGGTGGCTGTCCCCCAGCTATGGAGATTTCTGCCCTTGGAAACCTGCCCTCCATCCAGCTACCCGTTGCCTTGGAGCTCTGCTTGTGAGTCTCATGATGCTGGGCTGGACGGGGCCCTCTTTGGTCTCATCTGGCAGGGCACCCAGAATGCTAAAACTTGGGTCTTAGATGCTGGCTGGCAAGACCTCTTCTGCAGCAGCTGTTCTTGGGTGTCCCACCCCCTGTAAGCCTCTCCCCTTCGCAGTACCTTGGACCCAGCCCAGTGAAAGCAGGGGCATCCCCTTCCTTTGCCCACTCAGGGACACCAATGCAGAGTGCCCCCTCCTGAGGCTGTGCCAGCCTCCCCCTGCCCACCCGCAGTGTATCTGCCAAGCCCAACCCCATGGCTGTTGAAGAGAGAACTCTTATTCCTCAGTGGCACATTGAATCGTAGTGTGGTGGTTGCGGCTTATATATTTATATCGTATTCTTAGCCACTCTGTGTGCTGTCCCTTTTTAGCAGAAAATATTCCAAGTTCAGGCGTCTCTCCCGTTACGTGCATTTGACTTGCACACAACTGCATATATGCACAGCACTGGCAAATAATAGATTGATTTAAACTGCGGATAGGGCAGAAACTGCCCAAAATAAGCAGGGAACATCTCTGCCTAAGGAAGTGAAGGCAAGCCCCTTCAGAGGCTGCGCAAATGACCCACTGGGCCTCATCTTTTTCTAATCCTACCCTGCGTTCCCTGGAGTGCGCCTTGTTGGTGCCTCAGAAGTCCTGGGCTGAGAAGTCAGGTCCCCTGGGTAAGGGCAAGAGGACGAGCGTTTGGGGGTCGGAGCCTGATGTTGGGGTGCCCAAGGAGTGTGAGAGATACAAGCCGAGAAAACCATCTCTCTCAAACATCTTGTTTCCATGCAACTTCCACCTTTTCTGGACAACTCTTTGCTGGGGTCTACTGAAAACCACCCAGCTGCCCCGCCCAGGCTGTGAAAGCTGGCAGGCTGTCCTAGTTTGCAGAAGACTGCTTGAAGGCCTATAGCAGGGGTCAGCAACCTTTTTCAGCCAGGGGCCGATCCACCGTCCCTCAGACCATGTGGGGGGCCGGACTGTATTTTGAAAAAAATATATGAACGAATTCCTATGCCCCACAAATAACCCAGAGATGCATTTTAAATAAAAGGACGCATTCTTCTCATGTAAAAACACACTGATTCCTGGACCGTCTGTGGGCCGGATTGAGAAGGCGGTTGGGCTGGATCCGGTCCACGGGCCTTAGGTTGCCAACCCCTGGCCTATGGGGCCCAGATCCTGGGCAGCAAATCAAGGTGTGTGTAAAGCTGGCACGAGGCTGCATCTCGCTGCCACCAAACCCTACTTTTGCGGCTACAGAGCATGACTCTGGCTCCCGTCACTGTAATCTCAGTCCATGTTGCGTAAGCCACCCTGAGAAGATACGGAATGGCAGGATACCAGCTTCCTAAATCTGTGCCAAGGGAAACACAGGCAGGGCCCCAGGGTGCCTACAATGGAGCAGGGGGGTCATTTGCTGTGCAGGGGGGCTGAGCACTGAGGCAGCAGGGGAATAAGACCTTCCTTGTTCTCCCAGCACCATTAAACCCTTAAAGCGCTTCTCACATCTTTTATCATATTGACTAATTTCCCAGTTGAGAGGGAGTTCTCTCTGGGTTTCTTTTTTGGCGAGGGGGGGGGGGAGAGAGGCAGCTGTGTGGCTTATATGGGATTGTTTCGATTTCTATGTGACAATCAAATCAAATGGCTTCCAGGTGACTTTCTGGGGAGCCAAAGATGCATCTGACACATGTTTCTCATCCTTCCTTCTCCCTCCCCACCCCCATGTGTGGTGTAATTTGAACCTGTGCTTTTTGCCCAGTGGCACACGCAGACCTGGGGGTCCTTCACAGGACCTCTGACCTTGTCTCAAGAGTGCTAGACTGAGGGGGGGGGGCGGTCTTAAAAAAAAAAAGTAACTAAGAGCAATCAGTGAAATAAATTGTAGCTATAATAAATAGATGCGGGTAGTCTTGCCACTACAACCAGGTTTAGTGCTTCGAGTTGGCACTACATCCAGGCCTGGCAAGATTACGCCTGAAAAGCAGGCACAAATCTCTCGTTAAAAGACACATTCCCAAACGCAACCCGTATTTGAATCATAGTGGTTACCTGGCACTTGTTGTCTTCTGCTTAAATACTAAACATTGAGCATGGAATCAGAGTTGGAAGGAACCTCAAGGGCAGCGTTAAAAACTCAAGAGATATATCAGTGAGGTGCCAAATGGCTCCTTAAGGCAGGGGAACCGTCGCCAAAACAGAACGCCTAGTTCCCATTTGGTTGGCTGTAAAGTTGTATTTTTCAGTACGACTTTTTGGTTCCTGAAATTCATTCAGATTGTGCAGATAAAGTATCACGGTTAGATTTCTACAGGATGTGTTGCTTGTGTGTGAAAATGGGCAAGATCCAAGGATCCGCAGGCAGGCACCTCCAGGTGGAGACACCAGGCACCTGGGCATCTTCACTTGGTCACAAGTGGCAAATTGGTGGATTCTGAACGCTGCCCAAGGACCCTGCAGGAATCTCAACCGCATATATGTAACGAAATAACACAGAACTCTGTAGAAATTGGGTATTCTTTGGATGTCAGCTGGGTAAGGGCAAGTTGTCAGAAGTAGATTCTGCTTTTGACAGGCATTTTACCAGCAGTAGCGGCCGGTTCCCATCAAAAAGGCGAGTTGCCTCCTTCTGGGTGTGCGAAGGCAGCCTTCCCACAGCCAGCGACTGAAGGGCGTGGATTCTCAGGCTCCACAGCCGTGTGAAGCATGTGGCCTGGTGGATCCCCCGACCCTTTTGCGAGAGTGGCCTTCTCTGCTAGGAGAGACCCCCGGGGGGGCCTGCCTGTGCCCCCGGCCTCCCAGCAAGAGCCACCCTGCCGCTGCCACGAACGCTCGGAGCACGAGGGCGACAAAAAGCACATGACGGCAGACAGGCTCCGGGGCTTTTTCGCTTTTCCTTTTTGCACAAAACAGAACATTTATTCAAGTGTTCTCCAGCACAAAGTACATCAGCAAAGGAGCCTTTCCTTCTCAGAGTGTCCTGGGCACAAATGGAAAAAAAACAAAAAACGCAAAGGATGGGATGGAGGCGGAACGGACAGACTTTCTAACATCTGCGGCACCATGGACCTTTTAATTATTTTTATAAAACAGCTATGTCACGAGCAATACTTACACAGAGATACAACAGCCTGCCCGGCGGGGGTGGAGAGCTGGGCCTCCCACCCCCCCACACACTTTCCACCCCTGGCATAGCAGAACCATACTCTGAAATGTACATTATTTATTTGTCAATAAATATAGAAGCAACCCTAAAAAAAAGAGAGGCGGCGGGGGGGAAAGCGGCAGAAAGGATGGCGCATCCCAAAATCATCCTAGCAAAGAAAAGTAAAGTGAGGGGGGGGTGTTGCTGGGTGCAGGGGGGGGGGCGGGGAGGCGGTCAGCGGCATGGAATGTCGGGAAGGCGGCAGCGACGGCTGGAGAGCAGGGAACGTGGCCGAGCTCTTCCCAGGATGTTGACAAGATTTATTTCTTCAGCATGAATACATGATTTCCCACAAACAGTAAAAGCGTCTCAGCTACTTCAATGCCTAGGCTAAAACACATGAAATCTTTCCTTAAAGGTTTCAAGTACAAAGTTAAAATGCCTTTTTTTCTTTTTTTTTAATAATAATATATAAGAGTAAAATAATAGAGCTCTTTTAAAACTCCACTACAAGAAAACAAAAAAAACAGTCATTGTCCAGACAGCAGACTTAAGTTAACAATAGAGATTTGTGATAAAAGAGGGATATTTTTTTAGCACCTTAGTTGCCCCCATAACCTTCTGTGGTTGACAAAGGAATTCAGGCAAGTGGGGGGGGGCAGTCCGGTTGCTCCGCTTTTCAGTCTAGGGCTGCGCAACCTGGCGGGAGGGGGGGGCCTCTTTATCGCAAGAGGAGACCAGAGTCAAGCCGGTCCCTAAAGCCACCCCCCATCCTCCCCCCCGTCTTCCTCTCGCCCCCCCCGGGGGGAAGCAGGTGGATTCTGTAGCAGACAGCAAAACAGATCCAAGACAAATACAGTGGGACGCCTTTGGGGGGGGGGAGTTGGGGGGCTGAAAAGACAAAACAGACAGGAGGTTTTCCCGAGAGGCCACTTCCAGTTTGGGGAGGGGTCTGGGGGGGGTGGGGGGAGTTCCATGAAGCTGGGTCGCTCAGAAAGAGGGTCTGCCAGGCAGACCTAAGGGAGGGGGCAGCAATTGGGGAATCCAGCTATTAGCTGCTGAATTTGGGAATGGTGGCCAGCCCACCCCCCACTCCACTGAGCCAACAGTCGCTGGAAGGAAGGCTCTGTGGGGAGGGGCCGCTGCCCCCTCCCCACCTTCGATTCTCTGCCAAGATAAGCTTCCCTGGTCAGGGGCTGGGAGCGCTCCGTGGGCTCCCTTTGGCCTGGGTGGGAAGCCCCCCCAAGGGACAGGTCATGGCCGGGAGGGGCCCCCAGGCGTCCCGCATAGCACCAAAGAAGTTAGACTAAAGTAAGCCCAAAGGCGGCCCCTTCTTCCCTCTCCCACCCCCTTGTGGCCAACGGGTGGGGGCCATCCAAGTGCCGCCTGCCCAGGGGGGCTGGAGAGAGGGAGGTGCCCGCCTGCCCACCTGCCAGGGAGGCGGCTGGGAGCGCGTCCTGCCAGACAGCCCCCCCAGTGCCCCCCTCCCTTGGCTTCCCCATCGGGTCCTGAGCGAGACCCCAGCACCTTTCACAGTTTGAGGGGAAGGGAGAGGAGGCCCCCGCCTGCCTGCCTGCTCCCCAGTTAGCACCGAGACCAGAGAGCACCCCTGCCAGCTGCAACTGCTTCACCCGCTGGGGGGGAGAAGTGGGGCGGGGGGCCAGCAGTCTCCCGCAGACCTGGCCCCCCTGCTCCTGAGCGTTGCCTCAGCACCAAGCCGCTGCCTCCGAGAGCACCATGAACGCAGGGAAGACGGCGGGGGGGGGGGAGGCAGAGGCAGAGGCGGGGGGCAGCGGGGGACCCCCAACCCGGCTCCCTGTTAGCACCAAGGGCTTCGGGCCCTGCTGGGAGCCCTCCCCACAAGCGGAAGGGAGAAGCAGCCTCCCAGGCCGCGCCCCGAGGGGCGTCCGGGGGGCGGGGGGCCAAGCTGGCCGCTCTCTGCACCCCCCTGCCCCAAAGGACTAAAGTGCACACAATTGCCAAGGGAGGCAGAGCCCAGGAACCCCGCCGCCCTCTGCGCAAGGACCCTGGGAGGAGCTGCCCCTCAACCCTGTATTTGTAGGGTGGGGGGCCTTGCAAAGGGTGGGTTGGGGGGGCAGCCGGGGGGGGGGGGACGGGTAGCACAGCCGGAGCCTGTTCAAGCAAAACAGGAGCCCTGCCGTTCACATCAGCCGCGGGTGGAAGGGGGCAGCAGCGGCACGGACCCCCCAAACGCCCCCGCGCCTACAGAGGAATGGGGAGGGGCGGGTGCCAAAGGGCACCCCCTTTATCTACCTCCCTCCCCTCATGGACCCCCCCCCCCACTGCTGAGCCTGCGGTTCCAGGGGCAGAAATGGAGGAAAGAAAGACCTCGGCTGAGTCGAGCGCCCAGTCTGCCTGCTGGGGAGGACACCCAGGGGGCCCCCCCTTGTGAGAAAGCACCAGTTTACGTGGGGGCCACTATTTGGGACACTGCGGAGGGTGGGTGGGTGGGGCCCCTGGCCTGAGGGTCGCCTTTTGCGGGGGGGAAAGCATTATTGCATGACACCCAGGGCAGAGAGCGGCACCCGCCCTTGCTAGCCCGCCTGCCCTCCCTTTCTGAGAAGCCCCCCCGGGGGCCAGCACACGGAGCCCCCCCTTAAGCTGCCACGGGTGCCCCCTCTCCCTTGATGTAGAAGCACCATTTTGAAAGTCAGTTGTACAGCAGTAACAGTACCTTTTTTTTATATATATAGACATTTCTCTCACGTAACTCTCACATATATATAAACTGTAAACAAGAGGTAAGAGCGGCTGTAGGAGCTGGACTGGTCAAGGTCTCCGGCCTGGTAGGCACCCAAATACTGTGGGGAAGGGGGGGCAGGGCGGAAGGGGGCGGGCAGCTTCCGGACCTGCGCCCCCACCCTCCGCCGCAGGAATGGCGCTGGTAGACACGAGGAGCCCCCCTCCCGGCACCTCCCTTTGTGCTCCTCGACTGAGCAGGGGCGAAGCTGTCGCCCCAAGGCCCGCTCAGCTCTGGGCTCTCCTCCTCCGTTGCGGAGGCTGGCGGGGGGGCACACGCCCGTGGGCGCCCGGACAGCCGGGCTCCGTGCCCGGGGCTCAGCCGAGGAGAGGCGGAAACCCAACGGACGAGGCGAAGCCGTCCAGAAAGAGCAGGAAATTGAAGGGTCACCAACAGAAAAGGGGGGCCGGTCGGTTGGTCTGGGGCGGTTTGACCCGGGGAGAGGATGGGCGGGTGGTAGACCCTCCCGTGGGTGGGGGGGCCCGTCCTCTCCCTCCCTCCCTCTTGCCCACCAGCCACCACCTCCGCCTCCTCTCTGGTGCCCCTTCTCTTCTGTTCGGGGGGGGGGTTGTGTTTGAGACGCCTCCTCCTCCTCCTCCTCTGCTTTGCCAGTTCCGAGGGCGGGTGTCTCTTTAGACGCAGGCAAAGTACTCCTTCAGGGGGGCAAAGAGGTGGCGGATCACTGGCACACTCCAGGAGCGACCCAGGAGTCTCTGCCTCGCCAGGCGGCTCATGTTCGAGACGTCGGTGTAGTGGACCGGGAAGCCAAAGACCCTGCAGGGAAAGAAAGGGGGCAGTCAGCACCCAGCGTGGCAGCAGGCCCCGGAGGCATAGCTGCCAACTTTTCCCTTTTCTTGCGAGGAACCCTATTGGGAACAAGGGGATTTCCCTTTAAAAAGGGGAAACGTTGACAGCTATGCCCATGTGCAGGGAGCCAGGACTCCAGCCAACCCCCCCATTCCCGCCCCACAGCACAGAATAGTTGAGTGGAAAAGGAGCCCCCAGCACCACCCAGCCCCCCCCCCCACTAACCAGGAAGGCAGGCACCCACCTCTCCATCTCGGTGCACCACAGAATGTCTTCCTTCTCGTTCATGAAGACGGGGAAATGCTGGTCTTTGCCTTGCTTGATGGAGTTGGAGCGAGTGGTGATGGTTCGCACTTTGCTGAACTGGGTGGGAGCACAGAGGGCGGAGGCAAGGTCAGCGGGGGGGGGGGCTGCGGGACGTCCACCCTGCCCCCCTCCCAGTCCATGAAGCCGGCCCCTCGCCTCCTCCAGTCCCCGCTTTGCCTGACCCCCCTGCCCTTCCTCAGCAGGGGACTCCGCTTGCCCCCAACTCTGACCAGCATCTGCAGGGGGCACTGGCAGCTTCAGCAGAAGAGGGTAGGTACCCTTGGCTTGTTCTCATGAGGATAGAAGGAGAAGCTGCTGGATCAGGCCCGTGGCCCTTCAAATCCTCACAGGGGCCAAGCAGGTGCTCCAGAGGGAAACCCGCAAGTGGGAATCGGACACAAGGGCAACTCTGCCCTCAAACTGGGATCCAGGGGCCACATGGCTGCCTTGGACTGCGGAGACAGAGCAGGAGTCTCTCACAGCCCTCTCCTCCTCCAGGAACTGGTCTGGTTCTCTTTGAAAGCCAGTACGTTTCCGAGCACAATTCAAAGTGTTGGCGCAGACCTTGAAAGCCCTAAACGGCCTCAAAGGTCCCGTAGACCTGAAGGAGCCTCTCCACCCCCATCATTCTGCCCAGACACTGAGATCCAGCGCCAAGGGCCTTCTGGCGGTTCCCTCATTGTGAGAAGTGAGGTTACAGGGAACCAGGCAGAGGGCCTTCTTGGTGGTGGCACCCACCCTGTGGAACGCCCTCCCATCAGATGTCAGATATAAACAACTACCTGACATTTAAAAGACATCTGAAGGCAGCCCTGTTCAGGGAGGTTTTTAATGTGTGATATTTTAATGTAGTTTTAATCCTTGTTGGAAGCCACCCAGAGTGGTTGGGGAAACCCAGCCAGATGGGCAGGGTACAAATAATAAATTATTATATTATTATTCTATCCAGGTGGGTGGCCTTCCCTGCCTGTGAGGTCAGACCACTTGGCGACTCCTGCCTTCCTTCCTTCCTCAGCTAGAGGCCCTTGCCCCTACTGGCCCCAATTCCCCGCGCTCACCTTGGCTATCCTGCCATGCTCCAGACACTCCTGCAGTTCCAACTTATCATTCACAGTTGAAGCCAACGGCCTGCAGGGGAAACAGACAACTGATCAGCCCAGAATAGGGATCCCGGGAGTCTCAACGCCTCTCCCTACAAGACCCCCACCTCCTGGGCCTCACACCTTCGCCCCCCCCAAGCCCCCTCTTCCCCTCTTCCCAGATGTATGCCAGAGGAGCTGGCAAGCGGGCTCAAGTTTTAATCTATTATTATTATTATTATTATTATTATTATTATTATTATTATCTCTGTCCCAAGGCAGGCAGGGTTCTGGCAGGACCTCACCGCTTCCTTGGCACGGGCGGGTTTCTGGGTGTTGGCGCCAGACCTCTGACCAACCTGTTCATGCCGGGCAGGTTCCCCCAGAAGTAGCGGGCTCTGTGCGCTGCCGAGACCTCTTTGGCATCGATCATCACCGGGTTGGACTGCAGCCGAGAGAGAAGGGGGGAGGAGGAAGGCGTCACAGGGCAGGCAGGGGGACGGGCTGCCCTCCCCCCCGGCAGAGCTGCGCTCTGGGGCTCAGGCCCCCCAGACCTTTCCAGCAAGTGCCTGCCCCTGCTCATGCCGTTGGGGAAGGGGCAGAGCTCAGTGGCGCAGCGCCCGCCTTGCCCACAGAATGGGCATCTCCAGGGCAGGCTGAGCCCTGCCTGAAGCTCTGGGAAGCCACGGCTGCCAGCCAGTGCAGTAGAAGGCAGCTTCCGATGCCCCTGTGCCAGCCCTGTCCTGCCCACCGGAGGGCCTTACTGAGCAGAAGGTGCCCTGGGGTTTAATCTAGAACCCAGTGAGATTTCTGCCTCGCAGGGGGTTGTGCTAGACGACCCTCGGTGCCCCTTCCCTCTCTGTGGATTCCCCTAAATTACATCCTACATTATATCCTTTGCTCTCTTTCCAACTGACCTCCCCTTCAGCAAATCTCTAGTTTGCTGGCTGGCAAGAACATATTTCTTACTGCACAGGTTGCAAAATTTGCCTTGGCTGCAAGTAAGTTGAGAGCTGGGCACCAAGACAAGTATCATAAGGGGGAGCGAGAGAAATGGAGTGCTTAACTTATGCAGGTGTGTTTTTCGTATTTTTGTATGTTTGCTTTGCTGCTGTTGCTGCTGTTGTTGTTCAGTTTTAAATCAATTATTTGTATTCTATGCATTGTGACCAATTGTGACAGCTTATTGCTTTCAGCAATAAAGATTTCATTCATTCATTCAATGCCCTGATCGTGGATAGGCAAACTAAGGCCCGGGGGCTGGATCTGGCCCAATCGCCTTCTCAATCCGGCCCACGGACGGTACGGGAATCAGAGTGTTTTTACATGAGTAGAATGTGTCCTTTTATTTAAAATGCATCTCTGGGTTATTTGTGGGGCATAGGAATTTGTTCATTTCCCCCCCCCCAAATATAGTCCGGCCCCCCACAAGGTCTGAGGGACAGTGGACTGGCCCCCTGCTGAAAAAGTTTGCTGACCCCTGGCCCTGTCTGACAACCTCACCCTGATTCAATCCTGGAACAGATCATTCAGCTTCTCAGACAGAAAC